AAATTTGCTTCATTTGAATGTTAATGCATAGAAATAAATCAAGGTCATGTTTTATTTCTTCTGTGATTAAAGCTTTAAAACGAATATACACAAATAAAACAGCTAATAAACATGCACAAACAACCCTGATTTATGAAAATATAATGGCTTGATTATGCTATTATTTTTTAATTTATGTGTAATTTTAATTGCTCAAATTTTATTTTTTTAATTTATAAAGGAACGAGTGCTCAAATTTTAGAATAAACAGCAATAAAGTGTAGCTTAATGACAGAAAAAAGTGCTTTTTAAAATCATTATGTAACTTTAAATAATCTTATGTCTAGATCATTTGCGTACGATTTTATGACCAAAATTTACTTCATTTTCATTTATTTTATGTTTATAATATAAAATTAAAGCATATTTATGCATTATCGAATCAACTCCATTAATTCATAAGGTGATTTTAACAAGTTTCAAGTTCTCACACGACAAATAAAATTAGCTTTATTATTTTAGATAGAATTTTAAAGCCAATAGTAAGGGATACTTTATTTCAAATTCTAGGGTCTTAAAATCAACAAATACTATTCAAGATTAGTTGTCATTGACAATGAAAGTTGTAGGGAAAGAAAAAACACAGAGTCATTTCATAGTTGTTTCTTTTTCCCAACATTTCATAGTTGTTCAAGAAATTCATCTACGACAAAAGTAATTAAACCGTAACATTTATTTATCTATAAAAGAAATAGAGTGTAATTGAACATCTTTGATGGTAGAAAAAGTGTAGTTTAAATTCATATAGTATTGAGTGGCATATATGATGAGTTTGATGTAAGCAAACATTTGGATAGTTGAAAAAGTGGGATTCTCACTTTTGCGATAAAAACAAAGGGAAGAAGTGGCATGAAATGATATGTGAGTGTGATTGTGAGCTAAGTGTAGGAAATGGGACCCTAACGAAATTGCTTGGTGGAATCCATAATGCATTGTATTGCATGTATCCACTGTCTTTCATCACTTCACTTCACTTCATTTACACTCCAAACTTACACTTAAAAAGGCGCCAAGTGCGGAGAGACAAACTACTTTTTCATTCCCACATATGAAATTTCCTCGAAATGTTTTCAGTTTGTTCTTTTCGCATTCAATTTTAATACCATTCGCTTTTGCATGACCTACTTTGACTCTCTCTTTTTTGTTTTTGCATTAATTCAATTTATTTTATCTATTTTTTTCACTTTAATTCTCAAGATTGGGTTTGGAGACTAACAAATAATAAACTTTTATCAGAAAATAGTTAATTTATTACATTAAAGTCATAAAAGTGAGATCAATATGTTTTTTTAACTAAAAAAAACTATTTTTAATGTTTAAACTCAAGTTGAGGTTAATATTTTCTATACACCTTTTTATTTAACTTCTTTATAAGCTCTAGCGCTTAAACTTATTAAAGTTTGGTTTATTTGTTTTTAAAATGCTAAAATGATATTTTATGATTGAAAAATCTCATAATTTTAAAATTAATCCAAATTTTATCAAAATTTGAGAAGCGATTCAACAAAATTAATGAGATAATAATGCTACAATAAAAATGCTAGTAACACAATTTTAGTTATCAATTAAAATTTATTAAAAATATAAAAATTAAATGAGTTACACTCTTTCTTACTCTTAATTTAATATTTTTATATCATAATTTTATAATTTTTAATAAATTTAATCAATAATTTCAAATATATTTTAAAAAAGTGTTACAAAATATATTCTTTAACACTGCTCAATAATACTTCAATTTATATATGTATACAGTTGGATTGCCATAAATTCTTTAAAACTTGTGGGGACAATTGCCCCCACCCCTCTCATACATAACTCTGTCACTGTCAAAATCATTACGTTGGAAATTTGCCCCTGTTAATTAAAGAATCATAAACTTCCCTGAAAGTTACGTCTTAGGGTACAATCATGAAAAATCCAGTTACACCAAAGAAATGGGGGTTTAAAAAGATGGGTAGATACAAAGAAGTCTGTATTCCATAAATAATAAAATAATAATTATTAATTAAAATATATATTTAAAAATATTAAATTTAGAATAGTCATATAATATACCTTTAATTTTTATCCTAAAAATTTAATTTAACAATATTTTTGCGGTGCACAATAAATTCATTGATAAATAAGTAAATGAATAAATAATTGAATAATTTAACTAAAGCTAAAAATGAATAAAAAATTATTAGCAAAATAGTTTTTAAAAAAATTATCAAATAAAATTTCATTTTAACTTTACTTAATAGTTTTAAATCAATCTCTTTCAATGAAGACAATAGATGGTTTTATTAAATAAAAACGAGAATATTAAAAATAAAACATTATTGTTATTTGTCAAAAAAATGATTCCATTCCAATAATATTTCATAGAAAAAGAAAATGCAAAATTGTTGCAGAGATTTTACTTTACATCATTGAAAACTGGAACCAAGTATCCAAGCAAAAATCTGGTACTAATCCAAAAAGTTGACCCAAACTCAAAGGCCTGAGTCGAAAGAAATCGGATGATAAATGCTAATCACCCATAACTCTGTAATGCTCCACATAACTAAGCCTTTTATTGTAGAAAGTATAGGTAAAAGGCCAATCTATTGGGCTATCAGTATATTTAATTATTAAAATTAAAATTTTACAAAGGAGACATAAGGGGGGAAGAGTAAAAATTAAGTTATAAAAAAATAGTGTTACTGTTAATTCTTTATGCTTGAAATCCCTTTGTTTACAAATTTCTCTTTCCTGTCACGTTTTCTCTTTCAATGAACGACTAAAAGAAGGAAGGTGACCGGTCCCCAAGAGCTTTCATATAAGAAAAGAAAATTATGAATTCACGGAAAATCATGTCGACTAATTGATGTGCAGTTTTTGTTGAATAAGTTGTGTATTATTTAGGATCCATTTGGATTACCGTTCACTTAACAGAGCTTGCATTAGGAGACAAGACTTAGATTATAGTTAATTATGAAACATATTCAGTGGAAGCTAAGTTCTTCAATTCTGAAAAATGGGGTTACAAACTTATACAACCAAATCCTTAGTAATTTTCTTCAGCTTCACCCTACGGGAATGCATCCTAAATTTTTTAGACTTGGCAGCATCGATTTTAAACTGTCTCCGGGATCGGAATAAGAACCGCCAACAGCGTGGGTTCCAAGGAATTAAGATAACGTCACACGAAAGGTTTTAGTGATAATAAATTATTAATAAAATTTTGCAATCGTAAACGTGATTTTTAAAAGTATAAGCGACGGCATATTTCGATCATTCGACGGCTGATATGTGTAAAAGAATCTGTACAAAATCTAAAGCTTAGATAGCCATTCCATTTCGGCTACAAGATATCAAGATTCCGCATGGTAGCAGGTTATAATATCATTAGTCCATTGGAAATGATATTGGATTTGCATTATTTCAAGACGAGTTTGCATTGTGCTGAAAAAGTTGGTGGAGGGTATTAGGATTTGCTATAATGGTGTTGCAAAACTCAAGTTTAAAATAGAACATCTTTGTGTTCTTTACAGTATTCTCCATACAAATAAATGTTAAATTATCATAAAAGATTTCCTGCATCCTGCTTGATGCAGAAATTATTTACATTCATCATAAACATAAACATAAATGTTCAAGGAAAATAATTACCAGAGGAGTAGGCATCCGCTCCTGACTATGCTGTTCCAATGTCAATCATCCTAGACAGCATAAATGGTGAAAATCAATCTACAATTCAGTCCAGACAATCTATAAATTATATCATAATTCAACAGTATCAAATTCAGTCCAGACAATCTATAAACTATATCATCATTCAACAATATCAAAAGGAGTAGTATAAATGCCTGAAATTCATTATTAGATTTCATAGAACAAAATTCAGAAGTTGCAGATATAACACATACGTTCAAAGAAAAAGTGGTGTGCATATCTGAAGAACAACAAATGTAACGGAAGTCATTATTAGATTTCATGGTAAAAAATTAGAAGTTGCAAACTGCAATAAGACATTGACGTGAGATAGTGAAAATATACCAGTCTTGATAGAGCCGTTACTTTTTAATTGCACTAAACTGGAATTTGAGGCAGAGAGCTTTTGTAACATCCATGAAAGCATGAATGAATCTCACCTAGGACTAAAAATTGTGATAAATATTCCAATATCAATAAAATTTCAGAGACCAGGAACATAAAACTCAAAAATATGAATGATACATGCATGTTCATGATTCCTTGTTCTTCTATTGTTTAAATTTAAATATTTAGTACAGGTTTTGCAATGACAAAAGCTGTGACAATAGTAACAAGAGATAGCATCCAACAAACAGTAGAGTTAACACCCAGAATTACCAATGCAATGGGAAGCCTAACAGATATTACGTTGTTAAAAAGAGAAGATAGATGATGAAAATAAAATAAATAAATAAATAAATAAAGCATGCCCCATAACATTTCCAACACTGAAGCCATCACCTATATGCACTGGGAGTGCTCTTCCAATGGTATTGAGCTGCACATCGCAATGAACCTTACCAATCAAGGGGTAGAAAAATATTGTAATTGACAGAACATATGTATAATATTTGCCAAAACCACTCTTTGGCTTACTTCTTAAAAGGCCAAGATCACACATATACAAATTTATTTAACTCAATAAATAGTTGGTTGAGGAAGGCACCAACTATTTCACTCAAAGGTTGGATTTTACCAAACATTAATATTAAGTTCAAGTTGAATTTGCCAAAAACTAATTTTATCATCTCACTCAAAATTTACAATTATTAAGACTGAAAGTTCAATCAGAAGAACTTACAGGTGGTATTATGGAAAATCGCAGTGAAGAGAAAAGTAGATGTTGTGGTGAAACAAAGATGGGCCAGATTTGCAAGTTGATGTTTATTACGCCTATTCAGCTAGTGCATCTATGTTTATGTGAAAAGATATTTTCACACATACTTTTTTTTTGGGCTAACTTGATCCCTTTTGAAACTGTAAATTTTCAATCTGAGCATATTTTATTTTTCCATCCAATTTGAAGGCTAGACTGTTCAGACAATGCGGGATTTATCAATAGATGGAAAATTAGCAAATGAAAGAAGTATAGAGCTAAGCCAAAAAAAAAAGAGGGGAAAAGTGGTGAAAATATTCTTACTTAGCAATCTCATCAATATCCAACTATATATATTAGAAAGAGCCTGTCACAACCAATCATATCATATGAAACAAGGCCTACACATAGCAGCAACAATATTTTAAAAAATAGAGGATTTTACCATGAAACTGGAGACATCAATGTTTCAGCCTAAAGTTTATCATTGGTGGGCATTATCACAAGGAAAAGAAAATAATATAAGAACTTAGAGCTCAAAACAGATAGAATATAAGACTTACAGGGCAATTTAATGAAAGTACTTTGCCATAAAAGTGAATCCATATCAAGAAAGACAAATTCAGATCACAGATACCACAAAATTGTCTACAAAAAGAAACTTGAAAAATTATCTTTATATTTTATACTATTATTACAATCAGTCCATGAAGTTCAGACCCATTAAGCTTGGAACTCATAAAGCTTACATTCCAATTCTTAAGACTTATTCAAGACTAGAAGTACAAAGAGAGCATCACAAATCACTCATTCTCACCATTTACAGCAAAGGCTGGACAGGACCTCATGACCAATTTCATAATAGCACCGATACCTACTATGCTGATGAACAACATCTTAAAATTTAATTCCCCAGAGACTAGTTACAAGGAAGAACCCCTTCAGATGATATCAATACGTATATTATATACTATATAGCCTAACTTTATCTTCCTATGATATATCTACTATCCCAGAATGCTTTCTGCAGGATTTTGCATATTCACATCACTAGGAATCCAGATGACCAAGATAAAAAACACTAATAGGAGGATGAATCATCTTAGCAGGGGAACACTTTCATGGTGTCACATCCATATATACGCATAAAGAACACTCAAAATTTAAAAAGAAAATCACTAAATCACTTCAAAACAATTTTTTTTAGTCTTGATTCTGGAATGAAAAAGTTCTAACATTTTGTTATTCTTTCATCCATTTTCCCTAGGAACAACAACAGTAAACAAATATAAATTCAAAACAGATGCCTCAATGGCATTGACTCAATGCTGGTACAGGAAGCCTACCCAAACACCACTTTGAAGTAAAAGTTCTTAATCGAGACGTAAGCTCCAATTAGCTCTTCGGGGCAGGATCCAAATGGGCCCCTTAATCTAAAGCATATTATACCATTAGTTCATTGGAAATGAATTTGGATTTGCACTATTGCGAGGTGACAATGTCCAATAATAAGATTATAACAAATTCTAGGAAAAGATAAAAACAATTATCAGAGCAGAAGGCATCAACTCCTGACAAATCACCTGACCATGCTACTCTAACATGAATCATACGACTGCATTAAAAGGTGAAAATCAATCTACAGTCCAGTCAAAACTATACTATAATTCAACTATATCAAAAGCACAGGTGAAAATACAATAAAATTCATTAGATATTAAGGAACAAAAAAAGAAGTGGCAGATATAATACATAATCCAGTCAAGTTTAAAGAAAATCTGATACATATCTAAAGCACTATTTCGAATATAATGAAGTTGTCAGGTTTCACATGCAGAGATCAAAAGTTGCAGATATAATACATAACCCAGTAGCGCCCAAAGAAAAATTGGTACGCAGGGGATCTGTGCCTTTCAAATTTCCCCTCTGTAACCTCCAGATCCAAAATAATCCTTTCTATTATTTGCAATTGCCATACTCTTCTGATGCTCTAATTTGGGACAATCACGGATGCGATGACCAAGGCCACCACAATATGCACATCCCTTGACCCCACTTATATCTGTGATTTCATCATTATCTTCCATTGGATCGTTCAGCTCGGCCAAAACTGGGGGAATTCTTTGTTTCGCTTCTTGCAAGAGGTGTTTCAAATCAAGTAGAGTTGTCTCACTTTGATTCTTGTTAATAAATGTTGTGGCTATACCTGTCTTGCCACATCTTCCAGTCCGTCCAATCCTATGGACATAATTTTCAATTTCCGCAGGCATGTCGTAGTTAATTACATGCTGAATATCGGGAAAATCCAAACCTTTGGATGCAACATCTGTAGCTACCAACACATCTTTCTTTCCAGCCTTAAAAGCCGCAATTGCGTACTCCCTCTCTTCCTGATCCTTGCCTCCGTGAATGGCCACTGCTTCGACTCCTTTCAATAGAAGGTATTCATGGATGTCATCGACATCAGCCTTGTTCTCACAGAATATCAGAACGGGAGGTGGGGTTTTTTGCAGGCACTCAAGAAGATAAACTATCTTCGCCTCTTGCTTAACATACTCAACCTCCTGAATCACATCAAGATTGGCAGCACCCGCACGACCCACATTGACAATAATAGGTTTCACCAAAGCACTCCTAGCAAAGTTCTGAATTTTGGTAGGCATAGTGGCAGAAAACAAGAGAGTCTGCCTTTGAGCCTTGAAGTGATCAAAAACTTCCCTTATGTCATCTTCAAATCCCAAATCCACCAAACGATCGGCCTCGTCCAACGTCAAATACCTACAGTTATCAAGATTCATCTTCTTCTTGGCCAGCATATCCTTCAACCTCCCGGGAGTGGCAACAACAATATGAACACCCTTCTTCACAATCTCGAGCTGTGACCTCATATCAACTCCACCAATACAAAGCAAAGGCCTAAGCTCTGGATATCCAGCTTCCCTCAAAGGTATCAAGAACTGCTCCACCACTTCATAAGTCTGCCTCGCGAGTTCCCTCGATGGACAAACAATCAAACCAAATGGACCTTCTCCGGGAACAATAGGCATCATGATCTCCTCTTGCATTGCCACCATGATCATTGGCAACACAAAAACCAGGGTTTTTCCAGACCCAGTGAATGCAATTCCAATCATATCCCTCCCTGATAATATAACAGGAAGCCCTTGAACCTGAATGGGCGTTGGTTGCACAATCCCCTTAGCTTTCAATTTCTTCAAAACAGGTTCAGGAAACCTCATATCCTTAAAATTCTTAATTGGGGGAGGAATATCGTCACCATCAACAATTATATGCCACTGCTTCCGAATCAAATCGCATTCCTTCTTCGACATCCTTCGCACGTGCAAAGGCGGTTTCCAACCAGTGAGCAAGGGTTCAGTGTACGTGATACCCTTGGCTAATTCACGAACGGACATTAGGGTTTTTCTGTCAGACAAATTCTCAATCATCTCCTTCTCTTGTTGAATGATCTGTTCTGTGACGCTGATCTCGGGTTGTTCTCGTTTCATCTGCGATGCCTTGACCAGAAGACTGGGCTTGGTTTCGGCGACTCTTAACTTCTCTAAATCATCGTCAATGGCAGCGGAGGCCTTCCCTTTGCGTTGGAGAATCTTCTGAGCCTCCATAGCTCGACGCTTCGCCACAGGAACGTACTCAACGTAATCATCGTCTTCTTCCATTATTGCCACCGATTCCACCGTGTGTCAATGCTCTCAACTCTCAGCAGGGTGTAGCAACACAGAAAGTGTAGGAATCGTGTACAGTAGCAGTAGAACGGAACACAGCGCTAGGGTTTCAGACTATGAACTTCAATTTGGGGACATGTGATTACGGTATCCACGGTTTAGTTGCAATTTTAGGGAGTGCATGGACACGGACACTGAAATACCTAATATTACTTTTTATTTTTTTAAAACTATTTTTACAAGTTAAAATTAATTTATATTTTTAAAAAAAATAAGTTACTTTTAGTTTATAAAAATAGTTTTATCATCTTTTATAATTTTTTTCTTATTAACAAACTTACCTAAATGGAATATTTATGTTATACTTAACTCACATTTATTGGGCTTTGAAAAAACGAATCCGATTGTGAAAAGCCGAAGAGGAAATAAGAAGTTTAGAGTTTATTTTTTTTAATTTCTATTTTTAAAAATATAATATAATATAAATTTGTATTGTATTTTATTTTTAAAAACATATTTTTTTTTAATAACAGAAACAAATGTACTCTTAATTTGTGCAATGTAAAAGAAAATGAATAAAAATTTAAGACATGAGATAAAAGAAAAAGTCTGGAAAATAAAAGAGAAGAAATAGCATAAAAATAATAAAAGAAGAAAAAAAATATTCCCTTAAATTTGCTTGCTCATTTACGTTTAAACCCAATAACTCAACTCTTAATAATTTGAAAACGATATTAAAGTTAAAAATTAAAATGTTAAATAACTGTGATTCATAATAATATGGATTAATAGGTTTGTGAAGAATATGAGTTGCTGTTAAATACAGGCTTTTTATTGTTATTGACGGGGGAAATTACGAGGAGGAAAATAGAAAGATAAAAATTTGAGAAAAACTAAATATATTTCAAAATATTAAACTCACACATTCATAATATATGTCTTATTTAATCGTTAAAAAATAATCAAATGAGTATTTTATTATTATTGTTCGTTGAGATGTTGTTTTTGATAGCTTACTATGAATATGGTTAAGAAAAAATATCATGCATCATTTAGATAATTTAACAAAAAAACATATTAATCGAAAGTTTATTTTTATGCCAAAGGGTGACAACAAAATTTTAAAGTTGTGGCTTAATTTATGTAAATTATTTAAATCCTTAATAACTACTAACTTAAATTTAGTAACGTTGTCCTTTTTGCGATTTTTTTTATATAACTTTTCTTTTTCATGGGATAGTATAAATGAATTAATTTCACCTAATTAATTGACTTGAGAAGATCACTACGAGAACAAAGCTTTCCCTCACAGTACCTATTTTATCATTATTTCTTATTATTTTTTATTTTTCCACTAAAAAACAATCTAAAAAAGGAACAGTGTTCAATGTCGCAATGTGTGTGTGGCAATCATAGAATGTCATCCGAGAATCACGTTTAGCTGTAGGCAACATCCCCAGCCCGTCAACGGTCCTTGATCCTATGGTCCCACTCGACGAGGAGTTTATCACCGTCCGTTCAATATCACATCCTCAATTAGCACTAAAGTAAAATTAAAGTTCCTAATCAGGCTACTAATATTTTGGGTCCCACGATTAGATCCCATTATGCCTTTTAGTTTGTATTTCCCTTTCCTTGGCAACAGCGGAAAAACAAAACAACAGATTCTTGTGCCTGTTTGGTTCCCAGTTAAATCAATGACCCTATCACATTATAGCTTTCCTTTCTCACCCTAACTTGTGGCCTATACTCAATAGTATAATTTGTGATTACATTTTTGTATTTTGAGAAAAATAGTTAGCATGTGTTTTAATTAAAAGGGTTTAAATAATAATTTGAAGTTTTTTTTTTCTATCAACATTATAATTTTATATTTTAAATGAGAATATAACGCGTTCTGTATTAATTGTTGTTTCCCGCAAAAATTAAAAAACATTAAAAAGAGAGAAAAAAAGAGCTACGCCTTACACCTTGGGCTCACTTCATTTATTGCTTATAAATATCTTAATAAAGATTCTCACCATTTAAGAAAAAATTATATTAATTAAAAGTTTTTTATTGTTTTTTTTAGTGCATAAGAGGATAGACTCTAATACCTAACACGGCTATAAAAGTAAACTCTCACTATATATCTTGCAAAAATTAATCCTCTTCATTTTCTTTAAGAAATGGAAATTTCTATTGTAATAAATTTTATAATTAGATAAAAAAATTGAAAGTATCTAAACCCGTATCATGCCTTAAAAAATATGTAAGTCAATATAAAATTCATGAGCAGTGTTAATAAAATGAGTTATCTTAAGTATTAATTCATTGTTTATAGTTGTAGTTGAAGAAATTATTTTACATTTTGTTTGGATTAAATGGTGAAATAAAAAGGAAGGAAAATGAAAGAAAAAAGATCGAATAAAATAGAGATAAAATAATAATAAAATTATGTATGTTTTGTTTATATCAACCAAAATGCAGTAGCCTGCAAATTAATAAAATTGAAATAGTAATCACTTTCTCTATTTGATTGATCAACTAAAATCAGTGATATAAATTAAATATTTCAGTCGAATCCGCATTTTGAATATATGCCTGCCTTTGCCATAAAATGTAGCAATAACAATAGTCCAAATTTTAACTATTATTTTTGCCCTCACAAAAAATTTGCACCATTTATTTTGAGAATAAATTTATAGGGTAACATGATATTAAATTTTGTTTAAATACATTGGCTTCTTTCACATTTTCATCAATTTAAAGATCACCTGTTTCACTTCAATTTCATTTTAATATCCAAACACAACAATAGTTGTTGGAATGAATTGAAATACAATAAAATAAAAAGAGTTAGAAATTTGCCTATACCATTTTACCCTTTATATTAGCATAAATACATATACCCTTTAGTTTCATATATTTGTTACTTTACTCCCTTTTGTACTAGGGTTCACACTTCACAATGTCTATGCATTTTCTCCTTTTCATCTATACATCCAACCTCTCTTATTATACAATCAATAGTTGCTATATGAAGGCAAATTATTCATTAAAGGAAGTTGATTTCTCCCCTTTTTATTTATTTTATAAACAATATAGATTTTGTAACTGCATCCCTAATTTTTTTCCTACTATTAAATAAGTTGAAAATTTGAAGATGAGAGAAATAGAAAATCTAAAATTATTCCAACTTGGTCTCCCTTTAGCTTCAATGAGTTAAAATTTGAAATGGAACCCACAAAAATGCAATCGATTTCGTATCAAATTTCAATCCATCCAACTGAATAAGATGAGTTATAATTGATCAAATTCAGCCCATACTAGGTTTGATCTTCTATACTTTAATAGAAACAAACAATTACTTATTATACTTGTATTGATTATTAAGAGTTGTTTTATATTAAACAAAATTAAACATATAATCTTAACTTTGTGGTTTAAATTACATTATTAAAAAATGAATGAATATTTGTTTATTAGCATATGCTAAAATCATCCACATTGAGATAGTTGTGAAGAGATTAAGTGTTTTTTCTATTATAATATTATTGTCTTTTAAAGTTAATGCACATAGATAAAAAAAATATTATTTAGTCTGAAGATTGTTTACATTATGATTAAATTTTTAAATTTATAAAATTAATTGATTTTTTTTTATTAATTATCCATATAACTATTAAATAATAATATCATTGGGTTTAAAGCAAGTACAAAATAGTTAAAATGTCTATAATTTTAGGACAAAAAGGAGTAATTTGAACGAGACTCAAGCCATGTCATTATTATGATACACGAAAATAATTACTGTCAAACGTTACAAGTTATCAAAATCTATTATTTTTTATTTGTTTGAAATATATATATATTTTACATTTACAATTAAAATTCCATGTTTTTAATGTAAACATATAATTTAAATTGTTTTGAATAGATGTTTTAAATATATTAAACTATTCAAATTCAACTTTATTAAAATTAAATTTACCTACCAAAATTGACTTATTTATAAATAGCTAATTTATTTGAATATATTGTTTAAGTATTTGTTTTTTAACAGTACGAAATGACTTTGTGGGAGAATGCTTTGCATACTTCAATTGTCGATACATTTTACATAGGTTAGGATATGTCAATGTTATGAGTGAAATCTAAGTACACATATTATTTAGAGGAGTGTAAGCAACACGTCTTTTAATATATATTATCTGTATTTTTTAAAATAAATTTTAGTTAATATTTTTAAAATATTAATTTTACTAATTCAACCGCTTATATATTTAATATTTTTTATAATTATATATTAAATTAAATGTAATTTGAATATTTATAAACATGTTATTTGATATTTAACATTTATTTATATAAATAATATATTACTAAAAAAATAATATCCTTGATTTATTTAATAATTTTTTAAGTCAACTGAGAAATTCATAAACTTTGTATTTTATAAAAAAATTAAATAATGAAAATTTCTAATTTTACTTTTTAAACAAAATGTTAAATTTGAGTGTCCAACGAAAGCACCAGATAATAATTACTGCCCACTGTATTTTTGCCCTCTGTTTCTCTTCTCCCTTTATTCTCTGCCTGCCATTTTTATTTTATATTTTATAATTAAATAATTAATTAGTGCATCTTCCTCTTCCTTCCTCCATTTTCATTCTCTCTCATTCCCTCCATCTCTGAATCACATTCACATATCTAACCTCTCTCTGTTCTCTCTCTCCTTTTCACCTTATTCCTCTTCGCTCATTTTCTGTGCTCCGCTCTCCAGACTCATTGGTGAAATTTTCGCTTTCGATTAGTCTTTTTTTTATTTTAATTTTTGTTATTTATAATTGACATAACTGTAATTCGTTGATTTTCAGGTGCTGAATTGTCGATCGAGGGGCTTCGATTAACATTCGTCGTGATTCGGCGTGCGTGAAACTTCTTGGTATTGCAATTAGGAGTGTGGTGTTGATCGCGAAGGTACACTGCATGTTCGATTGTTGAGGAGAGGGGGTCCTCTGCTCTGCTGTGGAGGATTCCCGTGGAAGAGACGTTGCTTCTTCAGATTCGTTGCTCTGAGTTTTAGGTATTGAATTTTTGGGGGAAATGTTTGCTTCTGTATCAGATACGGGAAGTGAGGGGAGTGGAGTTTCAGGGCCCATTTTGATTCCGAAGCGTTTTGTTTGGCCTTATGGGGGAAGAAGGGTGTTTCTAAGTGGTTCTTTCACGAGGTACCCAATTACTCGTTACACCGGTAGTTGCTGTTCTGATCTTTGTTATTTAACGTGATGTATGATGTGATTGTCATTGTTTTTCCACTTTTTTTTTGTAAATTTTTGTTTTTATTTTTTTGAAAGTTCGGAAATCGGATTTAGTTTCCAATGTTAATTCGAATGTGCGCAGATGGTCAGAACATATACCTATGTCTCCGATGGAGGGATGCCCTGCAGTGTTTCAAGTTATTTGCAGCTTAATGCCGGGATATCATCAGGTTGTTTGGTTTCTGTGAATTTAGCTGAGAAACATGGGGAAATAATCTTCAGTATGATTGCACTTTTACGTTGTTTAATTGTACGTGGCTGATGGCCATTTGGTTATCAGCGTATGGGGATGAGCCCGTTGAGTTATGTTTGCCTCTGTTGCCAGAAAAATGAAAACCGAAAAAGAAGAGTGAGCTTGTAAATTTATTACTTTAAACTTGAAGTTGTGTGATTGAGAATTTAACTTAGAATTTGCAGAAACAAATAAGGAATTTTGTGATGGTTTTCGACTTTCATTAGGAGTTTGTATTACTAACTGGTCGGTAAAAATTGGCATGGGGCATAAGAGTTGTCTTGCCCTCATTGGAGTTGTTGGAAAGAATGAACAAATAACATTGATCGTTGGATTTGAAATGATAAAATATTTGGGTAATTTACATTATTTTTACTAAGAAGGAAGTCATGCAAGGTTGTTTTCTCAAACAGAATGGTCAACTAGATGGTAGGTTTGACTAATGATGTATTCGGCTGTACCATGTAATTCTTTAAATTTATTATGATCTAGATTGCTGATACTTTTACATATCGATTAGAAACTGTCACCTATCAAATTTTACATCATCTCATTTTGATTCCATCTTTTTCCTGTTTGTCAAATTGAAAGCTTGTATATTTTTCTTCCCGTTTTAATTTATACATCAGAACAACAGACAACATACATAATCAAGCTTTACACTTGCATATTGATTGAAACGTTGTATTGCTTGTCCACTTCCCCTCCTCTAATTTATATAATCATACGACAAAACACAGTTATCAATTTTTATGTGTGAGTTACCATTTGAACTAGGCCCTAGTGGTATGGTTGGGGTGGGATTTGGGTAGGGTATAGAACATTCCTTATATAAAAAAAAAAAGGAGAAAAGGGGAAGAATTATTTTATGATGGTTCTACCAAAATTTGTGGTGCTATATAACTGATTTATCATCGGTCTGGGTGTATTCCATCATTTCTTGGGAACTGATGTCCTTATTGTGAGAGGTCTAAAAATTTTGATAACTAGATTGAATAAATTCAGTAGGTTGGGTGCGTATTTTGTTTTATCATGGAACAAACATTGAATATGATAGAACTTATTTACTTACATTTTTTTGGCACATCTAAATTTGTTTGTGTTAAATTTTATGAAAGCTTCCATTACAACTTACGCTAATAAGTAGATATTATTTAATATCCATTCATATAGTATTTAGTTTCTTGCCTTTTGTGTTCACTTATAATGTTAGTATGATTATCCAGTATCCACCTTGTTGACTTAATTTCTGATATTTAGAAAATATTAAAATACTGCTAAACACAATATGGCAAAGATAACTGATTCATACTGACAAGCATAATTTATTTCAATTGTTTGCAGTACAAATTTAATGTAGATGGTGAGTGGCGGCATGATGAACAGCAGCCATTTGTAAGCGGGAACTACGGAGTAGTGAATACTATTTATTTATCGAGAGAGCCAGATATTTTACCTGCAATCTTAAGTACTGAAATGCCTGGTAGATCCCACATGGAGGTTGATAATGATGTCTACAGGCATATGGTAAGCTTCTCCCTTCTTACTTTTGTTTCCTTTTGCTGTTGCATATATTTAAGTGCTTGGATAATATTCTAATTGACACAGGGGCTTAAGTCCCAGATTGAATGGGTGAGCGACTTAGAATTTCATTTGAAATAGAGGCTATGCTAAGCCACCTAGCTCTCAGGGGTGGACTTGAGTCTACATGAAACCAGTTTCATGTAGACTCAATAGTGCCTGGTTTGTCCTCCCCGTGTCTTCCAAACACAACAGGAATGACACGGGAGCTTGAATCTCACTACGACAGGAATGACACAGGAGCTTGAATCTCACTTTGGCTCTGGCAGAAGCTGAATTCCAATTTAATAAAGAGGCTCTCCACTTTTTACAGACCGGCTTTTAGGAGTGGATTTTTCCCTGCATTGCTAATGTTATGTTTTTAATGCTGGTTTAATCATCCTTGTCTTCAAAGTGGGATTCATTTCATAGCAATAAACACAAACACATTTGTAGTCCTATTTGTATGCATTGTTGTCATGAAACCTGCCTTTAAATTTTGAAATGAACTTTAAAAGGGGTACAGTGAAGTGTTTGTGTCTGACAAAAGGGTAGAGGGGAAAAGACAGAATGAATGACATTTCGAAGTTATGAACTGCTGTGGGTCCTGTGTTGGCCCTTTAATTCTTCTCAACCTTTAGTTCTAATATGGGATAGAATCTTTTTTCTATCCTCTCTTTGGTTTTGGCCCCATGTTCTAGTTAATGCCATTTGATGAAGTTTCACATTAACAATAGATATGACTAAAAAAAAGTTTATAAAGGATAAAACAATCCTTACCTTAAGAGCTCGTTTTTAGGGTTGAGTTAGGCTTAAAGTCTAAATTCAATATAGTATCAAAACCTATTGTAGATTCGATATCGGACAATCCTAGACTGGAATAAGAAAAAAACTAGCTCCATGAATTTTTTCAGTTCAATTAATGTGACCCCATGGGTTTTTTAGGGCAACTTACTTGGTCCCGCAGCTTATGGAGCACTATATTAAAAAAAAAAAAAACATTTACAATTTCCATGCTCTAGATGTCCAATATTGAGAGTGAGGGTGTGTGTTGAAGTCCTTCATCGACTATAGATTAAGCTAAATAAGAACTTATAAATGCTAAAAGCCTAAAACAATCCTTACTTAATGAGCTAGTTTTCGGGATTAAGTTAGGCTTAAAGTGAAAATTCAACACTGTCTTTACCATAGAAGTACAAAAAGATTAGAGAACCTTATTCTATTCATGATTTTGTTTGTACTTTTCTTAGAAGGTTATATTGTACTTTTTCCTTCTTTATGCATGTATCTGTGTGCAAATTTTCTTTCTTCTCCTTTGTAGAGATTAAGAGAGAAAGAGCATAGAGAGAGAGAAATTAGTGTGCTGGAATTGGATACTCTACAATGTGTAGAGACTCTTATATTTATAAGAATACATATGTAACTTTACTGGGCCAAGCCTATTATTATAATGTTAAAATAAATCCTAATTCTAATACGTCTATTCTAGTTATTCATAACACCCTTTAATAATATTTCAATACAAATGAAAAAAAAAATGATGTTGAAAAGTATGGAAATGGAGTCTTCTTTCTGCTTTGAGAAATTATATATTGTATTTTTTCTTGCATATAATCTCATTTCAAATGGTGTCAGATTTCATGCCATAATTCTTGATTCCTTATAGTCTTAAAATGTATGCAACATAAAAAAACTACTTGAAAATTTTACCAGGATGCTAATCCAAGGATGTCAGTGTCTGATCTGGAGGCTTCTCGCCATCGTATATCTGTATTCCTAACCTCACATACTGCATATGATTTGCTTCCTGAATCGGGGAAGGTTTGAATATTCTTATCTTGTCAATTTTTTTGGTTGGAGTTTTTGCTTCCTAAAATTTTTGCAATTTTCTCATTTAGTCCTTCATTTGTAATTTTTTTCCTAATAAGTCCTTCATAATATATTTTTCTTTACTAAATGGTTCCCTTGCATTTTTTCTTTGTCATTTGGCCCCTTTAAATTTTATGAGATTTTTCATTTGATTTCTCTAAATATTACAAGTTTTTCATTTGCTTTTCATAAATATAATGAGTTTTTCATATAGTCTTTTTAAAATGAGAAACTTAATAAAAACTTGTAATATTTAGAGAAACCAAATAAGAAGAATAAACAGAAGGAACCATTTTGTAAATAAGTTATTGTTTTGGAAACCAAACAACCCCTAATTGAGCTATTTTTTCCCCACCATGCAATAAGAATTTGAAACTTGTTTTAGCTCATTTTCTTGATATCTATTTTATAATTGCAGGTCATTGCCTTGGATATAAATTTACCAGTTAAGCAAGCATTTCATGTTCTTTATGAACAGGTATTCCCTCCCTTTTTACTCCACTTATTTCTATGCATTTTTTTTCCCAATTTATATGAGGGGCCATGTCCATGTAATGTATGTCCAGTATGAATTGTCCATTGCATGGTTGAGTTTTACCTTATATGTATTGTAACGCAAACTTTCAGGGCATGTCTATGGCTCCTCTATGGGATTTTTGCAGGAGTCAGTTTGTTGGAGTTCTTAGTGCAATGGACTTCATCCTAATACTGAAAGAGGTTTGTGAAATAAAACGTTTATGCAACTCTCCTGTACCAGTTTTTGGTAAATGTCATAATTTATAGGGTTGATATTTTAAGCTACTTATCATCTGGTTACAAATTGATTAAAAATACTTAGCAACTAGTAAAAAATGAAAAGTTTAAAAAGAATCTTGTCATCATCATTTTAGGCTAATGATAGAACATTTGTGGAACTGCTATAAGATAATTTGGGTTTATATAAGAATGTTTTCAAGAGAGTTTTTTTTTTATTTTATTTTTTTATTTTTATTTTTTATTTTTTTACGGGGAAGAGCCTTGAAAATGTTTGCATTCTGGAATCTCTTTGATGCTTTTGTTGTTAGATGTGGTTTATGAACCTTCATGTTGTCATCATTGATTGTTCATTGTTACTTTTCAGTATCTAATATATGATTCATAGCCTACTCTGATAATGCAATGCATGATGCATATTTCTGTGAATTCAATAGTTGTGTAACAAGTGTAATTTCAGCTGGGGAATCATGGTTCAAATTTGACTCAAGAACAACTTGAGACTCATACTATAGCAGCCTGGAAAGAGGGAAAATTACAGCGATGCAGAACACTTGATAATAATGGTGGATCATATCCCTGGCGATTTGTTCATGTAAGTGGTCATGAGCAGTTCTGATGAAGTTTTCATGTTTCGTAAGTTATTCCTCCAATTTCACATTGTGTAAGGTTGTCAACTTTTTATATGTTCAGGGTTGTAAGCTGTGACATTTTCAGGAATGCATTTGCAACATGATTGATGAGTATTAGACAATATAAATATCTTGTAAGACATTTAGATATAGGTATATACCACTGGTTCAATTTACTTTTTTGATTTAATGCATGGCTTCGTTTGGTTTGACTTGCAAGAAAAATTGTACAATATGGTTCATGATCTGGGACTTTCAAGCCAAACAATGGGTACTGAACCAAACTGAACACGTGAATAAAAAGCAACAAGATATTACATATTATAGGAATCATACTAGAGTTTAAAGCCAAAAGTTTGGTTTTGTATGTCTAAAATGTTTGTATAGACATATAATAGGAAGTGTCAAAGGGGGATGATACACATGTTGCAGTATGTATGGGGAGTACTGTATCAGTTTTTTGGTCCTCAAATTGGCACATGACTTCCCTATTTCTTTCTTACATTTTGCTGTTGATTATTTTGTTAGTTTTTTCTTTGTATCTTGATGCTTTTTTCTAGTTCTTCCAGTGAGTCAGCGACTAGAAACTGTGGTGTTGAGATCATTGGATGAGCTTTTTGTTGAAGCTATAAAGTGTTATACTTACTTTAGAGAGTTTCTCTTAAGTTTAAAGTTTGAGCTTTTAGAGAAAGCTCAATATTCAGAAGTCCCCTGCCCTCCTCTTAAAGTGATTTCAAGAAACAACACTTTTCTCTAAATAAAAGATCACTCAATCAGTTACTGATTGTATGTTTTAGCCTTTTGGGCAACTTCTTCTTCTTTTTGAGTTTTCTCTTCCATGGGTCCTCTAAGGTGTTTTTTCTCCATTATCCTCCGTAAAAGTACTACTTATTTTTTAGTGAACTGGTCAGCTACCATTGTCCTTTTTGTATTTGTCTATAGATTTGCAGCAGTAGCTTTCCAAGTGATTTTCTAATATATAGGCCATGCTTCTGCCTCATTCCTTCTCATAGTTATCTGTTATTCCTTTTCCTCTACCCTGCTCATCATTTTGTTTATTATAAATCTTAATGGCTTCTTTTGCATCCATATGTTAAAGAAAATGCATTTTAGCCTTGTACATCATTCTTATTATGTTTATAGATTCCCCTTCTGTCTATAAAAGGACTGGAGGTTAACTCCAGTCTTTTGTGATTGAACTTCTTGCTTCTTATTTTTTTCTAATCTTTAATCTTCAGGCTGGGCCCCACGAATGTCTAAAAGGAGTGGCTTTGAAGGTCTTGCAAAACAAGGTTTCAACCGTCCCTATCATCCATTCTTCTTCAGAGGATGGTTCATTTCCTCAACTGCTACATCTTGCTTCCCTATCAGGAATACTAAAATGTAAGCTTATAGGTCTATTGGCTATTGATAAATGATATGGAAGTTGGAGCTGATGTATGAACTTAATTTTCAGGTATATGCAGGCAGTTTAAGCACTCCTCTAGTTCTTTGCCCATTCTGCAACTCCCGGTTGGTTCAATACCTTTGGGTACATGGGTGCCTAAAGTTGGGGAACCAAACGGGCAGCCACTTGCAATGCTGAGGCCAAATGCTTCTCTCAGTGCTGCTCTATTGATGTTTGTTCAAGGTGGTCATTCTTCTGTTTGAAGTTATCAATGTGTTTGTTCTGGTTAGTTGCTGAGTTATGGTTTTCCCCCCACAATTTTTCGTGAAAAATTCCAAGTCACTATGGGCATTCTTTCAGCAACATTTTGTAATATAAAAAAATGAAGAATGGTAACACAGAATTGAAGCGGAGGTTCATGTATTCATGATGAACCTTTCATTTGTGCACTGAATCAATAGAAACAATCAGTTTGTTTGACAAATATTGCATGTTGGGACTCAAATCTGAAATGTCAAAAAATATGTTTCGTCTGTCCAATGTTCAAAGTGGTACAGTGTTTCACGTAGAATTTTCCAAATTAAAGTTTCATTTCATAAACACTTTTTATGATGATTATTTTTATTTCTGGCAAGAGGGATAATATTTGGTGAATAGCTTTCAGTGCTGTCATGGGAACTGAAATGTTTTTATTCATGATTTAGTATGCAGTATCAGAATACTTGCATAGTATTATTGTTTGTCTAGCGTTTCTGCATCCTAAGTGAATATTGTTGAGAGGAAAAGAAATGAGAAGTGTATTGGAATCTGTGTCAATTACACAGCATTATATAGTATTTATACTGAAAGCAATAAATACAAAGATTTATATTCTTTTTAACAAATATGCTCTCTTTGCAGCTGAGGTTAGCTCAATACCAATTGTGGATGATAATGATTCATTGCTTGACATATATTCAAGAAGGTAGTATATTTTTTTTTCTCCCCCTTTTTTTGTCCATTTGTGTGATTCTCGTGTGTATACTTTCCTCAAGTATACATGATATGTGCCTATTATTTTCTTCTCAGCGATATTACTGCATTGGCAAAAGATAAAGCTTATGCACGGATATCTCTCGATGAAATTAGTATTCATCAGGTAATTACTATGTGATGGACAATACATTTGTTTCGTCTCGTTTGTTAGTAGAAACCCAGTCTAAATATTTGCACATATGGTTGTAGGCATTGCTTTTAGGACAAGATGCAAATTCTCCTCATGGGCTTTACAACGGCCACAGATGTCATATGTGTTTGAGGTCTGACTCGTTGCACAAAGTGATTGAGCGGTTGGCGAATCCTGGTATTATATATTTTTTTTACTGGATGTTCCTTGTCCTTTCTTAGAAGGAAGGGAAAGTGTAAAAAATGAAGTAGTTTCTTTGTTAATCGATTTCCTTCACTTTGCAGGGGTTAGGAGACTTGTGGTTGTGGAGGCTGGCAGCAAGCGCGTGGAAGGGATTATTTCCTTAACTGACGTGTTCAGATTCTTGTTAGGGTAGTTGGGTTATATGAAGGGAATAGCGGTGGTATTAGCAGCATTGAAAGGGACTACTTTGTTCTATTTGCAGTGGTTTCTGAGCTTATCCCCCGCCTTCCTGACCTGCGTACTTTTCAGAGTCCTTGGTTGGAGGGGCATCTTTGGATGCTGCCCTTGTATGCTTTTTTAGGATAGAAATTTAAGAGAGAAAATTCTGTAAATTGAGGATCATTTTTCTCCTTTAAACATCTTAACATCTTGTTTTCTCCTGTGTGCCGGCACATCTGGAATGCGTGTGTCCAGTGCTAATAGAAATCAAGGAGAAACTGTGGGAAAAAAAAATAAAAATAAAGACTCGGAAAAGATGAAATATATAGCCGTATGCAGCATGCATACTGTAGGTTGGTTGTATCCTCGTAAATTAAGGGTCTTCTTTTTCCAGATCACTACAACTCCAGATTTCTGCTGACAAGTTCATTATGGCTTTGTACGTGGAGCAGTCACTTGCATTACACTGAAGAGTAATGATATTTTTATTGCCTTATTTAACTTAAATAGAAAGTACTGTAGTAAATGAAAAGGCAGAACATGAACCTATAAAAATATAATACTTTCTTTCAATAAATTAATAATCAGTAGGATTTAAGTTAATACTACTGCATCGGGATGACATAGCATCCTCTTTAAAATGCGTCACTTGCCGAGTAAGCTTAGAGAATTTCACATTTGTCTTTGATCTTTGCAGACAAATTTTGGTTCCAATTCTGATGGGAAATTAATTTTTAAAAACAATCCTTCCGCACCTTTAAGCGTGCCCAGTCTCTATATCCTGTAGGTCTAAAGCAGCAGAAGTTAAGGTTTCTATAATCACCCGATTGTAGCTTTTGATTTTTCTCGAGGGTGGAACAAGAGGATTGGGTTTTGTTTTACCATTTTCAGTAGGTATACCATTTTTTCTTATTTTAATTTACCAAACAATTAAGAGTAAAAACAATGTCATGACTTTTTTTTTCTTTTAGCTTGCTATTTCACGAAACAAAATACTACCTCCACTCCACTCCTTCAATTTTTGTTTCCTTTCTAATTTTTGAGTCACCAAATGCAGCACAAGCTCGATTATTTCAAACATCCTCTGGAAATTAAGCTATCTACTTTTCTACATGTTTACTGTAATTTGTATCATTGCATTCTTGCTATAAGCATGCTTTGTGGACCTATTGCCATGTTGTTGGGTTTGTGTAGAAAACGAAAATAAACTTTTGTTGATACCTAAATCCTGTCTCTAGCATGTCATCCAAATTCTTCATTTTGAATGTTGATATTTTAGTATGTGCTATACACATTGTAATTAATATAATGATTTGATAGGCAAGATAAAAAAAACTCATTGCCAAAACATTCTTAAATTTACATACAGCAATTCATGGAATAAAGTGGTATCCCGCCACACTTTACATACTAAATAATATTTTGAATTCACATGAACCACACTTGATTGCATGAAAAACTCAACTATTCTTAATATAATCAATTCAGATTTATTGTAAAATTTTAATAAAAATTGTTTATTTATAAACTCTTAATAAATACCTCAAGACATTTGTTTAAAAAAACTTATAAAATAGTCAGCAACTACTTTAAACGACCAAGTGAACCTAACAACGACATCACATGTAACTGCAACACAAGTCACAATCATTCTTTCAGTACAACGTTAAATTTCCTTTGGTATAAAGTGGTAGGGTACGATAACTGTGATTTTGATGGAAAGAAAGAGTTCTAATTTGGTAAATTTAGTGCAATTGTGCATCAGCAACAAAGCTCTACTAGCCGGAAAGGTTCTTCACGCTCGCATTTTCCGTCTTTCCCTTTTCTCTGACACCTTTCTATCTAACAACCTCATCGAACTCTATTCTAAGTGCGATTACATTGCCGATGCCTACCACGTGTTCGATAAACTACCTCAAAAGAACATCTTTTCCTGGAACGCGATTTTGGCTGCATATTGCAAAGCCACCGATTTGCGAAACGCGTGTCGTTTGTTCCTGCAAATGCCTGAAAGGAACACCGTGTCATTGAACACCATAATTAGCACCATGGTTCGGTGTGGCTATGAACGCCAGGCTTTGGATACCTACGATTCAATGCTGCTAGAAGGAGTTAAACCCTCCCATATAACATTTGCTACTGTTTTTAGTGCATGTGGTGCTTTAATGGATGCCGATTGTGGAAGGAGAAATCATGGGCTTGTAGTCAAGGCTGGTCTTGAGAGTAATATATATGTGGTTAATGCTCTTTTGTGCATGTATGCTAAGTGTGGGCTTAATGGGGATGGAATTCGTGTTTTTCGGGACATTCCTGAGCCAAATGAGGTTACTTTTACTACAATGATGAGTGGATTAGCGCAGACAAATCAAGTTAAGGAAGCTTCAGAATTGTTTAGACTCATGTTGAGAAAAGGGGTTCATGTTGACTCTGTCTCATTGTCCAGCATATTGGGTGTCTGTGCAAAAGGAGGATTCAAGGAAAGAGATATTGGTTCCTGTGATTACTGTCATGGCTTCTCAATGAATGCACAAGGAAAACAAGTACACACACTCTCAATTAAACTGGGATTTGAGAGAGACCTCCATTTAAGCAATTCCTTGCTTGATATGTATGCAAAAGTTGGGGACATGGACAGTGCTGAGAAGGTTTTTGTTAGTTTGAATCAGCGCAGTGTTGTTTCTTGGAATATAATGATAGCTGGGTATGGGAACAGATGCAACAGTGAGAAAGCTGCAGAGTATCTTCAGAGAATGCAGTGTTGTGGATATGAACCAGATGATGTTACTTATATTAATATGCTGGCAGCATGTGTCAAGTCTGGGGATGTTAAAACTGGTCGTCAAATGTTTGACTGCATGCCTTGCCCAAGTTTGACTTCATGGAATGCTATACTGTCAGGTTATAACCAGAGTGCAGATCACAAAGAGGCAGTTAAATTGTTTAGGAAAATGCAGTTTCAATGCCAACGTGCCGATCGAACTACTTTGGCTGTTATCCTCAGTTCATGTGCTGAATTGGGACTTCTTGAGGCTGGAAAACAGATTCATGCTGTATCTCAAAAGTTTGGATTTTATGATGATGTGTATGTCGCTAGTAGTCTCATTAATGTGTACTCAAAATGTGGGAAAATGGAGCTATCTAAACATGTATTCAGTAAACTGCCTGAACTAGATGTTGTTTGTTGGAACTCAATGTTAGCAGGGTTCTCAATCAATTCTCTTGAACAAGATGCTCTGTTTTTCTTTAAACAGATGCGACAACTTGGCTTTTTTCCTTCTGAGTTTTCCTTTGCCACCGTAGTGAGTTCTTGTGCAAAACTTTCTTCTTTATTTCAAGGTTTACAGATTCATGCTCAGATCATAAAAGATGGTTTTGTAGATGACATATTTGTGGGGAGTTCCATCATAGAAATGTATTGTAAATGTGGGGATATAGGTGGTGCCAGATGTTTTTTTGATATGATGCCAGGTAAAAATACTGTTACATGGAATGAAATGATACATGGTTATGCACAAAATGGATATGGTCACGAGGCTCTATGTCTTTATAATGACATGATTTCATCTGGTGAGATTCTACCTGATGATATCACATTTGTTGTTGTTTTAACTGCTTGTAGCCACTCGGCATTGGTCAATGAAGGACTCGAAATATTCAATGCCATGCCTCAAAATTTTGGAGTTGTGCCAAAGTTGGATCATTATACTTGTATTGTAGATTGTCTGAGCAGAGCAGGGCGATTCCATGAAGTAGAAGTCATTCTAGATACCATGCCTTGCAAGGATGATGCAGTTGTATGGGAGGTTGTGCTAAGCTCATGCCGTGTTCATGCCAACTTGAGCTTAGCAAAGAGAGCTGCTGAGGAACTCTATCGACTAGACCCACAGAATTCTGCCTCTTATGTGCTTCTTGCTAACATGTATTCTTCTTTGGGAAGATGGGATGATGCACATGTTGTTAGAGAGCTAATGAGCAATAGCGAGGTCCGTAAGGAACCTGGTTATAGCCAGAGCGAGTGCAAGAATGGTATGCAAATTGTTCTGCAAAACCACCAATAATCTTATATGACCAATTAAGAAATAAGATCTCATTATAATGACTGTTGAAATCAAATCACCTCTGTACAGAACTTATAGAAATGAGCTCTAGTTATAGAGAGAAACTATCACCAAGTTAATAATGGTTAAAGTCACTCTTATTAAATTCCTATATTCTACTCGTTGACAACTATCATGGAAATCGTATTGGATGCTTACTAAACTACAGTTTGATGATATTTTTGAGATGTGAGGTAATAAAACGTTTAAGTCCATTGAAAATTTTCATGTAACACGGGTTTCTCTATCACGTAAAAATTACTGTCATGCTAATTTAGAAAGACAGAGTGTAAAAACTACCAGTTTTACAGTTTAAGGAGTCTTCTCATGCAGGAATATCATGTCCTATAGGCTGCAATACTATTGGCGATTGACACCTTTCATGTCTCTATTATGTAGACACTTTTTGTTGTAATAGATGGTTACATGTTGATTATTTGTGCATGTCAATTTTGTAAACCCCTTCATTTCCCGTAATACAATGGAGAGGTCAAATGGAAGGGGTAACGCTTATAAAATTAATTGAAAAAAAAGTTCTATATAAAAGGAATCGCGTTAGTAGTAACAGCATTGAAAGGGACTCCTTTGTTCTATTTGCACTGGTCTCCGAGCTTATCCCCTGCCTTCTTGACCTGTGTACTTTTTAGAGTCCTTGGTTGGAGGGGCAACTTTGGATGCTGCCCTTGTATGCTTTTTTAGGATAGAAATTTAAGAGAGAACATTCTGCAAATGATCATTTTTGTTTCCTTTGTAACTTTCTCTCTCTCTCTCTCTCTCCCCCCCCCTCCCCCTCCCTTTCATGCTTGATATACCCTGAGCAATTTTGTTGAAAAAAATACAATGAAAGATATATTAATTACTTAGCGGATTAAAAATTGAGAATATTAAGCTGCAATAACAAAAGTAAAAGTGAAACTACTTAAACCGTTGGTAATATTACCTAAACAACTTTGGTATTCATTATCCCGCACAATTGTACGGGTGATTCTCGAAAAGGCATACTTTATACAAACAGTATTGTTTTTGAGAACTTACTAAGAAAGTAGACCCTGCAATCGGCGGGACGAGTATTTGAATAAGAGAGATATCGCTGATATTCGCGGCCCATACATTGGATGAACCTAGTATGGTAGAGCCCAGCCACTTACATGGCAGGTTGACCTTGATAGCATTAAGAAGACATAACATCGTCGCCTAACTGAATATTTATAGTCAATTCACAAGAACCGTTACTTTTTATTTATTTATTTAAATGACTAGGCATAGGTACGTTAGAGGGGGGAAAATCTCCAAGGTTTAATTAAGCTTTCCAGTCATTTCCGCAAAACTAACATCAAATGATCTCATAAATACCGAACCCTTTAGAGGCTGGTGCCACATTTTGGTTTGGCAATCAACAATAGTTATGTGCGACAACAAACCGAGCAACCAATATTCGTTCATGGAGCTATGGTGCTATCTTTCAATTACACGCCTACTGTTTCTAAATTCACCAAAACCATTTTCATCCGTACTATATTTATTATGGTCATTTGCTCGAGACCCTCTACCATTCCCATAAGACTGTTGATATGATCCAGTACGGGTGTTACCTTGGGACCCTCTGCCATTACCATAAGATCTTCGAGATGATCCATCAAAATCTTCAAAACCCTTCCAATTACGGTCATTCCTCTGAGACCCCCTACCATTCCTATAAGACTTCCGGGATGATCCATCAAAATCTTCAAAACCCTTCCAATTATGGTCATTCCTCTGAGAACCCCTACCATTCCTATAAGACTGCCGGGATGATCTATCAAAATCATCCCTGAACATATTTGCATTGCGACCACCAACAGATCCCAACTTTCTGTCTTTGGTAAAGTTCCTTCTGCCAGAAACATGTCTATTTCCCTTATTTTGTCTGGATAGATCACTTTTATTCCCTTTATTTTTTCTGAATGAATATGCCTCATTTAAGTCATCATCCTCGTCTGAGTATAATCCAGCATCAAGGTCTTCATCAGATTCAGAACCAAAGCTTAATTTCTTGGTTGGACCTCTGCCTTTTCTTTTTCCATCAGCAGCAGAAACATGGTCAGATTTGAAATTGGAAAGAATGGACCGTTCATCTGTACCAAAATCAAGTTCATCATCCCTGGATCCAGAGAAAGAGGTATTCTTGCGAATTGAACGGGATCGTACACTTCTTCCAGAAGCTGTTTTATTACGAGCATACATTTTATCATTAGTATCTTCAATATCTTCCAACTCTGAAGAGTCTTCAGCTTCTGAAAAATTGTTTTTAGATGCTTCCATTCTTGTAATACTATTTTGAGTTTGAGTTTCTAATTCATAACAATCTATATCATCCTCATCCTCATCCTCAAAATCATCAAACCCTATTCTAGGTCTAGAAAGACCAGGATTAGTATATTCTCCACCGGGGGACCCTTGCGCTCTGTTTTTCTTCTCAAAATCATCTTCCCACTCCTTGTGATTTCTATGTGGGGCAAGGTTATCTGAAGGAAAATCTTCATCTATAGCATGCGTATCAGCATACTCAAAAGCAGCAACATCTGCACCATCTGATTCATTGTCATCAAAGTCAAAATTCCAGGCATTGGAAACCTCTTGCCGGCTGCCCATCTTATCTAACTTAGGTTTGGAACTCTGTTTTCTATCTTGCATTTTATTCTCCAGAAATTCATCAGGTGGGCGTTTACACTCGCAATGAAAGCATACCATGTTCCTCCTGTAATTCAAGAAGTTGCACCTGCCAGATAAGAAATAAACAAGTCAAGCTAAAAGCATTTTAGCAAAAGATGCTGCAAGGGAAACATAAGCCTTGCGAATCTTTGGGAACATAATTGTGCATGCTGTTTGTATTATGTATATCAAAACAGCATGCTTTACACTCATGTCCTAAACTTCAGATATGATTATTATAGTTGCCATCTGTGTGTGTGTGTGTGTGTGAGAGAGAGAGAGAGACAGAGAGAGAGTGAAATGTAATTGTAGAAGTGAAGGACTCTAACTTACTCAGGACACTCCCATTCTCCTGGCAGCAACTGTCTCTTAGGACGCTTGGCATCGCATTGTAAGCAAACAGTATTTTTGGCAAAATTCATGAATTCACACCTAAGAAGTATTCAGCATCTTCAGTCAATAGCCGAAAAAATCAAATAGTATATATGTGATGCATTCAATAGCAACTTATTCATAAATAATTGATTTCCTAGTCTAATCCTATTATATTCATTTACTAGAAGAAGGAACAATTAAAAAAAAATTCTCATTATGATGCCTATTCAGGGGTATGCCCAAAAATAAAATCCACCTGGCTCAAAGGGTACTACCAAGCATGATAAAATGGTAAAGAAAAAAAAAACAAGGGAGTTTTCAAATGGAAAATTCACTTGAAACCAACAGCAGCCAGGTGTAAAACTATTACTATCATAGCAAGTAAATCAGAGAGATCCAGGGGGGCATACTTAGGACATAGCCAGTCCCCTTTTTTCATCTCGACATCATCCCGTCCAATGCGTCTCTTTGGAGGAGGGGGAGGTTGTTTTGGTTTTGGTGGAGGCTTTTTAATCACAGGAGGAGGGAGATTTGGATCAATGGGAACTGAACTAAGCTTGACAACCTCATGAAGCAATTTACGAATCACTGTTTTGACAGACTTCTGCTTTAGAAGTGACTTGTTGAGGACTGATCCATTAACAGGATCAAAACCAAAAGTCAGTAGCATCCGCATGACATCAATAGTCCGTGCCTCATCCTCTTTGTTCGTTAGCAGATATGCCCGTTCACAGTTGTTTCTCAAGCTGCAGGAACTACAGACCTGATATCAATGAGTTTTTTCATCAAAAAATACAAAATAAATTCAAATGATGAGTAACGTATGCTATAGATTGAAGAACTAGAGCAACTACGAGAGACATGAAATGGGTGGAGGGGGGTCTGACAAAGAAAAAGTGATGTGTGTGAGTGAATGAGGGATAAAAAGGATGCTAGCAGAATAAAAGTAATCTGAGTTTCTTTGCCACCAACCACAAACATAGACACACAGATACTGATTTAAACATCTCAGTACACTAGCAGAGTAGATTGAACAGCCTCCCATCTCCAACATCTCAACTATACTTCCTCTTCACTTACACTTGTACCCAAGAAGACATAATCAAAGAGCTCAGACAGAGAAACTTTCAGAATTCACAAACCATAATTGCCATAACACATCTCAAGAAGCAACAAAGAAATCAACCGTAATGTCCAACACCGAACAAAATGTGTTACACTTACATCTCCTTCATCAAGGTGAGCATGCTTCCTTAACAGTTTCGCAGAGAAAACCACCTTTTTGTCCACAGTGGGGCATCCAAAACCAACCAAAACTTGAATATCCTTCCTCGACAAGGACCTGAAATCAATCTCCCGTTTCAGTATTTGTAATGGATAGTAGCACGTGGAAAGCCACCACCGAATGGCCAACATCCCCACAGACATAATACTCAGCAAAACACAGCAATAACAGCCATAACATTATTCTGCCACACTACTCAATTAAAAACACATGACATTATCGCAAATTGAACTTGGATTAGTTCCCCCCCCCCCCCTCTCTTTTTTTTTAACACAAACAACGAATTCAAGTCCCGTAAATGCACAAACCTCAATATATCGAAACGGTCTTTCCCAAAATTGAGACACGCCGCGTGAACGCTCTTAAAATCCTTAGTGAGATCAAATCCAGCAACGTCATCATCCGCAACCTCGGGGGAATTGAACCCTAAGTCGTGGACTAATTTATCCTCATCGCTCCTCTTGTGGTCGAAGTAATTCTGGTGCACCAGCCTCTCCATCAATTGGATCCACTCCGGCCACGGGTGCACCAACTCCACCTCCTTCTTCATCGGCTCCGAAGGGATAGGATTTTCATCGGCGGAAACTGGCGATTCCGATTGAGCTTCGTTTTGAGGGGGTTGAGTGATTTTGGATTCGCGCCAGGCTCGAATGCGCTGAAGCGTTTCGTGCTTTTGGGAGCGCTCTTTTTCGATGGCATCGATTTGGTCAAAGACAAAGCTGAGGCGCGCGGAAAGTGAAGAAAGTTTGGGGTTGGTGGTGGAGGCAGAGTCTGAAGAGGTAGAAAAAGGTTTGCTGAGAAGGTGAAGGAGTGAGATTGAAAGTTTAGGGTTTATGGAAGAAGAGAGAGAGAAGCGTCTGGTTAGTAGAAGAGAGAAAGGACCATAAGCCATTGTTCAGAGCAGAAGAGGTGCAGTTTACACACTTGCCTGCAAACTTCAAACCTCCATGCCCCCACTCTCCCAAGCTTAAACCCTACATTCATTTCGTCAAAGCTTCCACCTCTAACCTCAATTCTATTATTATTAAAATATATTAAAATAATAATAATGCAGAATTAATCAATCATACTTTCGTTAACCACAACTTAGTTATTAATAAAAATATTAAAAATTAAATCTAAACAATTTTTATAAAAATTAAATTCATAAAAACATAATTAAACCGATAATTTTATGTATAATAATTTTTAAGTAAATATTCGGGCAAATTATTCCTTAAGAGTTAATAAATATTTATCTGATTTTTTTACCGATAAGTACAGGAATCACGAGAAATTAAAATAATATAACAAATTTTAAAAAATGTAAATATATTTTTTAAATTTTTTATCAATACTTTAATCCTGACTTAATACATTGGCATTTTAACATAACACAGTTGTTTGGGCCGAAAATTGAACTTGATGATCATTTTTAGGCCGAAATGGGCCTGCCCGATTCCAAATAAAAAGCTAAGCGTGAGGGAGAAGCCTTTGAAGTTGAAAACTTGTCCCAACTACCTAGCGCCAAAAAGTTTCCTCCACTTTCAATTACTCTCAAGTCTCACCCCTCATTCACCGAACGCTTTCTGCAAAAAGCGAGGGAAAAACAAAATGACAGATTCACGGTCGAATTCAGAGATTTTCAGTGTTCGGATTGTCTCCATCGACTATCACATGGCACCGCCAATCCCAGGCACCGATATCTGTTACAGTAGCTTCCATGGTACGACACCAGCAACCCTAAGTGTTTTCACTTTCTATGTAAAATTGAGTTACCTAAGAACAAACGACAATTTATGTTTCATTCTGCGTTTCAAAGTTTCAGTGTTTATCCTATTAAGTTGTTGCGTTTCATTGCTTCGTTTTTATAATAAGGTGAAAAGGTGAACGAGGTGCCTGTAATAAGAGTATATGGTTCTACTCCTGCTGGCCAGAAAACTTGCTTGCACATTCATAGAGTAAGATCAAACGTTTTTTTTTTTTTGTCTTTTAAATCGTTTTGGTTGAGAAACAAGATGTGTAGTTAGTTATGCTTCGTATTTACTTCCCTGTGATTTACCTCTCTGAGTTCGGGTGCTGGCAATTTTGTTATCATAAATGCAACATCAGAGTTTTACCGTCTTGGAATAAGCAAAGTTGTTACTGCTTCTTTATCTTTCATATCTTATTACTATGGTTAAAGTTAAATTGTTTATCCGTATTTTTCTTTGTAGGCTTTACCTTATTTGTATGTCCCTTGTTCAGACATACCACTTCTGCCTGACCAAGGTAATAAAGCAAGTCGTATTGGCTTGCCCCTGTTTCATATATTTGAAATTATTTGATTTCAATTTTCTCATGATTTTAGTAGGTTACTTATTTTCAAGTTTTTTTATTATATTGTGTGCCAATTCCATTTTTTTTGTTTTCTCTTTTTCCTTTGTAGGCCAACTTTAACCATCCGGATGATGTTTTTGATTTATCTAATTTTCTTCAGTTTTTATGCTTTAAAAAATCTCACATTTTGATTTATTGACTTGATACTTGGGATATATGTTCCTTAATGTTGCACAGGTGATGCTTACACCTATAACGTAGCTGCTTCTCTTGAGAAAGCCTTAAAGGTATTGCATGAGTTAGAATATGTTTTGTACTCTCTATTTTATGTTTTTTTTCTTCTTCTTTTGTCTTCAAATTAGAAATGTGCTTCAAATTTGGTTGCAACTTCTACAGCTTAAAGGCAGTGCTGGTTCAACGAGACAGCATGTCCATGGATGCAGCCTTGTACGAGCAAAGAAATTTTATGGCTATCATTCATTTGAGGATTTATTTGTAAAGATATACCTGTATCCACTATCAGATATTTTATACATTTTTTTTTTTATTTGCAATATTTTTTCACAAGCACAGTTATGCAGCATGCATGTGCCATTTGTATGTGCAAGAGAGGATGATAGCATGCTTAAATTGTGGGAATTACCTTCTTACCCAAAAAAGGGTAAGCCTTGACTGGCAATTAGATATTATCCTCAAGATGTCTCCCGTGCAGCTAATCTTCTCTTGGTACAATTTCTGGACATTACATATACTTTAGCTTGCTGCTTGTACCTCAGTTATCAATTTGTTCAGAATGCTTCAATTTTTTGTAGTCAAGTGGAAAGTCCTTATTGAAATTAGTACAGCTTACTTTGATGATACAAAAAATTAGCTTTCATCTTGACATTTCCTTTTCAGGCTGGTGCTGTTCTTGATAAAAGTTTACAGCCTTATGAATCACATATACCCTTTATTCTTCAGTTTCTGGTATGTGCTTTCGTATAATTTATTACATCTGAAGCATATTGTAGTTAAAGTGTAAGTAAACATGATAAGATGGTTTTCTGATTAAGTTAGGCTCTTTTTCTTACATGGCATTATACACACCCAGAATTTTATGTATCTGGCAGCGTTCACCTACTACGCTGAATTTGATCAATCTGATTTTATGTTTTTTTTTTCTTATTGTTTATATATTATATGGTTTGGATTAGCTTGGATGGGTCTCGAATATCCAGCTAGTCTCTTGCGCTTGGACATTATATTATTTGTGAATTTGATGCATTTAAAAAACTATTGATTTATCATGTACTCATTTTAAGTGACATTTTTTCTGGTGATGTTCAATTAATTTTGTGCCATTTCTTATGGTTGCTTGAGTTTTATGTGAACTGATCAACTGAATATGTTTGTCCATCACTGTTCTCTCATTTGTTTGCCTCATAGTCTACTTGCAAAATCCTTTAGCACATTTTTGCTTAAGTTTGTCTCATGTTTGTTGATAAATAAACCTTGTTTCAATGTGTTAGGTTGATTATAACTTATATGGCATGGGCCATTTGCACCTATCAAATTTGAAGTTCCGCCATCCCATACCCACTTGCAAGAAGTTAAATATTGATAGCCAGCATAGAAAGGTGTGTTGACTTGCATGCTTTCAGATTTCAAAGTCCCCCTAATTTATTTTTCTTGTTTAATTATCAAACTGTTATCTGTTTTAGTGATATACGCCCCTTATTTATACTTGATATTTCAATCTTTTGATTAGGCAGATCCAGGTGCAGATGCATGTTTAGAATCAAAATTGTGGATGTCTTCTGTGATACCATCTGATTGGATGTGGCCACCTCCAAGTGATTTTGGTGCTTCGTCAAATGATAATGCTCACTGTCCTAAACGCCAAAGCATATGTGAGCTTGAAGGAGATACTTCTGTAAATGGTTTGTCTGGTTTCAGGACATACTGACACAACCACAAATGTGCATGCTCACATGCATACTTAAATATGCAATGGTGTCTTCTGCTACTGTTATTTGTCTGATTATGAAAATGTATCTGTTGTGGCAGAGATTCTTAATCAGCAGTTTAAAATGTATTCATCTCTCTCACAAACGTGCTCTGATGTCTACATGGTTCAGTCACTTGTACCAATATGGGAGGTAACCTGTTGTTAATCTGTCTCTCTATATGTTCACCTTACATGATAGGTTGTCTAGATTTTATCCAAATTAATTGCTTCATATTATTTCAGGAACAGCAGAAACGGACTGGGATTCACAAGGCTACTATGCCTTCTGATCCTGGTAAACCACTTCCAGAAGATGTTATGAAACTGCTATCTGTTGGTTTTGACTTTGAGAGAAAACTTATTCACATGTGCAGTGAAGCTGAAACCTCTTTTTTTTGTACTCCTGAGAAGGAACTGAGGTTTGTAGGCAGCCATTATTGCATGATGGAAAATTTAGTAAATCTTACAAGTGAAGCATAACAACCCTTGAATTGTTGCAGAGAAACAGACATAATAGGCTCGGCATCACCACCAGCTTCATTATGTGAAAATGCCAAATTTCATGAGGAAGGAACTGACCTAAATCCCAAATTGTTGACTTTGGGTGAAATGCAATCATCTGAAATTATTGGAATGTTGGACATAAAGGCAATGGCTTTTTCCATGATTTATCTTCCATGCATACAAATATTTTCATAATTATGCCTTACTTTTTTTAAGGAAAAATAATCTTGAGAGGATTGGGTATTGATGTGTGGTGTTTATTTCATGGATTCTCTGTATGCATGTATGTTTCTCCCTATGTATGTCATAGGTTACCTACAAATTGCAAGAGCACTTTTCCTCCCTCCCCTTTCTCAAAATATATCTTCTTGTGATCAGTTGCTCTACATGTAGTCAGAATCTCATGGAAGATCTATTCAGAAGGACTGGTTTATTGATAGAGCCAGAGGTGCATGGTTATTGTCAAGTAATATAAGGAGTTATTATATCTAGATCTAGAGGGATTCCACTATTAATTACTGAATAATTACAACTTAAATATTTAAATGCAACCAATTAATCAAGCGAATTAAAGAGAAAATAGGAAAGACAAAATAATTGTAAATGCAATTAATTAAAAATAGATAGATTCAAATTCTAACAAACTTCTAGATATTGACATAACCTACCTTCATTAATATTTTATATTGCTGATTGTCTAGATCTTAATTACTAAAATTGTTTGAATTTAACCAAAGCTACTGTCCTGCTGGTGCACATTCACATGCATTAATATGTCTACATTTTAAACCCAATGATTTGGTGCATGCTTACCCTCCTTAATTAAAGTTAATAAGGATTATTGAAATTTTTTATGCAGGAAATATTTTCTTTAGGTTTTTACTAATATATGCATTTTTGGGGTACTATTTTTAGTTTTCTTAAACTGTATAAGGATACTTTATAGTGAAATATTAGAAATTTCAGAAGAACCTAAAGAAATAAGAAAATAATGTGCTCACATATAAATTTATTTATTTATTTTCTTTAAAATAATCCAAGAACAATATCTATTGGCTAAATGGAGCCAAAAGGATTGTTGGATTTATCATGCCACAATTCAACCTTTGATTTCTTTTTAGCTATTAAAATTTTCTCTTGCATTTCTGTATTTCCTGCTTTTTAGGCTGCGGATAAGGAAGCACAAAATCTCCTTAAGTGGCTTGCAACATCTCAAGCTGCAGAGGATATAAACTCAGATGATGAACTTGCTTATGAAATGATCTTGACTCCCTTGGTACCTTCTGCAACAATTCATAAGGTGCTGGAGGAAGCTAATATGGCTTATGAGAGTGAGTCCCAGAAGGAGTGTCAGGATATTCTAGATTCAATTGATGATATGCTTGAGTTGGAGTTAGCAAAGGAGAAGCCTTCTAGTTCCTTTGATCACAATTCTCCTATCAAAGCTTCATCAAACAGTATGTTACCCCAAGTTGACGGTTCAAATGATGATGAATTTTCAAGTCCACATGCTAGTTTGGCTGGAACCTCTTCTAGTCTGACTGGAACCTCTTCTCCATTAGAGATAAGCAGTGAATACAAAAGGGGTTCTGAGTATCATGTACTGCACAATACTGACACAAGTACTCTTAGTAAAGATAAAAGGAATAAACAATGGGGCTCTTTGCCATTTTCCATGACTGATAAGGTTAATAAAGATGGAGAACATGTCACTTTACTTGCAACTCATCCATTTGGAAGTGCAACTGGAGATTCTGCTCATTCAGATTACTTAAACAGAAATGAGGTGAGAAATAGTGCTTATATTAAAAGAAATATGGACAAAGGTGCTTCAGATTCAAAAGAAGTATATAGATTGGTAAACTGCTCTTTGCGAGATATGATGAGGCGAAAGCGATCTTATCAAGTTGAACAAACTGAATGCGAGGCTGAAACTACTAAAAAGCTTCTTTTAGACAGGCATGAGGAACCAAATAGATGCCTTCAGCAAAAACAACTGGATTTGAAAACAAAGCAAACTGATGAAGAAGAAACAGAACTCCAGAAGAACTGTGATCTAATTGTTAGTGATCATGATAATTTGATGTGTAACAAACTGCCTCTTCCAGCTGGCAGCGGCAGTTTTTTACAAGCTAGTAAGCCAAAAGATGAGTGTTTTGGTCAACATGAAATGCAGGGTTTAGAAGCAAGCATGGTGTTGAGGAACTGTACTAATGAAGGTTCTTCCTTAATGCATGGAGGACCAGACCTCCATGAGCCTGAAAAATATTTTATTGATTCCACAGATCAATCTGTGACTTGCAGGGGTGAAGATCTTAGGGTTTGTGCAGCTTTTACAAAGCCTGCGTCCCCTCATCCCTTTTTAGACACTCAGTTGATAACAGGTGCTGATTATAAAGTCAGAGTTCCTGAGAGGAGTCACCAAACTGAATCTTCTACTTCATGTAGTGTGCAGAGCTCATTCATCAATGATAAAGTGTCTGGCAAATATAATTGCATGGATCAAAGTTCTTATGGGAGCATATCTTTTGTGCGAGATGATCAGGTGAAGTTTTGTGAGAATTCTGTGGGCAAAAGTGCTGCAAGTGACGTGCAAGTATTGTTAAGCAAAAAAATGGATAATCCAAAGTTGGGAGAAAAGTTGTTATGCGAGACTGTTGGCTCTGAACCCACTGACCTGAAGGGTAATCCCATGAAATTCTTTGAAATAACCACAGGGGATGACCGCTTGGCTGATAAGAATCTTGAAAGTAATTTGTCCTTGCCAACCACCTCTAATACCCATTTACATTTGGATGATGACAACTCTGATGAAATGCCAGGTTTTAACTTTGTCTTCTTTAACCCAATTTTCCCAAAATTTTTCCCTTATTTGGATTTGTCTCTATTTTTCTTATATACATTGAATGGGTTTTTTTAGGTATATTTTTCTCCAGAGGCATTTGGGTGAATATGTGATTCAGTCTCATGCCTTGTTAAGTATTTGAGCCTCTCTCTTGCTTGGTTAGTCTTTATTATTTTTTTTTCGGAGGGCACATAAACTGCCATTCTTGAAATGGCCAGTATACAACACTTTCAAAGCAATCTGAGATAGTGCTTTTCATTTGATTTGCTCAAGCTCTCTGGAGTTCTAACCATTTAATAAAAATTTATAGCAGATATCCTTTTATGTATTGACTTCTCACTCTTCATTGTTTGAATTGGATGGTGATTTATTTGAAATTACTATCCATATATAGCTGTTGAAGACCTAATGCAACCATCTTCCTTTACCTAGGCTGGGACTGACTATGGGACCATAGGCAGAGTTATATGGATTTGATTTAACATTTTAAATGATCCTTGATAGAAATATTTTCTTTTCAACGCCAGATGACTGCATTTTGGCAGGTTTTGCTGGAACCTGGAAGACACATGGGTCTGGCATGAAAGTGATGTGGAAGCAGAAACATTGGATGTGGAAATAGTATTATGAATGTTAATAATTAATATCTGGTAGAAACTCATGAGTCGTGAGGGTAGCAAAATTTTACAAAGTTCTCAGTTTCATGGTCCCCTCCCCATGGTATTGGAGAATTTCATTTTTAAATGTTCATCTTAATCATATACACATGTATAGTTGCGCTATTGTCCTGATGAATTGTGGTGGCTTAATTGACCTAGGAAGTAAGGCATTTTATGACATTTCTACACTCAATGTTGGTTTCTTTTGTAGCTGATCCCACGTACTGAGATGGGGCTTTGTGATGGTTTTTTATTTTAGTTTGTTATGTCTTCTATATTCTTTGGTCTGATCTTACTGGGTGTTTGATGAAACTTCACACCAGCTTGTGATTATTTCTTGAAGGGAATGCTCTGGATGTCTTTCTTCCTGTTTGTGCAAGGGCTTCCCAAAAGGAGATGGAAATTGGCAATAAGCATATTCCAATTAAAACCCTTACATCTAAAGGGACAAAGGGTGTCACCACTCACTATCAAAATGATGGCTCTTACTTATATCTATTAACACCAAATATTTTGCCTCCTTCTGCGGTTACTGTGCATAGATGGCTATTTTGTGAAGAAAAAGGTATCTACTTAAATATCCGCATTTGATACCTGATTGGTGATTTGTTTTTACCCATATTATTTTCTCTGAAATTCACTGAAGGAAAAAATTGCCTTTATATCTTATGGGCACAGTTTTTTTTTTTTTTTTTTTTGAAAAACCTAGTTTGAAATCTCAAATTGGTGTATGAGTTATTCATTGGCAAATCTTCTGGCAAAATGTTGTTTTTTCTTCAGCCATTTGATTATTGTTAACAGGAAGAGAGACCTAAAGGTGGAGAAGTTCATGTCTTATTTAGACACTGCTCTTAATTTTAGGAATTAAAGAGAGCTTGTTAATTTTTTACAGCTTTAGAAAATTAAAAAATAACACATAAATCTAAAGATACAGAACTCAAACATATGACTAAGACTAACAAAACTATCCACATAAATCTAATAATGATGACAAGGTAATACCTGAATCTGGTTATACTAATCTTCTCTCATCAGGGCATGTTCCTGATCAAATGCATCAAGAAACTGATGCTGAGGACAAGGATATACCTAAATGTGCTTCTGAACCTCCTCTTAGGCAAAAGCTGTATCAAGATGCTGATACAGAAAAGAAGCTTCCATGCATTGGTGAAGAACAAACAGAAAGAGCGAAAGCATGGCTAGATGGCTCACAAGATATTTCTCAGATATCAGGCCCTGATGGAAAATCAGGTCTTACCCCTCTAAGTCAAATTGGGTTTCGTGACCCTGCTAGTGTTGGCTGTGGACAGCAACTAACATTACTTAGTACAGAGGTATGAGAGACGATTGTAATGTCCTATTTTTTTTTTTTCGCAGCAAATTTGTGTATAACTTTGAAAATTCTTTTATGTCTCAAATTTGCATGTTGGATTCTGATTTGAATACCTTATTTTAGGTATAAGATGTTTAAAAGAATTTTTGTCTTGGTAGATTCTTAAACATTGGTGACAATGAACACATTCTCAAGCATCCACACACAAGCATCAAATCACCAATCCCTCTTACTGATCATGCTTGAAATTGATGTTGATAACCAACCAACAATCTTGTTGATTTCTTTTTATTTGATTTTTTCTTTTACTACTGGTTATTATTGTTGTTGTTGTTATTATTATTAGATGCTTTATGTTGATCATGTTGCTTTTGTTATCAAATCAGCTTGCTAGTCATAGTTCTCCATATCCAAAATTTCATCCACTATTTTTTATTGATATTGAGTTAAAAACTCAAAGGTACTTGTCACTGTTACCTGGAGTCTGAGACTAATACTTGTAAGTTGTAACTATTGACCCGAATCTTTTTATAATAGGAACTTTGGAATCCATTTGGCCTTTATTGCTTGTTATTTAAAAGTACAGGTCTTCTGGACTTTTATCTTTGAGTTACATTTTAAAATTTTAAATAAGCTTATTTTGTTGTCGTTTTTAAATGAATTTGTAGTTTTGTTTCTCAAATTAGTCTAACTTGACTGCTACTCTGGTAGATTCTTGCAGAATCTAGAGGAGACCTTTTACCTGATCCTCAATTTGATGGCATCAACATTGTAGCTCTTGGTTTTCAGAATGATAGTGATTCTATTGTTGAAGTTCTTGTTCTTTTGCATAGTAAATCTGTACCCTCTCAGAGGTATGGTGATGTCTCTCTGTATCTTTGGATACTCATTCTCTTTCTTGATTGTTTTCCTATTGTTGACAAATTTTGTACACCAGTATACACTACTAGATCTCTTACAGGATAATCTTATGTTTCAAAAATTGCTATTCATGTTTATTCTTCATTGGTTTGTAGAAGTTTTGATGGTCTATCTGGCTGCAAAATGTTGGTCTTCACTGATGAGAAGCACATGTTGAAAGAATTTATAAAGATTGTGTCTTCATCTGACCCGGATATTTTGATGGGTTGGGATATTCAAGGGAGTTCTCTTGGTTTTCTGGCAGAAAGGGCATCACATCTTGGTTTAGGATTACTTAATAATCTGTCTCGCACTCCATCTGAGTCTTGGATTGCTTCTAAAGATACCAAAGCATCTGAAAAAGATACCTTGGGACTGGACATCCATGATTCCCCTACTCTAGATTGTTATATGCAAGAAAATTCAATAATTGAGGATGAGTGGGGACGAACACATGCTAGCGGAGTTCATGTAGGAGGCAGAATTGTCCTTAACATGTGGCGATTGATCCGTGGAGAAGTTAAGCTGAACTTATATACAGTTGAAGCTGTAGCTGAAGCTGTATTGAGGCGGAAAATTCCTTCATTTCACCACAAGGTGCTGGCAAAATGGTTTTCAAGTGGTCCTGGACGAGCAAGATATCAGTGTATCAAATATGTTATAGAGAGAGCAAAGCTGAACCTTGAAATATTAAACCAACTTGATATGGTAAAGGATCATAATAAGTTTATTGCCAAAATAAGGGTTTTCTTCACAGCTATTTAATGCACATGGATTGGTTTCACATTTTGGCTATAATACTACCAAAATCTATTTTTCAGGCTTGTGTGGGTGCGTAAATTTTAAACATATGTTTGCAATTATTTGCACATACTTTTGAGTTTTCTCACAAGTTATTTTAAGGTTCTCTTGCTAACATAGATTATTGTGTTTTTATGAAGTCATGTCTCCTTGGATTCCTTAATTAGCTAAATTATTTTTTGGGGTCCAAAATAAGTAGCATTTACATTTTCTTTGTCTTGTTCACTAATTTGTTGGCATTCCTTATTTCTTATTTATTTTTCTGCTGCAGGTGAATCGAACAGCAGAACTTGCTCGTGTCTTTGGCATAGACTTTTTCTCTGTTCTCTCTCGAGGCTCCCAATACCGTGTTGAATCCATGTTTCTGAGGTTGGCCCATTCACAAAATTATCTTGCTATCTCACCTGGAAATCAACAGGTTCTCACAAAATTGTCCCATCCTCTCCTTTTCTATCACATATAACTGATTGTGATGTTTGATGTTTGTAATGCTGTCATAAACCAATCATAATAAGACTATATAAAAGTGCTGTCCAGTGCATGAGACTCCCACCTAGTGCGGTTTGGTGAAGGTAAATGTACACATCCTTACCTTTGCAAGCAGAGAGGATGTTTTTAGGACTTAAATAAAAACCTTGGAAGAATTATACTACAAAAGCAACCATTGTAATTGGAGATCTAAAGCCTTTATAATCTCGTACAGGAATCCCACCTTGTGATTGAATCCTAGCATCCTACCATGTTCTGTAGCCTCAATGCCCAAGCAAGCTAGCCATGCACTGGTACTTTGACTAGTCTTGGTTGAATATTGCAATGCTGATATCACCACCTGCATTGCTCTTTAGAGTTGAGAGACATGGTGGAAGGCTCTGATAATAATATATGAAGCATGGATTCTGACATGGTGGTCATAGGATAACATGTCTATTACTAATATTGAATGCAATAGGCCAACCATTTTCTAGATGTGCTCTTTTAGTTTTGACAAAAGAGATTGAATGTGATAAATTTATAAAATACGAAAATTGTTCTTGGGTGGGTTTTGTGTTCAGTGCATCACCAGGGATCATAATAGAATTCACCAAATCATTTTGTACAATAAGTTTATATCTCTGGCAACATTTTTTTTTCTTTTTGTTGTTATTTACCCATTGAAATAGGTTCAGTATGTACTAGTATTCTAATTATCAAGTTTTTCCTTAGTTTTTTTTTGTTATTCCGGAGCTTCTTTTTTGGTCTATTTATTGTTTGTTTACTTCACCAGTAACCAAGGGCATTTTAACTCTTTTTTTCAATCAGGTTGCCTCTCAGCCTGCCATGGAGTGCCTGCCCCTAGTAATGGAACCAGAGTCTGGATTTTATTCAGATCCTGTTGTTGTACTTGACTTTCAGTCTTTATATCCATCCATGATAATTGCATACAATCTATGCTTTTGCACATGTCTTGGTAAAGTTGTGCCACCAAAGGCCAACACACTTGGGGTTAGTTCATTTTCACCAGAGCAACACGTTCTGCAGGGTTTAAAAGATCAAATATTGCTCACTCCAAATGGTGTTATGTTTGTGCCTTCCAAGGTAATTCAGTCAATCTTTTTTCCCCCATAAATAGTCATTAATGATGTCTTGACCCACCCCTATATATATTTTGGAGTCCTGGACTTGAATGAATGCCAAAGATGGTCGATTTGTCAGAACTGTAAAATGTGGGGCTAGTTTCTCTTTAGCAGATCATTGTAATTCAGTTAATCTTGATGTTTCTATTGAGTAGCCTTGATTCTTTACCCACAATCGTCCATCTCTTTTCTATTTCATTGTACAGATTGAGCTTTAATGAAATTGAATGAAGGACATATATTTTCAGAACTGTAACTTGCTGAAAATATGGGGCCAGTTTTGGTTTAGCTGGTTACTTTCCTAATCCCAAAGACCATACCCACAGCATTCTGTTTCATCAAGAGTAGTGGAAGCATTGTTTGTCTTTCTTTATTCAGCAAATTGTTATATCAACCTTTGCCAACAACTCAATTTGATTTTATATACTTTATTTGTATCTTTATGGCACAATTAATGTTTCATGTATACCTTAAAGTATCCGTTGTGAAGAGAATGGATTAACTTTACTGTCATACAGGTTCGAAGAGGTGTACTGCCCCGATTATTGGAGGAAATCTTAACAACTCGAATAATGGTAAAACAAGCAATAAAAAAGTTGGCTCCTTCAGAGCAAATTCTTCAGCGGGTATGGATGTGAATAGGAATTGAATGTCTTCTAATTGTGCTCAGTAGTTTATTCAATACTATTAATATAAAATGTAAAGAACTGAAGACCATGTCCATATGATTATAAATGTTTAGAATCTATGTTCTTCTCAAAGCATCTTTTTTCTTTTTTTCTATTTTGTAATTTTGATTGCCCAGAACCAAAAAAAAAAAAAGTAAATTATGATTCTTCCTTTGATCTGGACTCTGGAAAATTTTCCAAAAAGCATCAGAATCTTTTTAAAAAATAGAACAGAAATTTTATGAAAATTTTCCGACCAAATGCATGCTAAATATTTTTACCTTCATAGGTTACGGCTGAATTTAATTGTGTTTGCTTTGTGTGATGTAGGATATGGTTCTTTTATATGCATAATTTAAAAGGATTTACCAAGTAGTGCAATTTTCTTGTCAGATATATAATGCAAGACAGCTTGCTTTGAAGCTCATATCAAATGTAACATATGGTTACACTGCTGCTGGATTTAGTGGTCGCATGCCTTGTGCAGAACTTGCAGACAGTATTGTTCAATGTGGCCGTAGTACACTGGAAAATGCTATATCATTTGTAAATCTACAGGAAAAGTGGAATGCTAAAGTTATTTATGGAGATACTGACAGGTAACACTAGTATATCACTAATTAGAGTAAATTGCAATGATCTCTCCTGAGATTTGACCAAAGCATACTCAGCTCTCTTATTTCAATAGTACACTGATCTCTGTTTGCAAATTTTCGTTGGAACAAGAGGATACCTAGCACCTACAGGGTTTGTATGTGTCTGGATAAAGTTTGACTGGGGGTATTTGTCTGGTAAAAATTCAAAATAGGAAACTCAAAATAGGACAGGTGAGTAATTTAAGGGAAAACTCAAAATAGGATTCATGATTGTTTTTGTTTTATCAAGCAATGATTAGTAAAGTGTCAGGGCTGTAAAGAAAAAGACAAAATATTAAGGTGTCTGTATTTTCTGCAGTATGTTTGTCCTGCTTAAAGGACGCACCATCAAAGAGTCCTTCCAAATTGGGAGTGAGATTGCTTCTGCTATCACTGCTATGAATCCTAGTCCTGTCACCCTGAAGATGGAGAAAGTTTATCACCCGTGTTTCCTCCTTACTAAAAAACGATATGTTGGCTACAGTTATGAACGCCCTGATCAAATTGAACCTGGTTTTGATGCTAAAGGTATTGAGACAGTACGCAGGGACACATGTGGTGCAGTTGCAAAGATTATGGAGCAGTCTTTGAGACTCTATTTTGAGCATCAAGATTTATTGGAGGTATAAATGCTAGCAGATTGCATCTTTCCTATATATTGAATGCAATAGTTGTTTAAAAATGATTATGATATCCCCAATATAGGCTAATGCATATTTGATTGTGTGGAAAATAAGGTAAAAAATTGAGGGAGGAGTTAAAATTGGGTTTTATAGAAAGGTTTTGATGTATTGTTCACTCGGCATTACTCGAAAGAGGATGGAAATTCACTTTCAGCTCACTTGCATACCACGAGAATTAACAATACCCTTTCCCACTAGGTGGGTCAGCTACATGAATCAATTGACACTATAGTAATCTGTTGTCAACATGTTTAAAGATAAAAGATTGACCTTTAAATCCTTTAACTGTTTTGATTATAGTTTTCTATGGTCTCATCTTGCTTCTAACTACTAGGCCATCTTCCATCTGATCTGATCTACTTTCCATACTAGGACTTCTACAGGCATTCTCCACACATGCCCAAACTAACTGTGGCGAGATTGTACTATCTATTCTACAATAAGTGCCACCTCAACTTTTTTCTAATGCATTCATTTCTAATCCTATTTTGTTGTAGTATGTCCATTCATCCAATGCAAAGATTCTTATTTCTGCTACATTGAGTTTATTCTCTTGTTGACTTTTTACTGCCCAATTCAGTTCCATACAGCATTGCAAGTCTTATCATTGTGCAGTACAACATTATAAACGTTTTTAACACATATAACACCTGAGGCACTCAGTCTGAAATGGTCTACATCTCCCTATATTTCTTCGTTGTCTTGTGAGGTGGAGTATATTTTTTGGGGAAAATTTCATAATGGAAACTTAGTGGAAAGTCTCTCTGCTGGGATTCTCCAGTCAGATTCATGCCCTTTTAATCTCCCCCCTTGTTCAAACAATTTCTTTGTAAGGAAGAAAAGATGCAAAGAAACAATTGAATTTCAATTAAGTATTCTGTATATTTCATCTGAAAAATTACGATATTGGTTAAATCTGAATTCATGCTTATCACTTTTTAATCCTGCCTACAGGTGAAGGCTTATTTGCAACGTCAGTGGAAGAGAATTCTTTCTGGCAGATTTTCCCTTAAAGATTTTATCTTTGCAAAGGAGGTTCGCTTGGGTACCTACAGTGCAAGAATTTCGTCACTTCCTCCTGCTGCAATTGTGGCCACTAAGGCAATGAGGGTTGACCCTAGGGCAGAACCACGTTATGCTGAGAGAGTACCTTATGTTGTAATCCATGGAGAGCCTGGAGCCCGCCTGGTTGATATGGTTGTGGATCCATCAGAAGTTTTGGCAATTGATTCCCCATTTAGAATAAATGATTTGTATTACATTAATAAACAAATAATACCCGCTTTACAGCGGGTATTTGGGCTTATTGGTGCTGACCTGAACCAGTGGTTTTCAGATATGCCCCGCTCCATAAGAGAAGCTTCTACAAAGCATACATTCAATCCAAATATTCATCGAACCAGAATTGATTATTACTATCTTTCAAAACATTGTGTACTGTGTGGTGGGTTGGTCCAGGCATCAGCCCATTTATGCAATCAATGTTCTGAAAATGAAGTAGCTTCTGCGGCAGCAGTTATTGGCAAGACTTCAAAGTTAGAGCAAGAGATGCAACATCTTGTTGCTGTAAGCATATTTCTATGTTTTTCATTTAGTGTTTTAAGGATTCTTTTAGAGACTGTTGCTCTAATCCTTTCTTTCTCTTGCTAATGAGTTGTTTATGTTATTTCATGCATGGGTGAAATTTGTTTGAATATGATAGGTTGTTCATTACTGTCTCATTAGTTTCTAGTTTTGGTTTGCATTAGATTTTCTGTTTGTAACTTATGCTACCTCAGGTCAGGTTTGATGGAAGTTTGTATTATTGTATCAACGTCGTCTTTCTTGTTCCTATCCGTAAATCCCTTAAATTTGATGCTTTGTGATTTTATTTTATTTTTTCCTTTTTCTTGTAGATATGTCACCACTGTGGAGGCGGGGATAGGCTTCTCGAAAATGCTGTGAAGTGCACGTCCATTTCATGCTTGGTGTTCTATGAGAGGCGAAAAGTTCAGAAAGAACTGCTAGCTGCCACCCATATTGCCGCAGGTAAAGGCTTATACCCGAGCTGCACAATGGAATGGTTCTGAATTGTATATCTCCTCCTTGCCTTAAGCCAAATCAAATTTAATATTTTGCTCTGTTGTAATCAATCAAATGTAAAGCTAAGTTAATTCATGCTGATATGTTTTCGTCTCTGCACTCAGCATCGCAAGCAATTTTTTATTATATTTTTCATTTCTTTTTTCTTTCAATTTTCTTTCACCAGTGTATTGTATGGGGTGAATATTCGTGCGATTATCTGCAACGCACACAGCAATAGAAATAAAACATGGTGGTCGAATTTTTTTTGTTAAAATTATATACTCTGAAATATGTGAAAGATTTTTTATTTAAAAATTAAAAAATATCTTTATATAATTTTAAAATTATTTATTTAAAACAAAAATGATGTTATGAAAAGATGATGTTATGTGAATATTATTAATAAATGAGATGAGAAGAGATAAAGATACGGGAAGATATTGAACTGTTAAATGTGAATTAAAAAAAAAAAAAGGAAATTCTAAATATCTTTGAATAAAATGCTTTTAGGAAGCGAGAATGGTTTTTGCTTTCCTTTAAAGCATCTTTTTTTCGAAGGGAGAATATATGCAGCGGGTTTCGCATTAAATTGATTTTTTCTTGTTTTTCCTTTTACTTCACCTTAACTAAGATTAGACAAGTAATTATAATCTAAGTACTTTTTCCAGTATATTATTTAAAGATTAAAATATAAAGCAATGTGAAATATTAAATAAATAAATATAAATAATGAATATATTATTAAAATGCAAAGAATTGAAAGTAAGTCATTATTTAAAACAATATTTAAAAAATACAACCATAATAGAAAAATATTATAAAAAATTATAAAAAATATGATAAAATTAGAAATGAAATAAATTCTAATCGATACAGGTCAAAACTTTTTGGTTGTGAATATAAGTCAAAATTGTCCTTGCACTATTTATTAGTTTTATAAATTGTTTTTCAATTAAAATTTAATCATATAAATCTTATTTATAAAAAAATATTAATATGAAATTATTTAGTGCTTCACCAATATACATTAAGATTAAAGTATATGTCCTTATGAAATGTTTATAAATAAGAATAATTTGATTGTATTTTATCACCAAATTTTTGCAATATTTGATTTAATAGTTATAATTAGTGTATAAAAATTATATTTTATAAAAAAATCATTAAATGATATAAGAATATTGAATTTTACAGTAATATAATATGATCACTAAATAAAATATTAAATTATTATTATTATTAAAGCATATATTATTCTCTTCAAACTTATTATAATAATATATTTTAAAAAACAGTAGCCATTATTCTTAGAAGAATGGTTAGATAATGAAAGAAAAAAACTATTAAAAATAATTTTAATTCATACTTACCGTAATTTTTATTTTCCAATACATTCTTAACATAATTTTAAATATTTTTTATTATTTAACTAGAACTCTTAATCAACAAAACTCGCATTTTTTAAACTCTATTTTATATCTTTTTTTTTTCATCAAACTTAACTAAGTTACCTTAATAAACTTTACCTTTCTGAGGATGTTTTATTTTCTAAAAGTCTAAGCATATACTTTTACTTTTTCATTTTAGTTTTCTTTATACAACAACAATAATAAATACTCAGTAAAATATATTAAATATTATTTACTTTTTTTATTCACGATAACAACATACAGAGAAGATTGGAAATTGACAAATTTGAAGTATCCTTAAGCAGAATAGTGGCAGAATAAAGATATACTAGCTAAAATCTGAATTCAAAAGCTTGTAAAAGAGAACATGCAAGCCCTTTCAAATCGAGACACTGTTGGGAATTCCCATGCCAGTGAGTCCACCTTTGCTGCTAGGAAAAAGTAAGGTATATGGAATGTTAACTGGTCCAACTCGGTTTTTAAGTTTGCCATCATTGTTCAATGTTATGATCCTTTCCTCAATTTCTACCAGTTTCTTTCCAAACTGGTCAAAGGCTTCCAATGGCTCCATATCAGATGTCCAATTAGGAGTGTCTCTCTGTCCAAGATAGACTTCATCAGAAGAATGCCTAGACAATATTTCTATCAGTGAAATGCCAATAAGAGTCTGCAACTGTGCTGTGATTGTTTTCAGAAAAGCCTTATCAGGATTTGCCACAAGTTCATCATATTCTGCAGTTCCTTCATCAGGCATGAATCTACGGCTTATAGTTGGACGATTTGGGAGGAAACCTGCATAAGGGTATTGTCCAAAGTTGGTGGATGCATGTAGAGCAGAAGAAATCCATATAATGATAGTGCAAGTTTCAATCAGCTCTACACGGGTTTGCATTTTTGGCCACCAAAGTTCATTTTTCTTGTCACCGTGACCTACTTCCCTTAATTCCTTCCACCAAGATTGTAGTTCTGTGTCTTCCTTAACTGTATCATCTTCCTTGTAGTAAAAGGAACAATAATCATGGACCCATGTTTTTATAGCAAACCAAATCTCTAGCCCATCAACAGCATAAGGGTAATCCTCAATCGCAAGTCTAAGGCCATATGGAGACCCTGAATCTTCAACTGCCACTCCTCTGAAAGAAGCAACTATGCATCAGCTCATTAACATCACAAGTTTCTCTTTGTTCTATTCTATTTTCATGTCATCCAAATAAGTTATGGTTATATGATACGTTTGCTAATCGGATAAGTTTATGTTTAGAGCAATGTTATTCTTATGCATGTGTGGTTTACCTCTTGATAAGATCCGCGGGTAATGCTTGTTCAGGGAAAACCCAATTTTTATAAAGTACAGATGACATCTCCATGGAGTACTTAGATGGAAAAACGGTTGCCTCTACAATGCCACCTGCATTGATGAGGATTTGTCGCGCAAGTGCATTAATGTTCATGGTGTCACGAAAATGAGGATGCAATAGTTTGTGAATAGGATGAAGCACGCTAAGTTGTCTGTTCGCAGCTATGACGAATGGCTCAATCACTGCATGAGTATGCAACCTGTCACAAATTGGAAGATATAAGAAATTATTTCCAAAAAAAGATTCGGTTTTTCTAATCTGTACTCGAAGCACATGTTAAGAAACATTAAATATATTCTAATAAATGTTCTAGATTACCATAAAAAGTATGTTTTGAATGTTTATGATTTTGAGATGATAAATGTTTTCATTTTTAGTAAAAATATTTTACTTTTTAACTTTCTAACATGTGTCCTTGAGCACGTTAGAAAAACCGTAAAAGCTTAACTACGTTTGTGTTTGTTTTTTTTTATCTTAATTGACAAAGTTATACCAGTGGCTAATAAGCTGATGATAACCAGAGTCATTTACTGCTACATAAGCTTTAGCCAGCTGCCAGAGGGAACTTTTAACGCCATTTTCAGCAGGAGTGTAAACTTTACTGGTGACACCATATTGATCTCCTTCAGGTTTTGGCAAACTCAACTCAATGGCCAATGGCTTTAAGGTCCCATCATTTTTCAAGAAAAGAATTGTCCTGCTTGCATAAGTCTTTGTAGAAGTCGAGTTTATCCTCCTCAAGTATGGTATTAGTGAATCATGGTGATCTAAGATGAATAACTTCTTTTGTCTGATTGCCTATTTAACCAAATACAGATTTAACAGTAAGAATAAGGCCATCAAATAAAGAAAGAATTGACTTTGACTACAAAGCTCTGGTTAAATTCACATAATATTTTACTATCTAAACACAATTTTATATCAAACTCGAAAATTGCCTCATCTACGGTGAGCCCATCCATGTTGCTCTCAATGTGCTCTTCCCTTATTGTACTGGTTTGATCACCATAGACTTCAGGATCCAGCTTACTTGCTGGTGGGAATTCCTGAAATTTATATTGGATAATTGTCATGGAAAAAATACAGTCAATTATCCATTGAGCTACTATAAGCCTAAGTTTTGAAAACAAACTTGATAATTATAATAAATATACTATTTTTTTAGTTGAATTCAATTGATTCTAAATGTTAAGGCTAAAACCATTAGGCATACTTGGAGGCAACGAATAATAACAGGGTTCACACCGGCTAGCATCTCTCTGGCAAATTCTTCATCGGTTCTCCATGCAGACTTATCCTCTGCTCCAAATCATTAGGATTGTCATTATCAATTTATCATACAATAACAATTCACAAAACACATTACCCTTTTAGGTTCTTTTTCATGCAATGATAACGTGTTAATGTGAGTAGTATAAGAATTGTTAAAAAGTACCTTCAATCACTTGAGGCACAGGAAATTTGAGGAACCCTTCACCATCAGTTCGAAGAATTTCTTTGAGCATCTCAGCAGGGATTTTATCTACAATATTGTTAACTAAAGCTTCAGGAACCTTAATCCCACCTTCATAGAGTTTAAATATATCTTCAAAGCTATCAAACTCATTAGGGGTGCTGTTGAATAGAGATTCTAGCTCAGGTTTGACAACTTGAACTATGGATTTCAGTGCATAAGCAAGAAAGTCTGACAATTTCAAGTGACCAAATCTTTCATCCCTTGGAACATAGATGTCCAAGCTCATGGCGAAATTCAATCTACTCTCAGATCTAACATCTGAAAAAAAAAATAGTTGAATAAAGAAACAACACCAGATCAGAAATTTAAAAATACAACAAGAGGACTAAAATTTATTTTCCAAAATATTCTCAATAAAAATAGACTCTAATGATACTAAAAATGAATCAGGCCAAACTTATTTCTTAGATTGTTCAAATCTTGTAAAAAAAAATACTTATATTTTAAACATATTTAACTGAATAGCAAAACAACTAAATAACCAATATAAAAAAAGCCTAACCTGACTTTGTATGTGGTCTACCAGTTCTTCCCCTTCTAGGGTAGGGATATTCAATGGACCCTCCTAGAACTGGACGAGCATATTGTGGACCCTTATCAGGATCCCCCAAATCATTGTAGAATGCATAATCATAGACTCTATCCCACTCTTGCAGGGTCCCTTTTCCATCTCCTCTTAAATTCTCTAGTTCTTCTTCTCTATACTTAAGAAGTGGCAATGGTGTTTCACTTGGAAGGTATGTCTGCAATACATTAGTAGTAATTAAATATGTAACTAGTATGATACTTAAAGCGCTTAAAGTCCTTGCATGATACTGATAGCTATGTTTGTAGCATTACCTTGTTGCTGAAGAAAATGCGATCCTTTTTATATTTATGTGCAGGGTATACCCAAGAGTTGCAAATAAAGTGGATGGTACCTTGGCCTGGAACATTTTCTAGTGTCAAGGTTCTTAGGTAGAACTCACTGTGATGGTTGTTTCTTATTAAAAATGCTCCTGGTATTCCTATGTCCTCATCCCAATCAAATGTAACTTTGAATGCAGATTCACCAGCTGTTAAGGGTGTGATTGTGGTAATCCAGTCTTCCAGATATGCAGGCTTCCCAAGTTTTCCTTTCATGTCATTCCCTTCAACATTTGTGACCAAAAACAGTGCCATTATTTAGACCACACAAAAAAATTAACATTCGTATATAATATTCTATACTATTATTTTTATTTCTCACTTATTTTTTTAACACGTATCTTCAACATAAAAAAAACACCTAAAATGTCTTGTCTAACATTTAAGAAAATGTCTCATGTTAAGCACTAGAATCTAGATTAAAAATAGAGATAATTAATCAAACCTCTCTTAAGAAAAAAAAAAATATTAAGTAGTACAGAACTACGTGGTTTTAACGACTCATAGTATACCATATATTTAAATTTTACAATTTAAAAATAAATAAATTACATACATGTTATTGCGTGATATGATCTGGAATCATAAAAAAAAACTATCCTCTTAAAAATTAGCATTAATTATACTTATATCCTCTTATATTTTATAAGACATACCTACCTTACTTACATGATGTAATTATAAAAATAAGTTATGCATAATTTTAATTTAAAAAAAATAAAGGGTGTGAATATGTAAGAATAATATAGAAATAAATAAGAAATAAAAGTATTATTTTCAATTAAGCAAAATGTAAATATAATTATCACTGATTTGGGTGAAGTTCAATATAATTCTCTCTTAAAAATGTGACGCGTAAAAAAAAGTGTTGCCGACGCAGAGATGCCATCAGAGTTGATTGGATAATTTTTAGTAGAGTCTGTGCGTAGAGATAAGTTTTCACCATTATTTTTTAATTATTTTAAAATTTAATTTCAGAAGAATATTATTTTAGAAAAGTTTTAAAATATTTCTCAGAATTTAATTTTAAAATTTATTAAATATTATTTCTAAAATTAAAATTTTTTAAAAATAATAAGAAAAATGATGTAAATAAAAAAAACGGTGTAAAAAATAATTTATTTTTCACTTTTTAACGTACAAACTTTTTCGTTCAATACCTTTTTTTTTTTTTTTCGGGATCCTTGACTTTTCTTCCGTTTTCAATCTTTACACACCAACTTTTTCTTCCCTTTAACACGTCACTTTTCTATCTTCAGCAAAAGGAAATCGAAAATTTCTTTTCACACCTTCTATTTTTATTATTCATATTCGCTGTAACTTTTTTTATTTTTAAAAATAAAATTCTAGAGGTAATTTATAAATAAATTTCAAAAGAGAATTTAACACATTTCAGATGTTTAATTTTAGAAAAATAATTTATGAATCACTTTCAAAACTAAATTTTCAAAATAAAAAATATGAATAAAGAGAGGTGGGTGTAAAAATTATTTCCAAAGAGATAACATTTGGCCCAAAACATATATAGGTTTGGACCTTTGGGATAGATAAATGTAACAGCATCTATTTCACATCTAGTTCGCATCTACTTGACTACTTCTATTTTATAAAATATACTTATATAAATCTATAATTCATATCATTAATTTTGGTAGTTATTTGTTCATTATTTATTTAATATAACTGACTTAGTCCATTGCTCTATTAAATTCATGTAATTTTTTTTTCCATTTTTACACGTGTTGTCAAATTCATTTTGTCAACTTTTTTTAAAATAATGTAAGTTGCTAAACAAAAGTGATAAAGAGTACTAAAATTCCTTCACAACATGCTTATTCTTGGTGGTTAATTTTAAAATTTGTGTCCGTTTACTTTAAAGTTGAACAAAATTACTTGTAATTAAATTTATTTTGAATTATTGAATAAAATTGAGACTTGTACGTAAATTAATCTGAACAATACATTTTAATTAGAATATATGTTTTGCTTTTAAAAAAAATATATAAAAAGCAGTTTTCTAACTAAGGAAAAAATCTCCCTTTTTTATATTGACAACATTCTAACTATTTAGCATACTCTTTGTTAATTCTTCTATTGTCGAGGGATTGTCATAAAATATCAGTTTTACTGATCAATTTATTTAAAATAATTATTAAAAATCAATAATTTGTATTAAAAGTTACAATAAATATTTTTTTGCTTTTAATTTTTATGCTTATCAAAACACTTTTTTAAGTGAATGACCTTGATTCTTGAACTCTGGAAGAAGGAAAATAAAACGTCCTTTTCAAAATTATGAAGAAAAAATAAATAAAAGTATATGAAATATTCTGGATTTTTGTGATTATAAACAAACTAATGTGGAAGTGTTCAAGTCACGACTTGGGAAATTCAGCATTAGATTCTTTCATGTTTTGATGACAAGAGTTGGAAACCAAATGGGCAGATAGAGATGGGAGAAGAACTAACGATCTGCTTTCACAGAGCATAAGAATAGAGAAGATATAAAAATATCGTGTCATGGTTCAAAATTTTTATTTCAGATAAATAATATGAAATAAAAATGATAAAAAGAATAACAATTCTTTTTTATCTTTTTCTATAGATACATGTCTAAAAAATATACTCCATAACACACGAAAGAGCCATGTTAAAAAAAATATTACCATTACATTATTCCCAGAGAAGATTAAATAAATAACAAAATTTCATGAAATGAAATAGAAAAACCAATACAAAATTTAATATAATATTTCAGCTAATTGAATTAGAGTTATTCATGTGGTAACGTTAACGCAGACAAACCAGAAAGAAGAGAAATGTAATAGAAAAACAGAGAAGCAAGAGTAAATACGAACCAGCTTGGTGAAGTTGAAGGGCACTGATTAATTGAAGAGAAACGCGTTTGCCGAGAAACTCGTGAAGACGATCGAGGATGGAAGCACTTAAGTCGTTGAAGTCAAGCACATTTTTCTTCATCAATACCACTGTCCCTCTTATGCTGCCATCGCTCTTCTTCTTCTTCTCAAACTTGTCTTCCATTCTTTCTTTCAAGAACACCTAATTAATGTATTCGTTAGAAGTAACAATGAAGATCCCAATTCCGATCAAATTAACGCTTGTGACGTGAACTGTAAATGAAGTTCTGTATTTATAGACCCAAGGGATAGATGCCAACCTATGTGTTTCCGATGGCTATTTTTCTTACGTAACAAGACTAGCCACTTCATTTTTATTTCTTCTATTTTCCTTTTTCAATGTAATGCCTTTTTTTTTAAAAATAAAATACAAAATTTAAACAGGACATATCTTGTATATAAAAGGATCCATCTTTGTGTTTAGCATGATAATTTGATTTTAAAAAAAACATATAAGTTACATCTTTAATGTATTTAAAAATATATAATTATAATTTATTAACATTTTGATAAATAAAAATTAACAAATCCATAGTATACATGCACACGTGTATATAACATTAACGTTTTTCTTTTCAAATTTTCCATCTATCTTTTTCTATCATCTCGGTCGCTTTTCAAATGTTTTGCTCGTTGGCGGCTCGCTGAAAGATATAGACTAAGTCACTAATATTATGGTGTTATTTAATTATCAATTTGCAATTTTTTACAATAATTACTATTTTGCATATGAATTTTTCTCGACTATTATATTATTTTAAATTACTTTAACATCTGGCAATTAGCCCCTCTTCCCATCAATGAAGACTTTAAGATATTATTGAAATTTTCAAGCTTCAATGAAGTTATTCTTTATTGATCAACACTCCTTATTTTCTTTGAGAATTGTATCAAATGAAAAAAAATTTAAATGAGTAGAAGAACATTGTGTGCTCGATTATATCCAATCATTTGGATGTAAAAAACAATAAGTTTTCCTTTTCCTATTTATTAAAGTGAATATATGATTTTATTTTATTTTATTTGCGTAAATTTCACTTCAACTAAACTTTCTTCTTTAATTTCTTCATTTGTTTCTTAATTTTTTTATCATCTTATACCTTTCAACTCGTGATTAGGGTAGGCACGATACGGCAGCATCGTCATGTGTTGGCTGATTATATATGGAGATATTAACCGATTTGCATCTTTACTAATATAATCTGCACAATTTGTATATATATAGTTCATTGTTTATCAATGAAGGTTTGGTTTGTTCAACATCACAATTTTCCTTTCGAAACCAATAGAAAATGTTTACATGAATATCATGTTCCAATTATTATAATGTCAATTCGTATAACAAGGATCAATGTTGCGTGTTTGATTAGAAAAACTACATTTTTTGTGCATAGACATATTATGTTATATTATACATGTATAAATCAACAAACTAGTCATATATCATCAATCAATTTATTTCCAACATATCTATACTTGAAAATTGTAATCCTTTTCAATTTTGATTGCTAATAATGCTAACTTAATTAATAAATTTCTTGAGGCTTGTTGGCTTAGGTTTTAATCAAACGGGTTAATAACTTGCTTTGATTTGATTTGATTTGAAACAGTACGTGTAAGACTTTGAAGCTTTTAGGTTGGTTTTCCCTTTCAACTAAGTGGCTGCCTCATTTCTTTTTACAGTAATTAATAAGAGCAATGGCTGTTTCTTATATATAGTTGGGTCCTTCCCTTATAGAGATGCTTGAATCTTCCTTCTATACACAGGCAATAATATTAATGATCATACACATCGTTTTGTCAAAGTGTTTTGAAAAATGTTTGATTAGTTGTTTGGTTTTCAATCTAAAAGTTTAATACGTAGAGGAGAGTTGCTACTCATTATGAAATTTGTGGTTACAAATTCTTAGATCATTAATATGTATTTTACATGTAATTAATTGTCTAGGGACAAGCATGGATAAACATAATTTATATTTTTTAAGTTTAACATATTTTTAGTTTTCATATTTTATGGGATATTAACTTTTCAAATTTTAATCTTTAATTGTTAAAATTTAACATTTTTTTTTATCTAATGATGATGTGTTTCAACAATAAATCAACACGTGACAAACTTCTTAATAAGTTACGTCATTGTTGAAAAATGTGGGATTAAGAGAAATAAATATTAAAATATATTTTTAAAAATTAAAATTAAAATCAAAATCTCTAAAAACATGGTATATATATGTTACGTTTTATAACTAAATTTTTATTTTTTTTACTGAAATTTTTGTACTAAACGCTTTGGTAGTGTTTGACTCGATTTAAATTGTAAAAAGTTTAAAAGGTAAGAGTAAATAAAGTTATAAAAAGTTTCGTAAAGCATTTTTATTAGTCTATGTAAAGCTTAATGTTGAATCAATCCTACAGTATATTAATTGTCAATGAATACAACATACATTGAATTTGTGATTGAATGATGATAACTTTTTCCTAAATTTAGAGATACTTACTGTGTAATGACAATCACAGTTTGTATTATCGAATTAAATGATTTTAAATTAAATTTCACACAATAAAAATAAAATTATTAAAATATAAATAAAAATTAAAACAAGAAAAAAATAATAAATATAAAAACAAAATAGAAATAGAGAATGGCGTCACAATTGTAAAATTGATAAATCAAAAAATAATTATCACAAGAGTCTTAGTCTCTTAATAAGATCAAAGAAAACTGGCTTACTCAAAAATCTAGAGTCACACGTTCTCATGAGAGTGTCCAATCTCAAATTATATTCAAAACTAATTAAAAGTGTGTTTACAAGAGCTTATATATGTCTAAGCTCATAAACCAACACAAACACAATCTTAACGGGTTTCTTGTAACAAGTCCAAATATAAATAAACTAAATAAAAATTTAAAATAAATAAACTAAACATAGTAACTAAATCCTAATGAAGTACATTAGAATACAGGTTCTTTAAGTATATGTAATTGATTATTTTGAACTTTTTTAATTTTAAATTGAACTTTTTTTCAAATAGAACAATAATTATTTTCTCTAAGTATTTATTTATCTTTTTTGTCTTTATTATTAGTCCTTAAAACCTTTCCAATGCCTTTAAACTTTTGTCTTTAATAGGTCTTTATTGATTCTCATAACTATGATTGTCTCATTTGAAGCCGTAAAATTGGAATAAATTTTTTTCATAAAGATGAAAATGAGGCTAAAATTCTTTGAAACAGATTTAATTAGTTACGGGGACAATGATTATACTTTTCACCATGTGCTAGCTTCATCTTTAAGAAAAATACTAAAATAACCTTAATTATATGGATTAATATATTTTGACTATTTCATTTTAAATGACATATTATATTCAAAGTAAAATTATAATTTCACTTTTATTCATTTGTTTCTATTATTTTTTCTCTCACTTTTGATTTTTTTTATAAAATTAACAATTTTTTTAGCATAGTTTTTATTATATCATACCAATTTCCTTTATAATTTTTCCCCTTCGTTTTACTAATCAAGAGAACTTTGGACTGTTTTCAAATCCAAAACACCTTGTTTTTTTAATTTTTGACCTCAAAATCTTTGTGAAAATTTAAAGAGATAATAAAATGCAAATAAAAAAAAGAAAAAGAAATGTTGAAACAAAAATTGTGGAGAAAAATGAAAGAGAAATTGAAAGCGAATTAAGAAGTAGAGAACTATCGCTATCCTATCATGTGTGTTGTCTTCAATATTTTAAATAAAAAAGAAAAACTTTTGTAATATTTTTACAATAACATGCAATATATAGAGTTAACTAATTAATGACTAATGAGTTATATGGAAACTCTCAAGTCCTATTTATTATTTATACAATGAGTAACAAGCTAAATGAAAATTTACAATGAATGAATACCAACATACATTAAATTCTTATCTGTTGCTTCTGCTTTAAATAACTTTGGCATCAACTTTAATGCTGAAAACAACAATCAATCAATCAATGTCACACTAAATAACAGGGTGCAAGAATTAGAAAGCCCACCAAATGTTAAGTAAATGTTCACACACGTACATAAGATAGCTTGGCATAGTTTAGTTAATTAATGTCATTCTCTCTTTGCGGGTCTAGGTAAGGTGCAAAACTTTGCCACTTTTTCATTATATTGAAACTCGATATGTATATTTTGTGGCTAAACATTGTTCACGCAAATTTCCCAATTAATTTGATGCGTGCCCAAATTTCACTTATCTTTAGCTCCTTTACTTCTAATCTACTTCTTACGGTAAAAGAAATAATAATAATATTTTTTAAAATTATAAAAAATACTTATTTTAAATATATTAATTGTTAAAATATTTTTATATTTTTATTTATTATTATCAATATTTTTATATTACATGCGCATGTGATAGCAAAACTATGAAGTAACAGGGATGAATGTACCGTTGATGTTTTTTCTTTCTCTGTCATTTGGTTTTCTTAATCGTGAATAGTAAGTAGCTATAACAAATAACTTATCGTGTGTCTTTATATATAGTTTTTTTACTTTGTTGGCCACTCTTTGGCTAATTGCGTACGGATTCCCTTTTAACGGGTGTAAGGACATAATTTTCTCATAATTAACATATATTTATAATTAGATAAACATGTGAGATAATAAACTTATTAGAAAACAACGTTCATAGAAATGTACATTAGTTAATAAAACTTTTAAACATATATATAAAGGCTAGAACTCATAAAAATTAACAAAGTTATTTGCCAAGGGTATAGTTTTACCCACTTGCTGAAGATTAAAATGAACCATGTCCATTATGTGTTGACAAAGAAAATGCAATTTGTTGTATTTACACTAAAGGATTATATATCAACATCTTTATATCTCTTTTTGTGTGTTTGCGTCCTTGAAATTATTTTGAATTTTAAAAAAATCGATTACCCACAAAATATGTATTAAAGAGTGTACTACTATTATTATTATTATTATTATTATTGAAAATGCTACAGATGTTTTAATCTATACCGTGCTGTTTGTGACTATGGTAATGCTGTAAAAAGTTAATTTTATAAATAAAATCATTTATACAAAAATTTAATTTGAATTAGATTGGATCGATTTTTAAAATTGGATTCAAAATCAATAAAAACATGTTTTTTTTTGTCAATTTGATTTTCAATTCGATTTTTACAGTTTACGTTTGATTGGATCAATTTATGAACACTCCTAAAATCAGTTACCTTTACTTTTAGCCTTTTATTCTAATTGATAGTTATGCTTTCTTTTTAGCCTAACATGGTTATTCAACCATATATGTCCTTTAGTGGGAGTTGCCATACTATAAATCAGCAAGATGATTGTGTGGATTTTGTTTTCTCTGTGGATCTCATACAGGGACCAGCTTTTGTTTTCTCTGTGGATCTCATACAGGGACCAGCCCTCAATGGGAAAATTGTTAGCTTGTGATATTTATAATCCTATGTATGAAGGTATTTATTTGTATAAGGGCAGAAGTACACCATGTACTTGTCATCACTTATCAATAAATTTTAGTTTACTAAAAAAAGTTACTTTTGCTGTCTAGTACATGAACTGGATACAACACTGCTACTTCTCTTTTTAAGTAGACATCCAGCTCAATAAAGCATGTTCTGCTAAGAATATCAGAACTTAGATCAATAACATTTCCCTAAAGTTTATGTCATGATCTCTCATCATACTGTTCAGACGCTTTATGTTCATTACCTGTTAAAACATTAAAATAGTAACAATATAAACAACAATAATAGTACCAAAGGCCAATGCATACCAAAAGCATAAAAAACAATTAAGAAGGATGTCAGCATGCAACAAATGTAATACACTTAATTACAAATGGGCATTGATCCGTTTTCAAAACCAATTCACACAGGTTCAACTTGCTTTGTAACCGGTTCAAACTGATTCACACCCATTCATATAGTTAACCGGTAAAATTCAGCTTTATTTACACTGACATTAACTATAAGAATTTACAATATCCAAACAAAAGGAAATCATTTAGAAAATATATGGAGGATTGATTATATTGCATTTTCATATTACTACTTTTACTATGATATTCTAATTAACGTATCAAGTATTACACAATCATCTATGTAACTGAAATATCTCAAGTACATTGATTAAAATTTCTTCTCATCAAACATCTTTCAGAATCCAAATACAAAAAGTAGCTCCATACGACAGCAATCAGCTCAAAGACATAATTAGTTTTTTTGTTAGAACAATTGTCTTCTCGTGCATAATCGTTCTTTAGAGCATAGTCTTCTCACCCTTCAGCAATTTTGAAAATGTAAAACAGTTAAAATAAATAACATACAACATGTAGGCTTTAGCTGGCAAGAACTCTATCGTATGAGCTTCAGCTTCCCAACTAATGCAACGTATGAGCAAGGTGAAGCAGAGAGTACTATGTGAACGTTAGTGACATACAATCCTGTGATCATTCTCACCAACCATGAGGTCCATGACCAAGCCCATATGCATCCATATAATTAGCTCCATGAATGTGAGCATCACCATAGTGATTGTGATCATGATCATGATCATGAGCATGAGCATGGAGATGATGATCGTGACCATTACTTTTTGCTTCATCAAGCAACTTCTGTATGTGATCTGGGATGGGTTCTTGCTCAACTTTCCTAAAAGTCTTTGGTAAAGACAAGACAAACTGAGAAATTTGTTCAGCTATCTCAACTGCTACATCCTCCTGAGATCACAGTTAATTGGATTAGTTTCAATGGTAAAAGGAAGAAGATTGACATCACATGGAAAAATGGTAATTTACATGATGTAGAAAGAAAGACAAATAAATAGTATGAGTGGACAGTATATTAAAATAATCAGGAGGAAGAGGCAATAGTCCGAAGCTTTCACTTATTGCATCTTCAAGCAAAGCTAAAAACAGAGTTTAGTAGCTCATCAACATATTTCTTCCCCGTCCCTCAGATATCCTACTAGGAAATTCTCTTCCCAAAGGAACCAAGCTTATTCCTCATTGAAATGTGAATGAATAATCTACTACAGGGAAAAAATTTGCATGGTACTTGTGTTATTTTATACAGAAAGTCCACAAGATAAGAAACAGATATATTCAAGAAAACAAAATTCTAGCAAGGAAATGTTATGTTCTCATTCTGAATTTATATTACAAGAATACAAGGTTACTGTAGAAGAGAAACTTGACCAATTAAGTTCTTCCCGATAATCACTTCATTAGTAAAGAATGTTCATTGCCACTCTCAGGAAGCAACTGATCCTGGATGTGTTCCCCACCAGATCTTAATAGGCATTCGTATATACATACAGTATTAATACATATGCGGGAAGGGGGAACTTGCAAGGAAAAAAAAATTTATTGTAACACACAGCAAACAAACTTGTTATCCAGATTAGACAAACAACAGACAGATATCTGAAAAACAATATAGAATTTCACCAGAACTTCAAAATCAGCAAACCCTCTGTGGATACAAAAAAGGAGGAGGTTTGTATGGCCAGATTAATCAAATTGGAGTTCATGATTCCAGCATCGCACCATCTTATTATGCATTGGACCATATCAACTACTCTAAGTAATTTATTATCTAAGCATAATAGTTGACTCTTGGTTCCTCAATTCCTTTTTAACCGTTGCTGATAAAACTTATCCAAAAGCACTAATCTACCAACCAAGTTTGATTGACTAGAGATCATAACATCGTGCTTTGCACCAGATTGGAGAAAAAATCCACATAAACTGATCATGCAGAAAACAACACAAACCAGCTCAAATGTACACATAGCTGATAGTTGACAGCTTCTTTACTAAGTGTATAGTCACTTTGAAAAGTAAAATCGATATTTGATGGCAGCTTGAATAATTAAAATAAAATTCAATCGAAGTATCGGAAGCAAGAGTTTTCAGGTAAGTTTAGATCATGGTAGCATAGCATGGTAACATCTCACAGCATCACAAAATCTAACAATGAAACTAACGTGCATCTGATCAAGGTTTAAGAACAACAGGAGTACCAAACCAGCTCATTAACTAGGAAGAACATAACTGCTTTAGAATTCCTAAATTCTCAGAGCAAACCACTCAATTCGAATGTTATTCCAGGCATCCATTTCAATCCAATCAAACGATCTCTTCATGACAGAAAACATAACAAAATAAAATCACACACAACGACGGAAGCTTGTGCAAGATAAGTAAAATAAGATAAGCGAAGCAATAAATCTTGCGGTCACCTGAGCCCACCGCCCTCCAGAATGTCCAACAAAAGTGGCCTGTGGAAGTGCACTTGCAACCCGATCACCCTCGCTGTTCCATTCTTCAGACCAACCAGCAGACCATATCACATGCATTGGCATATCTTTCAATCCATCAGAACCACCCCACTCTGCCAAGTCAAAGCTTGAATTCAAATTCTTCCCAACAGCAACAACCGCTTTCCTCCCATCCCTTCCCTTCAACAACACCCTCTGAGCATCCACATCCAAAACACCAATCCTCTTAGAACAGCACAAATTCACCACCTTTGTATACACCAAAGAAAACCCCAAAACCATGTTCCTAATCAGAGGCCACTCCAGAACCCAAATGGGAAAAGCACCCACGGTAGAAGCTGCTGTGTCAATAAGCGTCACACTTCTCACCAATTCAGGCTTCTCAGAAACCCAATTGGCACTCATTCCCAAAGCTGAATCATGCAACACCAAGTGAACAGGAGCAAGCCCCATGGTATCAACAATTTGTCCCAACACTGTTCCCATCTCTTGGGGACCCAAATCAATAGCCTTTTTCACCTTCCTCTTAGCCATCCGAGCTACAATTTCCTCATACGGAATCTGACCAGTTTCCACCATCTGATCAAAAGCCCAGAAAATACCCTTTTCCTGAATTTCACTGTACACGTACCAAAACCTCCCAAAAATCCCGTTCACCCCTTCAACGGAATCTTCCACGGTCTTGTCGGAAAAACCATTTCCGGGTAGGTCAATAGAAACCACGTGCACTCCCTTGGAAGCTAAAAAGTTTGTAACTTTGCGGTAAGAGTATGAACTGAGACCCTGCCCGTGTACAATGACAACGTTTTCCGAAGCTGTGGGACCCTCTTCGACGGTGAAAACTTCAATGGGTGGTTGGTTATGCCGCGTTTGCACCTTGATGGTGCGGCCCTTTGAATAGTGTTGGCGAAGGGAGTTGGGTAAGCTGAGGAACCAGGTTTTGCTGTCATGAGGGGAGAGGGAAGAGGTGAAGACGAAAAGGAGAGTGATGAGAGAGACGCAGAGTGTGAAGTAGAACCAGAAAGAGAATGTGTTGTTAGGGGGCTGTGTTGGGGTTGAGGGTGATTTGGGTTCGCGAGGATTAGTTGGTGGGATCTGTGAGCGTGAGTGTGTGGGTTCTTGTTGGTCCGGTTCTTCTGTGATGATCGCCATGATCGGTTCTTCAAGCTTGGGTATGGTTACAACGCAGTTGAATGTAGATCACGCGGGTTAAGGGGACATCATCATTGCGTGGTTAATGGGTGAGTGTGATTTTTTTCTTTTGTTTTGGTCATTGCCAGAGTGAGTGAGTGCGTGTGTCTGAGTCCGAGGTCAGTGTAGAATGAAATATTTTTTTTATGACGTAAAAGAAAAGTACTGAGAAAAATAAACACAACTTCCTAACTAGCATTCTGATTTGCATCGTAGATAGAATAGAAAAAGAGGAAATATGAAAAATAAAAATGAGAGGGTTAAATATATTAAAAATTAAATAAAGTAAGATTGAGAGAGTTAAAGAAAATTGTTTTTATATAATTTATTGAAAATGAAGATATTAATTAAGAGTGAATAACAAGTTGTTTTTAGAAATGAATAGAGGTGAAAAAAATGAAAATAAAAAACATTTCCTAACTTATAAAACCATAGATTACTTTTATTATCAAGTCAGTGCTTTCAAGTTAGTGTTTTTTTTTAATTCCTTTACTAAACATTTTTAGTAATTTTTTTATTCAAATAATTTAATTGACAAGATCATTAGCCATCCAATTGATTTACCAAGCGAATGTAAACTTTTTCTTTTCTTATCTATTATTCTAGTAAATAATAATTAGAAAATACTAACATGTTAAAATTAGTTTTTTAACGTAACGTCTATTGTCTATTTTATTTTATTATTCAAATTTGTTATGTTGCTTTACAAATAGTGATGTATATACTAAGTGTAACGTAACATATTCATAATAATGTCAATTAAAAATTACAATTAAAAATAAAATAAATTATTTTTTAATTATCTTATTTTAAAATATGTCAATGTGTTAAATTATATTATTGTGTCCCATCACTTCTTTTTCACTAGACACAGTTAAGGAATGACAATAAAATAAATAACAAATTCTACATTCATGGGTTAATTTTAATATGTTATTATTTTTTAGACTAAATTAAATGATATTTTATCTGTTTAAAACTAACTTAAGATTGTTTCCAGTTAAGAAAACCATTCTTTATATTTTTATTTCTATTGTTTTAAAAAAAATTCTATAAAAAATACTCACGATTTAAAAATAATAATAATAATAAATAATTACAAACAAATTTTTGAATAACCTTTTTTTATTTTTCAAATTTTTAATATTAATATTTTAGAAGATAAAATAATATTTTAGAACACTTATACTATCAACTTCAAAATTAATATAAGATTATGCAGCATCGAAATAAATATAATGATTTGATTCAAGTGATAATACATGTGACTTTATTTAGGTTTGGATAATTTTTTTTATATGTATTTGTATGAGTGAAAAATTGAGTAGTGACATAAATTAAACTTTTTAAAAAATTTTAAATTAATTTAAATTTATTTATTTATTAATAAATTATTAATATTTAATTCTACTAAAATTTTAATTATTAAGTTATTTTTAAATTATGAAGAATTTTATTTATTACTTATGTTGTTTTTATTCTCTTGGAAGAAATTTTTTACAAACTTACATAAATTGAGTCTTAATTGACGTCTTAATGTTAAGATTTGTAAATTAAAAAAAAATGTCATTAGTTAAAATTTAAATAATATTTGAATATTGAGAATACTACGAAAGTAAAAATAAAAATCCCTCAAGATTGTATGTGCTACTATATTATTTCATTAAAAGAATAGATTAATTTAGTGAGTAAAAATTTTGAATAACTAAAATTATGGTTGGCAAAGATAAAATACGAGTTAGCCAAAAGTAATGTTTGTAATCAGGAGAGGCTGAGATCGTGTTTAGCTCTCCCTAATTCCACTCCTGTAAGGTTTAGAAGAGACAAATTAAAAATTTAAATCCAATTACATCTCAGTTAATGTTCATTACAGGGTAAGTTCAGATTTAAAGACGAGTAATTACATTCTCAAATCCACTTTTCCATTATTTATTATATATAATTAATAAAACATTAACAATATGATTATTCCAAATCTCTTAATCTTTAAACACCGTTAAAATTACCACAAAAGGATGAACTTCATAACAGAAGGTTATCCGAAGAGAAGAAAACGAGTATTTGGCATTGGCATTGCGGGGCAATATACGTGCATTTTTAGAGCGCGGGTTCTTCCATTTCTGAGTCTGAACTGAACACTTGTGACTATGCAGCGAGCACTGGTTGCTCCCACTCTTTCAATCCTCCCTCTCTCTCTTTCACGCCCAAACCCAATCTTCTTCAAATTCAAATCTCAGAGGCACATTTTCTTCCCCATTCGCAACTGCGCTTCCTTCAAAGTGAAACCCTCTTCTCAAATCAGAAAGACTCGCGCCGACTTCGATGCCGAGCCTAAGCTCATCGCTCTTCGACACCTCTTCTCCGAACCTGGAGTCAACATCGACGCTTACGTCATCCCTTCGCACGACGCTCATCAGGTTTTCTTCGCTTCCTTCTTTCTTTCTTCCGCTAAACAAATACTAATGTGATTCTGTATACACTTTTTAGAGCGAGTTCATTGCTGAATGTTACTCGAGGAGAGCCTACGTATCTGGTTTTACTGGCAGTGCTGGAACTGCTGTCGTTACCAAGGACAAAGCTGCTCTCTGGACAGATGGCAGATATTTTCTGCAGGTTTTCGTAACTCTTTTCAATTGTCTTTTCATTTTGTTGTTATCAACTCAACTCCAATTGTTGCTTGCAGGCGGAGAAGCAACTGAACTCCAATTGGATTCTCATGCGAGCTGGAAATCCAGGAGTCCCTACTACTAGCGAGTGGCTCAACCATGTCTTGCCTCCGGGTGCTAGAGTTGGCATTGATCCCGTCAGTAATGAATACTAGTCATATATATGCACTTTCTTATGTGAACAATGTTGTATTGTATGCATTTTTATCTTTTCTAATTGCTGTCTAAATCGTTAACATTCTGGTCAAAGTCTTTTGTTTTGTATATTCCCTTTTTCTTTTTGTGTGTGTGTGTGCCTGATTGGGTGTTATCTTCCGTATTGTTAAGGAGGCAGTTTCTTTTTACATCGGATGCTGCAGAGGAACTTAAGGGGGTCATCTCTAAGAATAACCATGAGCTCGTTTACTTGTACAATACTAATCTTGTGGATGAAATATGGAAAGAATCTAGGCCAAAGTCTCCAAATAAGCCGGTTAGAGTGCATAGCTTAAAGTATGCTGGTTTGGATGTACCATCTAAATTGTCATCTTTGAGGTCAGAACTTGTTGATGCTGGTTCGTCTGCAATTGTAATTTCTATGCTTGATGAGATTGCATGGTTGTTGAACTTGGTAGTGTATCTCTACACCTTTAACCTTATGTACTGATGGTTATTTATATGCAATTGCCGATCTTTTAAAACCTTTTTTCAATATCTTATTCAAATTGCTTGCATCTAACATAAGTAACTTACTGGTTTCCTTTTTTCTCCAACTGTTCTCTGTTTACATTTCCTTTTGAAGAGAGGCAGTGATATTCCTCATTCACCTGTTGCGTATGCATACTTGATTGTGGAGATTAATGGAGCAAAGTTGTTTATTGACGATTCCAAAATTACTGAAGAGGTCAGTGAACTGTTGAAGAGAGCAAACATAGAGATCAGGCCATACAATTCAATTATATCTGAAGTTGAAAGGTAATTATGGAGAATCATTTATTATGCCCCTCCCAATTTTTGCATCTTTATACTGGAAATGTCTCAGAATATTGTAGTAGATTGGTCAAGATGGCTTTCTAAAATGGTAGCTTTCATTCTGTCAGTTGCTTATACTTGCTTACTTTGTTTGTAAAAGCAGCATGGCTTTGATGAACTGAGCTTGATTTTCTTTCAGTTTGGCAGCACGAGGTGCTTCCCTTTGGTTGGATACTTCATCTGTTAATGCTGCTATTGTAAATGCCTATGAGGCTGCTTGCAACAGATATTATCAGAATCAGGAGAGTAGGCACAAAACTAGGAAAAAAGGTTCTGATGGTTCCATTGATCACTCAGATATACCCTTTGCTGTTCATAAAGTCTCTCCTGTTTCTCTGGCAAAGGCCATAAAAAATGAAGCAGAGTTAGAAGGAATGCAAAATTGTCACTTAAGGTTACCATATTTTACCCATCGTGATTATAAATGTTGATGTTTTTGCATGTTTTGATTTCTGTATTTTAATGATTTCTTCAAAATGTCTTGCATATAGAGACCATATAATGTCCTAGATAAGCCATGCACCGGACTTTTGTTTGTTGAATCATGATTTTTCTAGGGAGGGAGAGGTTATAATTTCTTCTTTTTATTATGCAAATGTTAGTGGGTTGATACATTCTTAATTCTTTTTAGTGAAATGTGACTCGTATTGATAAGAATGTGAAATTAAATTCTCATATAAGAGACAGATATGGAAGCTTGCTTTACCATATATATAATTGTGCATCTTTATTGCTTCCAGGGATGCTGCTGCCCTTGCTCAGTTCTGGGATTGGCTAGAGACAGAAATTACTAAGGATAGGATATTAACAGAAGTAGAAGTTTCAGACAAACTTCTTGAGTTTCGCTCAAAACAAGCTGGTTTCCTGGATAATAGCTTTGAAACAATAAGTGGTACTGTGGCAGACTGATGATTATCTATTTTTAACTAAATTATCTATAGGTTTTGACAAATTTTATGTTGGTTGTCAAAAGCCTAACACAACCCTTATCCCTTAGCTAGGCTTGGGACTGGCTATGGGACTATAGGCAGAGTTTTTTGACAAATTTTCACTAAATTATGGTTAAAATTTAAAACAACATGAAAAGATACTGCTGTGATTTTTCCACAGATCTGTTTATCAGTCAAATATTTTAGGGAAATTACAAAAAACTTTAAAACAACTACTGCTAAAAATACAGACTGCAAAGGAACACCATTTAGTGACTCTATGTCAAAGAATGTGGTAATTCTATGAAATTATGTACCTATTATTCCTTCATGGTACATACGTTTACCAATACCAGTAGTTCCATTTAGTATTTTTAGTTTTCTTCTTTGGCTTCATTTTGACTCCTCTTCTGTTTTGAGCTATAACCTGTTAATTCATTGGTTCAGCTTCTGGTCCAAATGGTGCCATCATACACTACAAACCAGAACCAGAGAGTTGTAGTATTGTGCATGCCAATAAATTATTCTTATTGGATAGTGGTGCTCAATATGTTGATGGCACAACTGACATAACACGGACAGTTCATTTTAGTGTGCCTACAGCAAGAGAGAAAGAATGTTTTACCCGCGTTTTGCAGGTATCTCGCATGTGTGCTTTTTCCCAGAGTTTATTTCTGCATTTTGTTCACTAGAGTATCCTGTACAATTCAGCAACTAGGTTACCGTGTTAAACATGCAAATCTATTCATTTTGAGCTTTCAAGTATGTGTACAATTCCTTTCTTTTAAATATTTGGCCTTAAAACAATTGTTTGTCTAAACTCATATATCTAATTGCAGGGCCATATAGCTCTTGATCAGTCGATTTTCCCAGAAAATACCCCTGGTTTTGTGCTGGATGCGTTTGCCCGTTCCTTTCTTTGGAAAGTTGGACTTGACTACAGGCATGGTATATTCCTACTTCTGTACTTCAAGTGGAGGCCTGTTATTTATTTCTTGATCAACCAAATGTAATTAATGAATTTATTGATTGATTGAATATTTGTTCTCAATGTTATCTATTTAGGGACTGGGCATGGTGTAGGAGCTGCATTAAATGTCCATGAAGGCCCTCAAAGTATTAGTCACCGTTATGGAAATTTGACCTCTCTAGTAAATGGCATGGTGGTTAGCAATGAGCCTGGCTATTATGAAGACCACGCCTTTGGTATTCGGATTGAGGTAATGTTCTCTTCAGCTATCTTACATGCTGTAAAATGGTACCCTTAGCTCCTAATGTTTCTGGATTGTTTGGATAAGCAGTCTACTAGTTTTATTAGGTGTTGTTATTACTTATTAGTCATATTAATTTTATCTCCTTAAAAACTCATCCTTTACACCTAAGGTAAGTTGAAAGCATGTGCAAGTAATTCCAAGAAGTATTCTGACTTTCTAAAGAAAGAAGCTGTGTTTTGGGATCTTTTGAAGCTTGATTGCTATTTTCCAGATTGTCTTGCTGGTTAAGAAGTGGTAATTTCAACTTTCATGGATGGATTGCAAAGCCTTCCATTCCTTCAATCACAAGTGTCTTAAGAGGCTTGCTGTGGATTACTTGATTAATGATTTTTATATATTTCAATATTCATACCTTCACTTGTTGAACAGAATATGCCAGGATACATTCTACACATGTCATTATTCCTTTCTTTCTCTGCTTAACTTTTAAAATAATATTTTATTAGTCTTATATTCTGGCTTGCATGATGATAACACTCTTTTAGCTTTCAGAATCTCCTGTATGTGAGAAATGTTGAGACACCAAATCGTTTTGGAGGAATCGAATACCTAGGATTTGAAAAACTTACATATGTACCAATTCAGGTATGCTGTTGCCTTTTAGTCATTCTGACCTTGCTGCAGTTGATAGTGTTTTTTTATTTTTTTTTGGGGTGATGTTTTTGAAAGACAAAACTCCTGTTGTAGTTCAACATCAGGAGATACAGGATGTTTCAAGTGCACTAGGCAGTAAAATAGCTTATTCTCCCATAAATTTGGATCTGATTATGCTTTTCTACTAATATATTAGTGGCAAGTCCTTTCTTTAGGAGGGGATCTTTAGACCAACAGAGTTCGTCAAGGCCTATTTGATGGGGGACAACAAATTGTGAAAGGGTTTTTTTGGTCAATCAATTATGAAACCTTTTTTTAAAAGAATATTGATCCTGTATAAAACACAAGCACAAGTAAAATAGTAAAGAAAACTAGAACTAATCTATTATTTCCGTACCTGCGTTGCTGGAAGTATTCATGGGAAATTTCATCTTTACTTGGAATTGGCTGCTCATTTTAAATCTGAGGACTTGATGTTTTCAGTTTTCACCTGAACTTGAGAATGTTCTATTCCTAGCCATGTATTCTTTCATACCCTGTTACTAACCTGGGCATATACTGCAGATTAAATTGGTTGATTTGTCTCTGTTTTCGGCCGCAGAAATTGTTTGGCTTAACAACTACCACTCGTTAGTCTGGGAAAAGGTATTTTGCTTTGACTTAATTAGTAACATTCAATTTGCCTTCTAGTTTGTTGCTTGACTTTCTTTTTGTTCTTCTGATTCTCACTTAGTCCTTTTCCCCTAATCCTTTACACAACTGCATTCTCTCTGGATGCTGTGTGGGCCTTTTGTAATTACCTGTCTGATCCTAGGTCTTGGGTTTCTTTAAAATATCAATTTTAATGCCAAAGCAACTCAGAAATTTAAGATTAAGAATATTTAAAGGTGATGGAGCATGCTTGTGTTTATCTTATCTGACTGACCAGACCACCCTCTCTTTGGTGTGTTCACGGAACCACCCCTTCCCCCCTCTGAAAGAACTACTGCAAAAAGTCCTGCATTATGCGGTTCAGCCAGTCCCCTCACTCTCACACCCTCCAGCTGCTGCTTTTCCTTTTATAACTACTCCCACTCAATTTTCTACTCTATAATCTTGTATTGTTGATTGTTTTGTAACTAATATGATATGATGCTTCACAGGTTTCACCATTGCTGGATGGCTCAGCTCGCCAATGGCTTTGGAACAACACTCGACCTATCATCCATGAGAGAATTTAATGATTTTCATGTTGATTGCTACGGTACTTGAGGTTCTCGTGGCGTGTTGCCTCCTCGCCTGTTTGTCTATATACAGTAGCTTACAAAATCCATATAGGTAAGGCTGTGAATAAATTTGTCAATAAGAACTACATGAATTTGATCATACATATGATGTTAAAGTTTTTTACACATAATCAACCAATTGATTATAGATCATCATATTTTTAAAAGTTATTGAATTTTATCGTAGTTATTTTAAAATTAGATGATAGTGTATTAAAATTAAACTCATTTTAGTAATTATAAAAATGTAATGATATAAAGTCTATAGTTTCTTTCTTTCCATGGTATCAATTACAATAGAACAATATGAAGACTTTCCAGACACCAGTACACTTGCGCATATTGAGTTGATGCTATTATTATGGACCCTAATGATGTCGAAGATACTTTTGGCATTCAAATTCAATTGCTCCACCAAAAAGTGTTTTTTTTTTTTTTGGCGTTGGAGAGTGGTTTTTCTTGGTATGCACCGGTCCGGCATTTGGGCCTGTTAATATATAAATTTGTCATCAATAACTGAAGCTTAACTTTTTAGACAAAAATAAAAATTCATGGACCTTGTTGCCAACAAAATGAATTATGACCCAACTTGTATGAAATTATGCTTTTCCAGAGTATAAGTAAACATTCTTTTTACTAGAAAAACTCAGTAACCACAAATTTCTACTCGTGTAAATGGGGACAATGACAATTATCGGTTCAAGAATTAAACGAAATACGATTTTATGGCTGCAATTGATCTATTGAGGGGGCAGGACGTAGTTAAAAGGCTTAAAATACGATAATTTATAACTATTTTGAATTTCTTAAATATGCCTCCCCAAAACATCATTTTTTAAAGCTCTAGCACTGCCACTGCTATTCTACGGTTGGATTGATTGATTGACATTCGATCAACCGGTAATTTTTTTGGTAACACTAGTCGGATTGCTTCTTCATCTTGTTCAATTTTAGCATTCATTTCGTAGAGCTTCAATGAAACTTTTTTCACGTAAGTACCTTTATGTTTTTTAATAAATTTTAAAAAGCTCTAGTCCTAGCAATAAACTATTGAAAAAATATACTTGAAAATAAATTAATCCAAATATAAAATACTTATCCCTTCTAATTTTCTCAGCGCTTTAAAGAAAAACCTTCTCAGTAATATTTTTTGTATTTTAGCATTTTTTATATTAAAGAAAATACATTTAATTATTGCGTACATTCATGGGCCATAAGAATAAGAACACACTAGATATTGAACAACGTAATATTTCAAAATTAATAAAATGACGCAACTGACACCTAAATACAGTATTTCACAATAACAACTTAAATATTAACCTATCTCAAGTATGGAATCATTGGATTTACCCGCAAAAGAAATAAATTATATAATAAAATAGCAAAAAAAAAATATTTAAACACATAAGTCATAAGTTTTTAAAGCAGTTATATGAGTTTTTTAAATAATTATGTGATTTAAATAACTTTTAATTGTAATTATTTAATACTATTATACAATTAATATTCGTTGCTGTCTTTTCGGATAAAAATAAAATATGGAAAATAAATTAGTGAAGCAGTAAAATTGGAGTCAAGTCAATAATAATGATGACATTAAGAAAGAGTGGACATAGTGTCTGTAAAAGGGGTGAAAAGGAAACAAAAATACTCCAAATTAACTAACGAGTACGAAAAAATCGAAGAATTAACAAAATGGTCCCTAAATTATTTTAATTATATTGCAGCTGACCCAAAATTTGAAAAGTGATCTCGGCGACCCCCTTTCCTTTCTTTTCCCTCTATTCTCACTCTCCTTTCTATTTGTATAGTTCAGTTCTGTGTTTGCCGACGCAACGTCTCTCGCATTCGCATCGCTCTTCATTCACTCTCACTCGCAGAGACAGAAATAGAGAGATCACAAATGCAAGACATTTTCGGATCAGTTCGCCGATCACTGGTATTTCGTGGTTCACCGGAAAACGAAGAAACCTCGCTCGGAGTCGGAGGAAGCCTTGTCGATAAGATCAATTACTGTATCCGAAATTCCAGAGTCTTCTCCAAACCCTCGCCGCCGTCTCCTTCCATTCCTAAGGACGCTGCGCCTCCGATCCGATGGCGCAAGGGGGAGTTAATCGGTTGCGGTGCCTTTGGCCAAGTTTACGTTGGAATGAATCTCGATTCCGGAGAGCTTCTTGCAGTTAAACAGGTCAATTCCTTCATTCTTCTTTCGTTTCGTATTTACCTTCATTCCTATATACATATTTTAATTTGAGTTCAGTTCTTAGTTATCTATTTCTGCTTTTGCTTGATTATTAGGAATTTGACTTTGTTATATATTCTCTTGTTTTCTTCGAGTCTGTTCTTGCGGTTCACTTTTATTTGAACTAGTTGTGGTTTTAGCTTTAATGCTTGAACTGATTTTCGCTTTCTTGTCTGGTTTTTAGGTTCTGATTGCGGCAAGTAGTGCTTCGAAGGAGAAGGCACAGGTTTGTTGTTCGATTAAATTTTGTTGGCACCTACTTCTAATTGCATCGATCAAGGCAATTTGATGTGTAAATTGTTGTAACTTGTAGATAACAAATGTTCGTTAGTCGTGTATACAGTTCCTAATAATAAACAGAGTTGTTGTTTGATGAATGTTTTCTCATGCTGCTAACAGGCTCATATAAAGGAGCTTGAGGAAGAAGTTAAATTACTTAAAGATCTTTCGCATCCCAACATTGTTGTGAGTATTTTACTCTATTGGTGGATGATACTGTCAAGCCAATTAGTTCGCCCAAACCATCTATTGACAGAATAGGTTTTTGTGCTGTAGAGATATTTGGGTACAGTCAGAGAAGAGGACACTTTAAATATTCTCCTGGAGTTTGTTCCTGGTGGATCAATATCATCCCTGTTGGGGAAGTTTGGGGCTTTCCCTGAGGCCGTAAGTGTGTATTTGGATTGAATTACTTTTTGTGATTATACGAAATTTTTTTAAAAAATACTATTCATTCTGGTTTAGTAAATATTAGAAATTCAGGGTTATAATTTTTTATTAGCTTTTTAACAAAGGAGATAACTAGTGTAAGATAAGCAAAATTTCAGAGCTTGTGCTTAAAAGTTATCCATTTATTTCAAGTTAACTTTTATTTTTCATTTTATCCTTAATAATTGAATATTTTTTAATATAAAACTAACTTTTACACACAACTTCTTACTTTTTTGTGATTTAATTCCTACAAAAAATATTACTTTATACAATTTAAACAGAATAGATTATTTTTAAAACTACTTTTCATCTAACATACCCAAACCCAACACTTAATTTGTATAATCAATTATCACAATAATTGATTATTGAAATAATCTAATTTTTTGCAGTTCAACCGAACACACTTAAGTTTTAGCTGCTGAACTGATGTACTTCGGTAATTCTATCTGACATTATTTCCACCAATTCATTCATTCAACAGGTCATAAGGACTTACACGAAGCAGTTGCTGCTTGGACTTGAGTACTTGCACAAAAATGGAATCATGCACAGAGACATTAAGGTGACTTTTCTTACCATCTCTTTGATATGTATTTGAGCTTTCTTCACTTTGGTGGCTGATGTTCTAGTATAAATTAATTTCAGGGGGCCAATATTCTTGTAGATAATAAAGGGTGCATAAAACTAGCAGATTTTGGGGCATCCAAACAAGTCGTTGAGCTGGTAATCTTAGTCTTATCTGTTGCTCTACTATTATGTATAATATAAGCCTTCACCTTTGTGAGGCCTCTTCTGTTTGCATTGATAAAGAGTGCATTGTTTTGATCTAGGCCACAATTTCTGGTGCCAAGTCCATGAAGGGTACTCCATATTGGATGGCTCCCGAAGTTATTCTCCAGACTGGGCATAGCTTGTAAGGACATTAACCCTCTTCACATATTTTACACTTGGTATTGTAATCGAGACTCTATTTATGATTCCAAGTGCTGACCATTCTATGTAACAGTGTTGTATATCTAGAGTTGTATTAGAACTGGCTTAATTATAAAATGATGGTTTCTGTTAGAAAATAGAAGTCTTTGCTTTTGGATATCGAAAAAGTTACAGGAAGGAATTCTCAGCAAGACGCATAGGTTAACTAGGCTTTTAAAGTTTCTCGTCTTAAGCAATTTGAAGCAGGGTTATTATTGGTTTCCTTGTCTAGTAGAGATAGTTATATGATTTAAATGAATGAAATGTACTAATTCAAGGTAAAAGACCTTCAAAATTCAATTAGGTGATTCTTATATACCACTTGGGGCATTGCTTGGATTTATTTACGTTCTTCTACGTATGTGTATAATATCTTTTTGTAACAGTGTTTCATTTGAAGTTAAATAAATATTTTTTTAATTTCATACGTTGATGCGTTTTCAGCTCTGCTGACATATGGAGTGTGGGTTGTACTGTGATTGAGATGGCCACGGGAAAGCCTCCCTGGAGTCAGCAATATCAACAAGAGGTATCTCATATACTCCTTAAATTGTGTTTTAGATGCTCTCTAAACATCTACTGAAAAAAATGGACTTTCAGGTTGCTGCTCTCTTCCATATAGGGACGACCAAGTCTCATCCACCAATCCCTGAGCATCTATCCGTTGCAGCAAAAGATTTTCTGCTAAAATGTTTGCAGAAGTATGTTACTTTTAATTTTCTCCTGCTTTGCTTGTATCCTCAATTCCTAGTTTGTGTGTTTCATTGTACCCAATTAGTGTTTATCTCTTAAAACATATGATGGAAAATTGATCCTGGTAAAATTATTTAGTTTGATTTTTTTTTTGGGTGAAGTGGGGGTGGGAACGGGATTGTGGGAGAAAGAATTCTGCGCATGTTTTTGTATTATCAACTAATTTTTCAAAAAAAGAGGACTTCCGATATTGAATTTGTGTGTGCGCGCCTGCGAGAGAGAGAATATGCGTAGCATGCTTCCCTTTCAGACTTCTGTTCATTATTAGATTACAAATGTCTCGTATAACTATATAATCCTTTTGTAGGGAACCGATTTTGAGGCCATCAGCATCAGAACTGCTGCAGGTGATTCTATGGGCATTTCTATTTAGATTGCACATATGAAAGCTAGAACATTTTGAGTAGCAATTTTAATACTGCTATAAGCTATTGATTACGTTTAGAGTCTAATTATTATTATCAGCGTTTTGCATGAAATGTTCACTTCTCCCTAAAATTAACTTAAGTTTGATATTTGCTGCAGCATCCCTTTGTTACTGGGGAACATATGAATTCTCTTTCTCTGTCTTCTAATGTCACGGTACGTAGTATGTAGAATTCGAGAGAGGTTTAAAATGCTGTTGCAACTTGCATGTATCTTTTATAAACCACTTTTTAAGAAAAATTACTTTTCCCATCTGTCAGGAAAATTTTGAAGCTTCTTCACCGTCATGTGTCCCACATGTTGAATCTTTGTAAGTGTTGAAAATTTCTTTCTAGGACTTGTAAGATTTGGCAGTTTTTTCTGTGTAACATATGGATTATGGAGGAGCTATTTTTTTAATTGTATATTATTTGTTGATGCAAGTGAAATGGTCATATGATCTTGGTTAACAAATGTTTGTGATTTATGTAGCCTCGTTTGCTCGACAGTAAATCCTCAGGACTCGGGAAATAAACAGTTGTGGGGAATGAGTGATGATGATGACATGTGTGAGATTGATGACCAAGAGTTCTCGCAGAGTGATGTCAAGTTCAAATCATTGATGTCAAATAATATTGAGGTGATTGCATTCATGTCTTTGTTTTATTCAATATGAAATTCATGAGTAATGATTTCCAAGAATTTTTTTTAATGTAGAGCTTCAACCCGATGTCTGACCCCTCTGATGATTGGGGGTGTAAATTTGATGCAAGTCCAGAACTGGAAAATAGAGGAGTTAATTTTGGCACCGATGAAAATTACGTGCCACCAGATCAGTCGGGGGCTGATAACGTGCAGAAAGATTTTTCCTTTCAAGGTGTGCCATCTTTGTCAGAGGAAGATGATGAATTAACAGAGTCAAAAATTAAAGCCTTTTTAGACGAGAAGGTATTGCTTTTAGTTAGAATCAAGTTAGTTGTTCTGCTGTAACTTCATTAATCTTGAAGTCTACTAAGAACCAACTGCTGTGTCATAATGATGACTGTATGCATTTATGGCAGGCTCTGGAACTGAAAAAACTGCAAACACCTTTATATGAAGAGTTTTACAACAGTTTAAATACATCTTGTTCTCCCAATGTGATTGATAGCTCAAGTGATGATAATGCGGCTCGAAAATACTTGAAATTACCTCCTAAAAGCAGGTCACCAAGTCGGGCACCAATTAATACTCCATCTAAAGCCGTTGACAATGCTGGCAGTCCTGGAAGTAATGGCAGGTCTTCATCAACTGTTGGCCATGTAAATAACTATGTTTCGCAGGATATTCCAGCATCCCCCAATAATGAATGGAAAGGACTGATAGCTGACTCCCAGCAGGAGCCCAGTAGCCCAAGGTCTGTTTCTTTTTGTCTTGCTATGCATTCTCAACTTCAATTATTTTCAAAAATTGAAAGTAATTTAAGTTTTATACCTTGTACTTGCAGTTTAAACTTTTCTGAAAGACAGAAAAAGTGGAAAGAAGAGCTCGACCAGGAACTTGAGAGAAAACGAGGTTAGAATTTTGTTAACAATAAAATGTCTAATTAATTTCTAAAATTTCTAGTCATTTAATTTCTAAAAAAAATTCTTGAAATTAATATTCGTAGATAAGTTGCATTTGGGCCTGTCAATTGGTTTCATTATTTTGCAATTATCATTCATTTTCGATCCTAATTTTGTCGTGCACCAATTAATTTGGTCCTGAATTTAGTTTATATTAGCCAATTTGGTCATTAACATTAGGGATCAAATAGGTTGATAGTTGTTAAGTTCAAATACCAACTGCACAGTATTTCACTAATTCAAAAATTAAATTGACTGATTTGATAATATAAAGAATCAAATTGGTCAGTAGTATCAATTTCAGGGATCAAGTTGATTCATGAAGGACCAAAAATTATGATTGACGTCAAATTAAATTGATTAATTTGATAATATGAAGAATCAAATTGATTGGTAAGTGTCAATTTTAAGGATTAAATCGATGTTTTACTAAGGTTCTTTTTTTTGCTTGTTTGCTTCTCGGCACAGTATTAAATTTTACAATTTTATGTAAGCGAGAAGCATGGAGAGGCTCCAAATCTTTATCTTATGCATAACTGAAAAAACACTTTAGCAAAACGAAATATAATATGCCAGTAGTATTTGGTATAACGGGTTTTTGTAAGTCACATAGGATAATAATCTCATCCTAAGTGAACTAATGAGATTGATACAATTTTTAATGTCATAAAGTTATTTCTTTGTTAGGCTAACTTAGACAAATTATGGTATGACTGATTTATTTACATGTGGCCTGGACAACGTTGCAGAAATGATGCGCCAGATGGGAGGAAAGACATCTTCACCAAAGGATCGAGCTTTACATCGACAGAGGGAGCGGACAAGATTTGCTTCTCCAGGCAAATAAGAGATTCGTCAGAGCGTTCCTGCGTTCCTGAATGGATTTTATTAACCACTGGAATTGCAAACACGTTTTACTGCAGTTTTGTTGAGATTGTTAATGTTATATATCCAATTTGTCCATTTTACCATTTGAAATATCTCACATGCTGTGTTTTTGTGCCATGTAAAGCTTTTTATACCCGCGTTGCTTGAAAATTTTCTGTCTTTTGGTTGTGAATTTGTGGCAAATTTTATTAAATAATAAATTTTAGAAAATAAAAAAGAGAAATTAAAAAGACATTTAATCAATATAAATTATAAAGATGTTTTGTAAATAATAATTTTAATTTTAATTTTTAATTAATTTAAAGATATATAGAATAGAATCAAAATAATTTAGGTGTAAAAAATATATAGTTTCCTTTTATTAGATACTAATTTTACTATAAATAATGATTAATCTACACACCTAAGGACACATTTCTTTTACAGTAAAATATTTTTGAGAGAATATTTTAGAAGAAAATTTTTAAACAGAATTTTACATAAAAATATAAAAAAATATTTTTCTGAGAATTTTTTACACAGAATTTTTACATAAAAATATAAAAAGAGATAGATACTGCAAAAAATTGATCTTAATTTTTTATTATTTTACTCTTTATTTCTTTTTTCTCATTTCTTTTTTGTACGTGGTTCTTTCTTTTCTTTTTATTTTTGTTCTTTTTTTTTATCTTTGTGCTAAAAATATAAAAAATAAAAAAGAATCATTTTTAAATCAAAACATTCTAATTATAAATTTTTTAGGTGATTAACTCTTTTTTTCTAAATTAAAATATAATTTTAAAAAATATATATAAAAATCTATTTTTAAGTTATTAAGTTTTTTTTGTCAACTTTCAAAAAATAATATAAAAAAATTTATTTTTTAAAATTATTTTACTTTAAAAAAAATATATGATTTGAGATTAATGAATCTCATTTGCTCTCCTAACTTTCGTCTCTCATTGTTGACCCAACAAAATGCTTTTACAATATTCTTTTTAATTGTATTTTGACTACCTACAAATGTTTTACGCTCAATTATTCCGGATAAAGTTTGTATCTTCTTTCTTACTGCAGCTGATAGCACAGAGTTAGTCAATACTTATTTTTTAGATATCGTCATTGCTTTTTCTCTAGGAAAAGAAGTTCATAACCCGTGGGCCTTTTACCTCCACGTGGCATTACTCTGTCAGTCTTTCACTCATTGCAGGAAATTCTCCACTACTGCCTCTCTTAGGAGTCGTCCTAGTATGACTGATCATCGCCTTGGTAAGTCATTGCTTCCTTTCTCTTTTAATCTTAAATCTTGTTTTTACTTATAACAACTTATAACTGAGGCTTATTTTTAATAATAAATAAAAATAGACAATAGAAAAAAAAATATTTAGAGTCAATATTTAAAATTAATTATACTAATTAATTTAATCTTAATATACCGTATGTTAATGCATTCTTTATTCATAACTTACTTTTTCTATTTGTAATTAATTCTCTAGACTCTTATAAGTTTTTTTTAATATTTTTCTTATAAAAAATAAAAATAAAATTTTGATGACGGTTTCACATTCTTTTTTCTGAGACAGCTTCACATTTTATTCAAATTAAAACTTAATTTTTTAAAGTTACTATTTTTTTTCCACCAAGTAACACATACCTCAATTTTATGCTCTTTTGTACTGTGAAAACAGAAACCTAATTTTCTAAAGCTGTTATATTTTGCCTTTTTGAATTTTTAGTAAATTTTTTGTTTTTGTTTCTTTGAATGTATTTTTTAATTTCTATATTTTATAAATTTATATTTTTAGTCTTTAATATTAAAATGGTCAAACAAAAATTGACATGTAACAATATTCTCAACAAACTAAATTAGTATTAGTAACTACAAAAAAAATGTTTAAAAAGACAAAAATAAAAAATTATTAAAATATGAGGATAAAAGCATATTAAAATATTAACTTTTTAGTCTTTTTGCCTTGCTATGCTATTCTCAACTTCAATTATTTTCAAAAATTGAAAGTAATTTAAGTACTTGTAATTTAAAGAAAGAAGAGCTTGACCAAGAGTTTGAGAGAAAACGAAGTTAGAATTTTTTTTAATATTTTCTCTATTTGTAATTAACTCTTAAAACTCTTAGAAAATCTTTTTTTAATATTTTGCTCATATAAAAATAAATAAAATTTTAATCACTTCACATTTCATTCAAATTAAAACTTAATTTTCTAAAGCTGCTATTTTTTTCATCTACCAAATGACACATGCCTCAATTTTATGACCTTTTGTAATATAGAAATAGAAATAATTAGAACTATGCGGCGCAAGATTACTATGAATCTGTTGCTACTAGTGTCTCTCTACTCAATGTTAATTTGAAGTCTCGATTTCTTACTACTCATGCATACGGATCTGATATCTTGTGATATAATAGAAAACTTGATTTAATAAATAATTTAGTGGTAAGAAAAATAGTACTAAGCAGTAAAAAAAGTAATTTAGCGGTAAGAAAAATATCTTAAACTTTATTTGAAGTGTATTATTTTAATAAATAATTTTAAAATTATATTATTTTTATTTAATTTAAATATATTTTTATTTTCATATTTTAATAAATGTTTTGTTTTAGTTTAATTAAATATATTTTTTAATTTCTATATTTTATAAATTTATATTTTCAGTCTTTAATATTAAAATAGTCAAGCAAAAATTGACATGTAACAACATTCTCAATAGACTAAATTAATATTAGCAACTACAGGAAAATTATTTAATAAGATTAAAATAAAAAATTATTAAAATATAAGGATGAAAACATATTAAAATATTAACTTTTTAAAGTAAAAATAATAATTTCATGGCTGCCTACAAGTAAAAAATGCAAAAAAATGCAGGTTGATGTTTTTCTGCGAGCTTGGTTTGATAGATTTACGCTTTTACGCTGACTAATTTGTCTCATCTTCGTCAAACATTAATAATATTCATTAAAAATTATGAAATACTAGTTTTAATTTTTATACTTTGTACTTGAAATTGTATTTCCTAAGGTATAAATTAATAATCGATTATATATTTTCAATAAAAGATATTTGAAATATCATGAATTATAAATAACCTTCGGACATTTGAGATAAAATTGCCCTCAACAAAGATTAAAAAAGAAAACAAAGGAATTACAAATATCGACACATCAAAGAATTGCGGTAACTGAAACATATATTTATGTTCTTAATTTGACTCTTTGGAGCACGGATTTTCATTGTTCATGCTTGCTGGGTGCTTTTTCACTCCATTTACTAACCCATCCCTTTGCTTTTCTTGCTCTTTAATGGTGAAACCAACTTGGTTGCCAATCTTGAAGGAGAGAAAGATCGACATAGTTTTGATGGAGCTGATTTTTTTGGCCCATCACTTTTCTTGCTCTTTAATTTTGAAGCTAATCTTGTTGCCACTCTAGAAGGAGAGAAGGGTCGAACCCATCTCTTTGGAGAACACTTCTTCTTGCTCAAACATGTAGGTCTTGTGGGTGAAGAAGTATAAACATTTGGTGGGCTTTTGACTTTGACTTGAAATTTTGAAGCTGAAGGTGGGGACTTGATCAAAACCTTGTGCTGTGTTCCTTCGTTTCTTAATATGACAGGTGATCTTGTCTTGCTAAACTGTTGTTGACGTGAAGAAGATGTTGACAAGAATAAAGGGTTGGCGAATAGTACTGTCTTGTTGCTACCACATGGCCTATTACTTGCATATACCCCATTGGCCAAATACTTGTTATTCTCTTTATCAGATTCTCTTACTTTGAAATTGATTCTTGAACGAGCCCGTTGAGGTGGTGGGGAATCATAGCGTAGTTTAATTTGCTTCTCTTTGTTCCTTCTAGCCTTGAGTTGTGTGTTTTCAGGGTCAACTTTCTGGTTTGACCATTGGGGTGGTGGAGTTTTTGGCTCCTTGTTGGTAGTTTTACCAACTGCTGAAACTATTTCTCTGGCAAATTGACTTGCCTGTAAAATTTCTCCAACAGTTTCACCTACGATCATTGCAGGCAATGACATTTGCCTCCACTCACCTGCACAAAGGTTACAAGTGATTGCACATTATTATTTAAGACTTGAGAGAAAATTTTCTCATACAATCTTTCATATTACATGGTGGGAAATAAGATGGAAAAGATAGAGAACCGTGAGATAAAATAATATATATGATTAAGAAAGATAAGATATATATTAACTCTTTAGTTAATGCCATCCATGACAAGCTAATTGGTTTTGGTTTTGAAAGAGCAAGTTACAATACCTTCTGAATTAACTAGCCTGGGAAACTTTCCCTGCGGAGATCTCTTTGGTGCTTCATTCTTGATCCTTCAAAATGTCGAGACAACAGAAACAATGAATTTCAAATTTAAAACGTGATTATTACCAGTAATCATAATACAAGGACAAATTACACTCATATTGCTTGATGATTAATGAAATTTTATTTGATATATATATATATATATATATATATATATATATATATTTCTTTTTTAGTTTATACAAACTTCATCTAATTTGTTTAACAACCTAGTATTTTCCACCAAAATTAATCATGTTCACTTACCATTATAGGCAACAAAACTCGATACCAAAGGTTGAGCAGAAAGAGACTCTTATCAGTTGATCACATGTTAGGTGGTGTATCTTGTACAAATTATCTCTAATATTTTATGTAATTATATGAATTCAGGTTGAGTGAAATTTTTTTAAACGTAAAAAAATTGTGAATGCAATTTACCTTAGTGAGAAGCAGTAAAATTTTATATATTAGAATGTAACAAAAACAAAAATTTACCTGATTGATTCTTGCTTGCACCTTAGACTGGTTCTGAGATACCCTCTGGTGCCGCCAGGACTGAGACTTACCCCTGAGACCACCTTCGTTCCACCGGCCACCGTGAATTGAAGTTCTTGTAGCCGAACCAAGCATCGATCCACCTTCAAAGAATTCACTTTCAGGGTAGTGGAGAGGATATAGGACAGGTTTGGTTATAGTATGAAAAAATAATTTTCACTCTTCAAAAAAGAAATTATTGTATAGTTCAGATTAATTTATATACTCTTCTTAATCATATTTAATGAATCAAGATCAATTTTACTTGATTTCAAACTAAACACACACTAATTGTAATTACCTATGTAAATTAATTACCTTCTTGAGTGTTTCTTCGATCAGAACAGGATTGAGAGCAGCAAACATTTTGTTTCGCTGTGGTGGGGTTGTTTCAACCATCTTTGAAAGGTGGGTCTAAAAATTTTGTTTCGCAGCAAACACAATTTCTTTCTGTCTTGGATTCCGAAGTATGAACATAAGTTAGAAAAATTAACTGATGGTAACGCTCTTCCATTTTTTTCGCAACGGGAGTCAATCCAAAGCGAACGATGGCAATTGGCAACCATTGTTATTGAACCGTTCTGTTTTCTTTTTTTGAAAAAAATAAATCACTTTTGACTCAACGCTTTTATTTTTTCTCAAATAGAAGGTCGTTAAATTACAATAACTGATTATTTTAATTTTCAAAATTACCAAAAAAAAGTCTTTGAAATTAGTAATATGAATCATTTCAGCCCTTCTAAGAATTCAAAATTCTAATAACTACTTATTTTAATTTTTAATTTTAATGTGGATCAATTAATGTAGTTCTTAATATTAAGAACTAAATTAGCTGTATCAAATCTGGGACAAAAATCAATTGATTTGACAATATTAAATATCACAAAGACCAATGAAATGAATAAACAAATGGTTGTTTGTTTTATGATCATGGCTTTTTGTACATGAGCTCAATGATATATAATGAAAAAAATTTAAAGTTGTATTCTTATTGGTCGAAACATTATTTGGAGCATGCCAAAGTTGAATCGAGCACTAATACGGGTGCGAAATAGTGTTATATTTTAGGGGGGGGTGGGGGGCGCTGCACAAATGAGAAAAACATGAACTAGTGACACTGCACCAAAAAATTTGATTTTAGAATGAACAAAAACAAGTATTAGAAGTATAAGGCGATGATAGGAATGTAGAGTTTATAGAAGAAAATAATTTCAATTTACAAAACCAACACTTCGATCATCAAAATTCAATTTGATTTTTTTCTGTCGCGAGGAATCAATTTAGTGCCAACATTTCGGTGAAGGCCGAGATAGCAAGAGTGATAGTGATTGATTGATCACTTTTCTGGCGTTTGCTATTGGTGTTTGAGAAAACAAAGATCATGCATTTTGGTGGAAGGCCAAGTTCAAGCCTGCAAGATTGATGACTTTCTGCTACTATTTTTCAAGCCTCTCTGCTTGAGAGGACTCCACACTAAAGATTTTCGTTGCAGTGCAAGGACAGTTGGATGCTTAGCTGCCATCCGCGAAGCGACCTGTGTTGGACTGCCTGCAAACTTACTGCTGCTCCTCATCAACGTTGGTGTTGTCTCAACTGAAGTTCTAATTTCTGGCAATGGAGCAAACAACCTTGAATATCGAGCTTTCCTTTGGTTCCTTATCAGTGATTGCTGAACACTGCTTGCACAAGTGAATTGAGAGGAGCTGTGAAGTGGAGTTGTTGACATGCCAGATGTTGAGTCAGGATGGAGTGTAGCCATGGAAACTCGCCTTCTAGGCTGAAAGACCTGTGTTGTTGATGGTGCAGGTGGGGGCCTTGCAGCAATGGATACCCTTCTTCTTGGTTTCATAAGGCCAACTTGTGTATTTGTAGTCATCGAGGTTGTTCTGGCAATGTTTTCTTTTCCATCTACAGAAGAGCAACGTGAGGGCCTTCTCTCAGGTGGGGGAGGCAAGAAATTAGTAATTCTTCTTAGTGGGGGTCTTATTGAAGGATCCAGTGGTGGCTTCTTTGTGGCTTTCTGAACTGCTGTGTGATTTAACGATGACATTGTTGAAGGTTGAGCTGAAACAGCAGCAAGCGATCTACTTTCTTGCTTCAGTCTAATTTTTCTCTCCTCGGCTATCTGGTTCTCAAGGTCCCGAACCTGTTAAGAATCACCACACATTTGATGAATAATATTTTCAAAATGAATGAAACCTTTTCTAAGTTAATGATAGCATGTATAACAGCAGTCATGGGTTATACCTTCTCTTGAAGATTTCGGCACATGAGTTCTCTGGTAGCAAGTCTCATCTGCACTGTCTGCAAGTTATCTTGTAATTTTTTAGTTTCCTTCTCATCGTGTTTGAGCTTTTCTGCCTGTTTGTGATGAAATTCCCAATTTTAAAACCAGTTTCAAGAAAGACTGTTGCTCTTATTAAAAGAAAAGATAGACATTGTAGCATACCATTTGCTTGTACTTATACAGTTCAGTGAGGTCTGCTTGCTTGCGGGCTGGGCCACTCTCAATTCCTCGCACACGTGTGGCAAAATTCAAAGAACAAAGTGTCTCTGTTAAGTCTGCTGCACCTGGACTTATCTGGACAAACATTAAAGTTTTGCAATCACCTCCTGCATTTCAATCCCAGATCAACATCATTAATAGAGAAAATTCACTCACCAAGGGCCCTTTCAAAATAATAAAACAGCTATGAAATTGAAATTCCAATTAATGTTTTTTTTTTTTTTTTCAATCCATGAAAATATCAGTTATGAAGAGCACCAAGAACTAGATGTAAATAAAATCATTGAGGAGTTGTTCAGAAAGGAGCACATCATGCTGGGAAATGAATCCTCACCTAAAGAGCTCTGGAGTATATGGGTGAGCTTCGAGTTCCTATTTAAAAAAAATATACAAATAGTAATGAGATAAAGAATCCTTAATGTAGGAAAGTATGTTAGGGATGAGAGATAAAAGTGAATTACCTGTAAGGTATGTGGGCTGATTTGGATGCAAGGGCTGATATTACATCACCAAGTGCTGATAGAGACTTGTTTATGAATTGAGATTCCTTCAGTCTTTCTCCTTCGGCTTCGGTTTTCCCCACACGCTCACTGCCAGCTAAGTCTACTAGCCAAAGGTGACTCCTTGTTTTCTGGCCATTGATTACGTTTTCCCCCAAAACAGTCACTCGCAACAAACTACATGTAAAATAAAACCACCAGTGTCATCATCTTCAATGATGAAAAGTAATATCTACTCCTGGCTTTCCCAATAATTTCATTCAAATGATGAAATACACTTACTGATACAAAGAATCATGCCTGTCAATATTGAAGTAAAATATCTGCTACTTTTACTATTTGAATTATTTAAGCACTTAAAAAATATAAAATGAACAAACACAGATTTTATCCAAAAGAACCAAACATACCAATGAGAACGACTGCTAAGCTCATTAGCATTGGTGGATCCAACAGATCTGACTCGGTTTCCAGATTTCAGCATTTCCCACACATCCTTTGTTCCATAAACACGAGCTTCAACAAGTCCTGGGACTTCTTGGGTTCCATCTGCAGATTGCTTTATCTCCAACCTACATTTTATTAGATAAAGCTTACAATATGTTCTCCACTTCAATAATGTCATGTAAGAAACAGTTAAAACATCAAAGTTTCACGCTGAAGTGGATTGACCATGGAGGGGGAGGAAAAGAAGATTAAGACATTATGTTAGTAGCCGCTATTTGCAATCCCAACTATGCTACCACAGAAGATAGATAGGTACAGAGATAATCAATTAAAGTAAATAATGTCTTTCAGAAAAATTATGGTTAATTTTATAGTATATCTTGCAAAAGCAACATGTGTTCCGCACTCAGATTTTCTTACATTAGCCTCATGTAAAACAGTGTAAAAGTGAAAACTTAATTACATTATATAGCTTATTAGAGTATAGCTAAAGTTGAATCAGAACTCACTTCTTAGTAAACTCAACTGAATTTTCCACCAAGAGATCTCTTATCTTCTCATTGTAAACCTCCAACATGCTAACAAGTAATTCATATTTTATTATGCCACGTCTCTCCTCAGATATATGAAATAATTCCTCCAGGGTTCTATAGTTAACTCCCCTGTGCTCTGGTGTTCCCTCCATCGTAAAAGTCTTGCCAGTTCCAGTTTGACCATATGCAAAAATGCAAACATTGTACCCATCCAATACGGACGTAACGATAGGTTTTGTTTGTGTAAAAACAGCCTCTGCATGATAAATAATCCGCACATTATAAATCATGAACCAGCATAAGAAAAAAATACCCACTAAAAAAAACTTAACCTGCTTAAAAAAAAACTAAACCCTAAACCCTAAAAAAACACTTAACCAGCAAAAGTTTTAATTTCTCGTGTACCTTGGTTATCTTCAGGTCTGAATACATAATCAAATTTAAATTGCTTTTTAGAAGAATCAGAGCTAATGACTTGGAGCTCATCAGGAGAAGACTCAAAATTGACCACAGACACTGCTGATCCATTGGCTATTTCATTTTGATTTAATGGTCTGCATCTGCAGAAAACTCTGATATTTCCCTTCAGTTCAATCACTTCATTGTAAAGCCGCCTACGCTCAAAGGACTCCTCCAGGTACTTTCTCTTCAAGACTTCGTATTCAGCACCTAGTGACAGACAAAAACATAAACATCCAGTATAAAGTAATTGTAAGGAGCCAGATATCATTATTATTGAATTTTTGGTTAATGTTATAGCCTTACCAAGTAGCTGAACAGACTTCAAAACATCCAGGCCTGGAAATGACTCTATAGTGAGTTTTACTTGATCAGATAGGGCTACGTGTTGTTTCTTCAAATTCTGATACATGATGCATAAAAACCAACATCAACGAAAGCAATAACCAGAAGGAATTTGATCGGAAGTAATACTTGGATGGATTTTAATTCTTGTTTGATCAAAACATGACTAACATTCAAAATTTACCTGAACTTGGGTACTCAAGTCAAGAACCTTTTTCAATATTGGGAGTGTATGACCCTGATCAGGAGAACTTTCATGGATTCTATTGGAAATACTATTCTCATCATTGTTGTCAGGTTCAGGGGTCTCGTTATTGAATTGCGCTGGTGCATTATCTGATGACACACCAAGATCCAAAAAAATCAGACGGCAGAAGCAAAATGGAAACCAGTTTTCTGTGTCTATCTTCTACTTTCTTTCTTACCTTTTGGGATAGAAGTGAAATCTTAACCCAAAATCACGTTCTCTTTTTTAAATATATACTGGGTTTTAATCACATTCACACATGATGCATGAATATATAAAAGCGGAAACTGATTTAGAAAATTTGAACAAAAAGATTCAACCAAAAAGAAGTTGCATGCATTCCTGAATAGATTATAATAGTAGCAAGAAGATATAGAATTGTCTCAGAAATAATCTTGCATAGTGTATTTTATCAAACAAAAAAAATAATAAAATAAATTATAAATGATGACATAAAAACACACTAAATGACGCCAAGACAAACCTATTTCACAAGCCTTATCTTCCATGTTTGGCTGCGATTCTGAAATTAAGCGAAAAATCCAACAATTACCAACACATTTAGACTATAAGCTTCTCTTTTCAGTCGAAAACTGAAAAAAAAAACCAATATAAAATAATAATAATAAAGAAGTAAAAGAATGGAAACCTGAGGAGGGCTTCAAATTACAGTGAATAACAAATTGATTAAATTTTTGTGTGAGCATCTCAATCATTGGATCTGCAAGAAGCATGCGATGTGTTAAATTTCCTGAAAGAGAAAGGGAAATTAGAAGAAAGAAGGGAAATGAGAGAAATAGTGAGCACCGTCCATGACAACGCAGATCTTGAAGGAGAAAGAAAGATGAGAGGAGCACTGTGTCTTTGAGCTGTGTGTGTGTGTGTGAGCGCGTGAGAGATAGAGAGAGTTTTGCTAATTTGCTTCGCTGTAGAGTGGTTAAAGCAACGGTCATTAGTCGGTAAGGAAACTTAGGAAAGGGTTTGAATTTTGGGATCGGACAAGGATTTGTAACGGCTACAAAACTCAATCTACCAACTATTTGGGCCTGGGCCTCACTCAATTTTAATGGACAACAACACAAATATCCAAAATTTGTTTTCTACACCACTTTTTTTTTTTTCAGAATTTAATTTCTCAAAGTTAATTTTTTTTTTACAAATAAATAACTCAATTGGACCAATGATCAAGAAAAAAATGTGTAAAATATTATCACGATTTAATTGGTTTCACACGATACATAATAGTTGAACATTATGATTTAATAATCATTTTTTAAATAAACAATTAATTTTAATGATACATGTGTTATCATCCATAAATATATATTGTTTAGACCATTTATATTTGCTGAAATAAGTAATTTTGTTTAAGTTGGATAAAATTATTATAGATGACATATTTTTCTCCAAATATTTAATATTGATTGGCAATATGTATGAGTTAATTTATTTATTTTTATATATTTTATATGATAAAATAAATAATAGTAATAATTGAGATGATTTCGTGTGGGTTATAAATTTATAATATCTATTGTAAAACAAATGTAATTGCCAAATGGAAAATTGCGATGTTTGAAAACAATTGTAACTGAAATTTGTTGAATAAATTATATTTATACTATTATCCTTTTTATACTTTTTTTATTTGAATAAAGAAATGAATCAAATGATTGAATTTTGAAAAATAAAAGACAAAGTTGGAGACAAAAAAGAAAATTTCCCTATATAACAATAATGGATAGATAGAATGATAAATTTAAAAAAATGTTTGAAGACAACGCTAATTAGAAAATATATTTTTTATAACTTTTAACATTTATCTTAAAATTTTTAAATACACAAGAAAATGCATTTGTTATTTGACCCTTTTGGATTTATTTGTAAATATTTAAACAAGTGAATTATAATGAAAATTTTGAAGGTAAACAAAGAATAGAGATCGAAGTAAAAAGTCCTCTATAATATTCTAGATTAATATTGCAAATACACACTAAAAACGGGGTAAGAATATATATATATATATATATATATTATTAACTCTCTTAATTAAATTTAAAAATATTTAGGGTCACCTCTCTTCTATTTCAAAATCTAATTCCCAGTTATACTGTAAAGTAGCTTAGAAAGGTAGGTCACATTCCAAAGTTCAAACTTCAAAGGCATATGCATGTAAAAGAGAGTGTGCGAAAAAAGACATAAAAAATAAAAAATAAAAAAATAGTAGAAATCATACAAGTACTTTTCTAATTTGTCATCGGTTAGATAAACTTGTTTATACATTGAAAACAGGCATCTTGCATTGCAACACTGCAAGATATGTTGTGTTATGAAATGACACCCCTACCTGCTTCCTCCATCCCTTACTGAAATCATATAAAAAGGGGGTAGATAAAATAAAACAAAGAACATCAGAAATTGTAAGTAGCTTATATTCTTCTCGTATGTTTCAAAGAAATGAGGTATAAGGCTCCAATCCTTGAGAGAAAATAGCATCTGATATCTAGGAAATAGCTATGCCTTCTAGTGGTAGTAGTATTGTAAACCATGGCTCACCAATCACAGTGCTATAGGCCCATAAATGTTAAAACCAATCGACATGCTCGCTTGAAGCTTTAGGTTGCTTCTTAGGCTTTTGATATCGGTTATTCTCAAACCTAGCTTTAGTTATAAGTGAATAGAGCAAGTCTGCCTCAGCTGATGTATCATAGGGTGCATCCACTATACTGGTAACATCAATCAAATGGAAACAAGAAATCAACGAAAAGAACAAATTAAACTCCAGAAATTAATGGCATGTCATATGCTAAAGGAAGATATATGGGAAAATCATGCAACCTTGTATCCTATGAGTTTTATATGAGAAACAATACATCAATAATGAGGACGGTTAATCTGATAAATTATCCCACAGCCCAACAAGAAAGGGTTTGGTGGATGGATGAGGTTACCTATCAAGTAGCTCCTCCAAGAGAATTCTTTGTGATGGGGTTACATAATGAATGCAATTTCTAGGGCATTGTCCAACCGCACATTGAACTTGGTAATCTTCCCCATGACCTTAAATATTTAAAGAGAATAGCAGTATTTATAAAATTATGAAACGCATGTTATTTGAAGAACACATTTAAAACTTGACAGATGAAAAGAGAACCTTGAGAAGATGCACGTGCTGTTCCAGTTGAAGAGTCATAGGTGAAAGCATGAGGGGCTCTTTCCACACAGGAATTAGAACACGCTGCATAAAAATTTAAATTAAATTAACGTAATGAAAAATAAATGTGACACATATAACAGAGTTGTGATATATGGTAATGGTACCTTTGCCGACACAGAGAAGCTGGTTAACGAAAAGATCAAAAGCTTCACACTCGGGTGTGTCAAAAGGATCTAAGCATTCACTATAAACGAAAAAGGGAATCAATTGAATGATAAAAATCTAGCAAATTGGAATTCAGAAAAAGAAAAAGAGAAGCTTTATATATTTATTTACCTTTGAATGAATTGTGAAGGGGTGTAATTGGATAGAAGCCGATAGGCCTGAATTACGCGACGAATGATAGTATCAGAATTGGGATCTCTATTGTGGTCTGGATGGAACTGCTTCACCTTCGCAAGGAAGAGAAGAGAATTTCAATCGGCGAATGAATGAATGAAAAATGAATAATAAAGATGGCGTTGGTACTTTGGCTCGAAAAGCGGCTTTGATATCGGCGGGGGAAGAGTGAGGATGGATTCCAAGGACGGTGTAAGCTGAAGCAGTTGATAGAGGACCATCGTCTCTGTCTCTGTAACTGCAACTGCAGCTCGCTATTGATTTGTTCTTCGGAAACAACGCAAGAGTGCCATTTCCAAACGGGTAGGTTGTCATTATGCTCAAGCTGTTCATTCTCGCTACTATTTTTGTGGTCGCAAGGTGCGTGTTGCACTCCCCCTTTTCTTTTCCTTCTATTTATTTATTTTTAATTGAACTTTGTGGTAGGAAAATGTGAAATAAGAAAATAGCGAAAACATGGCTGGGAACTATACCTTTTTCAACAATATGTGTGGGTTTAAGTAAGTTTATTTTAATGATAATTTTTATAAAAATTAAAAATGAACATTTCTCTTATAATTAGTTTTTCCAAGCTTGCTTCTATATAAGTCAACGGAATAGTTTTGGATTAATTAGGGATTTCTTTCATGCAAATTGCAAATACCGAAACAAAGGATTGGCCGTGGCATTCGATGTATGATTTTTTCATCCATAACCCTTCCCTAGTATAACGCTTCATGATAGTTGAACGCGGGAGAAGAAACATATTGAGTGAGAATGTGATACCATAAGAGGAGTTTAATATTGGTCATGCAACCATATATAGTATATAATCATGTGAAGATAAAATTCCTGTAGCAGATGAAATGTTCACACGACACAAACAAAGCTCTAGGCTAGCTAATTTTAGGGATAAACACCGATAGCCAATAGCGTTCTTACTAGATAATGAACCGTCAGAATAAATGCAGAGAGAGATTAATCCTTTTTATCTTGATGCAAGTAATAGAGAATACACCTTTTATCAGGAACATAGCCTTCATCTTTCAGGTGTTTCAATGCCCCGGACAAAACCCAGAATATAATATCAGCTTGCGGATGCATTTTGTCCTCTACTACAAAACTACTGACTTTCTTTTCTATCTCAATCCAACTTATACCCACTTCTTTTGCTACTCCCATCTCTTTCATTCTCTTAATGGCATGTGCTCTCTCTTTCCATTTCCCTTCACTAGAATATATATTTGCCATCAAAACGTAAGGAGCTGAGCTATCTGGTGCTGCTAAAAAGAGTTTATCAGCAGCATATTTTCCCATCTCAGAATCACCATGTATGCAGCAAGCACCAAGCAATGCTTGCCAAACCAGTATGCCAGGATTCTCAGGCAACCCCTCAATAAAATTTTTAGCTTCTTTAAGAAGTCCAGCCCTGCCCAACATATCAACAACACAGGCATAATGATCAGACCGGGGCCTTAACCCGTGATCTCTAGTCATAGATTCCAAAAACTCCATTCCCTTCTCAACTAGGCCAGTATGACTGCAATTGTGAAGCAAAGACAAAAATGTAACATGTGTCGGTGCTATACCCTCTTTTCTCATCTCTTCATAAAATTGAAGTGCTTTGAAACCATCCCCATGGCGAGCAAAAGCTGCAATCACGGAATTCCACGAAAACAAATTCTTTTGAGTCATTTGATAGAAGACTTGGAGCGAGTCATACAAATCTCCACACTTGGAGTACATATTTATGAGTCCATTACTAACAAAAGGATTCTGACTCAAGTTCTTCTTTATAACTAGAGAGTGAATCTGTTTACCGAGAGCCAAAGAAGTGCCAACACCAAATACACCAAGAATGGCAGAAACCATGTTGGCATCAGCTGTAATCCCCAATTTTATCATCCTTAAGAATATCTGGATAGCTTCATCCTCAAGTCCATTTTGAGCAAAAGCTACAAGTATTACGGTTAAAGAAACCTCATCAAGTTCCTTAGCAGACTCAAAAATTTGCCAAGCTGCTTCTAAACTACCACACTTTGAATACAAATCCATCAAAGCACTTTCAATGCATAAATCTGACTGCATTCCCAATTTCCAGAGCAGGCCATGAATTTTACAGCCTTCCACCAGTGCTTGTAAACCTGAACAGGCCATGAGTGCACCCAAATATGTTAAAGCATTAGGAATCACGGCCCCGCAACGCATATGAGCAAACAATCTCAAACTATCCTCATAAAATTCATTCTGTGCGAGGCCAGAAATCACTGCCGTCCAAGTTATAACATTCCTCTCCAGCATCTCATAAAAAACCTGCCTTCCTTGACCACAACACCCACATTTAAAATATGATGTTATAAGAGCATTCCCCACTGTAATTTCCCTCTCAAAACCACCAACAAACACCACACCATGGATCATTTTTGTTACAGTAGAGAACTCCAGTTCATCACAAGCTGACAACATTGTAGTCAGAGTTGCTTTATCAAATTTAGAATACACTGTCCTTGACTCACTCATTTGCCTAAAGAACCTAAAACCCGCATCAAAATCCATGTTCCTTAAAAACCCAGAAATCATTACATTCCATGACACGGTATCTTTTACAGACATATGATCAAAAAGCTTAACGGCATCATGCAGTTCACCACATTTAGAATACATGGAGAGGAGTGAGTTCCAAACAAAGAGGGCATTACGGGGGCAGTTGTCAAAATGGAATGATGGGGGTTGCTTGATGACACGGGCATGGATGGAAGAACCAAGATTAAGGTTTCCATATCTGCCGCAAACCGAGAGAAGAGAACTCAAGTCAGCATGGTTGAGGACAGATTTTGAGGTTGCAGAAAGTGGGTTTTGAAAAGTTAGTGCCTTCACGTTGAAGGGTATATTGATAGAAGGGAGATGAGAATTGAGTTTCCATCTGGATTTCATCCATGAAAGGGAAAACAAGGAGGAGGATGGAGAGGACACCGTTAACTGAAAAATTCTAAACCCTGCGGATTAAAAAAAACTAGTTTGGGTCGTTTTAAAATGGAAAACAAACATGCTCATTGCAATTTTCGTTTTTTGGGAGGAATACGAAATAAAAAAAAAGTAGGATTTGTGATTCGGCTCAAAGAAGAGACTAGAGTTAGATAAATGCATTTTTATCAAGTTTGTATAGTTTTCACTCTTTATAATATAATTAAATTTGATTTTAGTTTTCTTTTTTTAAATTTGTCTATTAAATGCATATGATGATTTATTTAAATGTGTATTATTCAATAGTTAGTAAAAATAAATAATAATCGTAAAAAACTTTAAAATATTTATTTATTTATAAAAACTAAAAAATATTTTTGGATAAAACTTTCTCATTTTTTGAATTGATCATTCACTTAGTAATATTTTTAAGAAATTTTCTTTATTTAATAAATTCATATAAATTTTTTGTACAATTTAAAAATAAAAAAAAAAGAAAATTGAGATAAGTGATGTAATAATAAAAATATTTTTTAAAAGTATTATAAAAATAGTAATTTTTATAGTATCTTCAAAATTAAAAAGATATTATATATTATTCATATATGAAATAATTATGATCATTAATATTATATTCAATATGTATAATATATAGTGGTAATCAGTGGTCTATTTTTAAAAAATATATAAATATTTTTAAATTTTTAAGATGTTAGAATAATTATAATCATTAATTTAAAAAAGTATGAGATGTCCTTTTAAGTTAATGGGCATAATAACAAATACTTAGATAAATAACATAGTCCATTTTTTTACTAAAAATATATAAAAAAAGAAATAGTTCCATTTTATACATTATCAACAATATTTTATGTTGTTATCTATTAATAAAATTAATATGATCCTATAGTACAATAAAGTTAATGTCTATTTGTTGGACCTTGGACGGTGATAATAGTATTTTGATGTGATGGTTAATGGCAATGCAATGAGATGGTCTTAGAAGAAACATTCTAACATTGAAGTGAGCAAGAATTTTGAAAACATATTAGTAATATGATTAAGATTGCATATCTTTGAGGGGGGGTTTGGTTCCTTTTATTATAGGTCTTGCTGGGGCAGGCCATGCTTGGCACAGAAGTTGGGTACAGCTAGTGAGACAGATATGAATTGGCAAAGGAATAATTCTCTAATAAGCCGCTATGCAATTCAAGATATGGGAGCCCAACTTGTGGCACCATTTGTTCGAGTTGAGGGAAGAGTTATTTGTTGACCATGCCAAAGAAGCAAGGGGAAACCATGAGACCAGCTTCATCCGCTTATCTAGTAACGCTATGATGTTCCCTGACTCGCCGTTTCTAAGCTATTCCAAACTTGCTTACTATCCGATCTTTACAAGAATACAATCTATAGTGACTGCACGAGTGTATCATTCGATTTACAATTGCAATGATTATTACTCACATTTGGCAACGATATTTAGATGTCATGTTTAGGAGAAGAAAGAAAAGATGAATTAATAAAATTTAACTTTTGTTTAAAAATTATTTAATTAAGAAGATAAGTGTTAGGAAAATTTTTAAAACCTTTGAATGTTAGTTTTTTGATTGAGCCTTTTTGTTACGACATTTTATTTTTCTTTCATTCATTCTACTCTTTTACATTCTACTTTCTTTTAAAAATATATTAATTTTTAAAGTAAATTTTTTTAAAAAATTATAAAAAATAACAATAGTAATTTTAAAATTATTAATTTTTAAAGAAAAATATATTTTTTTAAGAAGATAAGTAAAACGTATAAAAAAATAATATCATTTATAAATAAATTATCATCAGTTTTTTTTAATATTAAACATTTAAGTATTTTCCTTTTTAATATAAATCATTCAAATAAAAGAAAAGAAAAGTTTAAAAGTATGTTGATTTCCTTTACTATTTTAAGAAGAGAAATAAACATATTTTAAGTTTCCTTCCTCTTTAAATCCTTTCCATCTTTTCTCTTTCTCAGAACATCCAAACAAAAAAAGTGAAGTACAGAAACCCAACAAATAAAAATGAAAACTACGAGGGTCTCTCTTTCTGACGCATTTATTAATGGTAAAATACACTTTACCGCTTCACAAGGTTAGGGGCAAGATTGTCATACAACTTCATCATGAACAGTTTGACCCCCATCCAAATTCCAGCCTCGCAGAGTAACTCGAGGATTGACACCCTTAGGGACCTCAAAAGATATATTAATGGGCATGGTCTCTCCTGGGATCAGCGAAAAATAGTTATCTGAGTAATGAACAGGAAGAATTCTTGTGTCTTCCCCTTCCTTGTAGTCCGTCTTCGAAGTATGAACAGAAAAATGAAGAAAGCAAGCAACCCCTGTATCAGGCCCATTTATTTCAGTAACTTTCGAACCATCACTATTCCCAGTAAGACATCTATGTATCCTCTTAAACCAACCAGTTTCGTGTTCGATTCCAGCCCCACAACGCAGAGTTTCCAGTGAATATGTACCATAAAAGCCATCACTTAGCCTAGTTGTTGAACTTCTAGAGTCTGGTCTTTTAGATGTGTTTGTCACGCGCAAATCAATACTATAAATGGATTCTTCAATGAAAACCTTCGATGTTATCTTGAGAGGTATTTTCTTATTCCTATATGGTTCCAATAGCTTGTAATCTCCACCAGAAAGATGCAACCAATAAAAGTTTCTGGATATAATTCTATAATCCGACATGTTATAGAGTTTGAGAAGAAGAAAATAGACTGGCTTTGGATTTTTCGATTTTGGATACTTCATCTCAGCAACAGGTGCCACTTTTTTTGGCAGCAAAGAAATATTTTCATGAACTCTGTAGTAAGGGCATGTTCCATCGAGATCCCACACTGAAGCTTCAATAGCTACATTAGACAATTCTTCTGATGTAGTATTAACAACCTGTTTAACGGAGGAAGATAAAAAGATACAAAACCATTAATGAACTATTCTTTCATAACTGGACCATACAATAAATTGCAAAGAAAATTGTGAATCATGCAATTTTCACAGGTTTGTTATTTGCAATAATTTTAACTTGTCACTTTTGGCTTCCTATATCAATTTTAACTTCATAGAATGAGTCAAAAAATATTTATCATATTGGTAAAATGGTGTCTCTATTTCTGTTATCTTCTCACAAAACTAGAACTTTATGTGGACAATTACCTCGATAAAATATGTAGCCAGATTAAGCTGTACATGAATTGGTTCTGCAGCACATCGACAGCCATAGAAACCTGCTGTTTGATCAAGTAGATGATCATAAAATTGACCTCTCAAACCAGTCCAAGGATTTTGTGTCTTCCATATCAATACACCTGTATATTTATTCCACATACGTGAAGTCCATCCCTCCAGAAGAGCTCTATATTGTATGTAGTTAACAAGTTGAGCCTAAGAATATAGCACCAAAATTAAATTTCAACTTCAACAAGAAGATCAGTTAAAATAGGACAATGAACATGCATCACGAATGGCCAACAGGATGAAGGTTTCTCTTACCTTCAGACAAAAATCATCAAGATCTTTTGCAGCACCATAAAGTTGAATCTGATCATGAACCTTGGATGGTTTTGAATAAGGGATATATTTATGGTATTCCCATATGGGATTTGGAACTTCTACATAACCATCAGGAAGTTTCTTAAAGATCGGTATCTGCCATCCTTCTAAAGGCATTGTTGCTCGAATGGTAGCAGCAACTGGCATTCCCACAGAACCAACCTCTGGATTGAATCCATAATCATAAAAGTTATCCTTGAAGAAATCTTCAGGATTTTGTATTTCATAAGGACCATCAGTAAAATTCCCCATCCCATCAGCAAACCCATCCCACATTGAACCTTGTATGTAAATGCGTGTGCCATCAAGATACTGGCTAGGATCTTTTGACACTGGGGACAAGTCTCCAACAGGTTTGCTATTTATGTTCACACTTTCAAAATACGGATGAAGTCTCAGATCATTTTTGAGAGCAGCATTTATATCATCTGGTGGAATTTGTTCATTTCCACCCACCCATAGGGCAAGACTAGGATGATTCCTTAGAAGCTTGACTGTGTCTCTTGCACAAAACAAGAAAAGGTCATGGTCCAGTGGACCATTTGGATTAGATACTGGGTCACCACGTCCATCAACATCCCCAGTAATCCAAAACTCTTGCCATACCTACAAAATTTAAGCCAGTAACTCAATCAATTTTCAAAACCAATTCTACCACTAATGTAATATTGGATGGGACCAAGGATTATTTGGTAAAGCTGTACAAGCTTCTAAATCAGTTAAATCTGTGGCACCATTTCGTCTTAGCTGTAGCAGGAGCAGCACTAATAAGCAGCGCACCTCATAATGGAAACTGACCATTCAATTAAAAAACACACTGAAGAAACCATAAACAAAATAATAGGTTTCTGGAAAAGAAAATTTAAATCGAATCCCCACCCTTCCTTACATAAGACCAAACATTAAGAGAATAATAAGTAATAGTCAATAGCAATGATGAGCCTACTCTTAGACTGGTGATTGAGTCATTGAAGCTTATACAAACTGCTGTTTCCACTCATAAGTACACAGGAATGAAAGGAACATAAACAAACCATAAATGCACACAACAGAGCAGCATTAATGCAATAAATTCATTAAAAAATATAACAAAGGAAAATAACACTGACATGAAATTATAAGCAAAAATGAGGATCTGGTAGCAGTTACAACTTACCAGAAGGCCATAATAATCACAATAATGATAAAACTCGGGCCTTTCTGCCAGTCCACCACCCCAGCAACGAATCATGTTAAAATTCATATCTGCATGAAACTTGATATCCGTTTTATACCGCTTCTTTGAAAGACGCAGTAGTCCATCAGATAATATCCAGTTACCCCCTCGAATAAAAATTGGTTCTCCATTGACTTTAACCAACCTATAAAATAAGATATATGCAGTGAAAACATATACAGAAACAGTTTAAAGTTTGAATTAATTTTATTAAAACAGTAGAAAATTATAACATCGTAGAAATATGAGAAGTCACCATACCTTCCACCAGTAGCATTATCAATATGACTCTCAATTTTGCGGAATCCAAAGTGATGGCTCCATAAATCAGATTCACCAAATCCTTTAACATCGATGTTAATAACAACATTGTACAAAGATTGCTTTCCCATTCCATTGGGCCACCATAAATTGGGCTTGTAGAAGAGAAGCTGTGAATTCAGATCATTAGCACTTAAAAAGAATAATTGAAACTTAAACCCCAATACATGCAAGTTAACAGGATCAGTAGTAAAAAGATGCTAGAAAATATTATCTATCCAGGATTGGATATGTACAATGTAAAAGAAAAAAAAAGGTTGTCCCTGTGATCACTTGGTTTGCTTTAAACTTTTCTATTTGATTTGTTGCTTTATCTATCCAGGATTGCATGTGTTCAATGTAAAAAAGGGGGGTTTCCCTATTATCACTTGGGCTACTTTAAGGTTTTGCTGTCAGCATTGTTTCTTTGGATCATACACATCAGCATAACCAGAAAAGAAGGACATTAAGTAATAACTTACAAATTATGGAGCCAATGTCCTGACAATAGCTAATATATCTTCAAATTTCCCCCATCATACCTGAACCTTTGTTCCTTTGATAAGTAAAGAAATATAAAACAGCCATTTATTATTTAGGGTAATTTGAACCTAAAACAATCAGCAGTGTATTAAATGCTGTCTGATTACAGTACAATCTCAGGACATGACTGTTAAATTCAATAATAGTTAAAAGTAAATTAGAGCTAAAAGTTAGATGAACCTATACAGCACAAACACATGACATAAGCTATATAGATTAATTTCCGAATTTTTCGATCAAGATGTCTTGAATTAATGATTAAGTTCTTCACATGTCATAAGCATAATGATGAATGCAGCCACTGACCTCAGGAAATGTATATTGCAGCCGTGACTTTGCAGGAATTGAGAGATTTTGAGTTTGAATATGCTCTACTAAGCAAATGCTATCCTCAAGTTCAGTTGTCACTAGGACACTCACAGAACACTCAGCAGTCAAGGAGCTCATGTTTTCCAACTCAGTTGTTGTATGTAGATATGCTCTCTTATAATCATCCAAAAATGTTGAAACCAAGTGGGGATCAATTATTTTTACTGGCTGCACGACACACAGACACTGAAATCATCCAAGGAACAGATGGAAGAACCATCTTCTATATAAAAAAAGAAAAAAAAGAAAAAAAAAAAGTAAAGAATGTTTGATCAGATTTATTGATTGTATGGACTGCAATATCCTGGTTTTGTTTTCCAGACTTCTCAGTCTCACCTTAGAGCATATTTTATAAAACCAACATATAATTAGATTTGGAGTTCAACAATATTTACCCACGAATTACAAAAGAATCAGAGCCAACAATGCATCAAACAGAGAAGGATGAGGAACGAAAGGCCTCAATATGGTCTCAACGGAAAATCATTAAGTGATTAAAAATATAATAGGAAAGACTTTGGAATGAACTGAACAATTAATGCAACTCACCCCAGTAACAGAAATAGAAACTTCATCCCATATTCCAGTATTCCTATCTCTGCAATCAAATGTAACACATGCATTAGTCATAGATACATTTTGCTTTACATGGCTTCTACATAGTTCCAATTCTCTTCAACAAATTTTAAACAGTCAACAGGTAATGCCCAAAAAGCTCTACAAAGAAGAATAATAGGTTTTTAGTTTAGAGAAAAATTAAATATATTATTAATAAAAACAGAAACACAAGTAATAACAATGTCACCTTATAGGAGCCATCCAATCCCAACCTTCAACATATTGTGTGGCCACATCCTTTCCTATCTACAATAGAACAAAGAAAATGAATTAGACACGCCTCAGTGGCAACCATCATTTCTCTTCCTCTGTCACAGTAGTCTTAATCTTAACTGATTGAAAGGGATAAAATTAACAAATCAGAATTACGAATTCAACTTCCGACCTCATGATCACCACCTTGTCCTCCCTGAGGAGGAATTGTCCCGGGATGATCCGGAGGATGAACAAGAACAGCAAGCAAGTTTGTACCATCAGGATGAAGAATATCTGTGACATCAAGGGAATGCCTTCGAAACATTCCCTTTGGCAGGACAATTTTATGACCATTCAAATACACATCAGCAGAGTAATTGATTCCACGAAAGTTCAAATCACAGTGCTGATTGGTTGACTGCAAAAGCAAATAAACCACAATTTTATATTCAAAATAAGATTATTATTAGGACACATGATATCAGTGTTTATGTTTTGAAAATTAATTTCACAATTCACAGATTTCAAGAGCTCAATGATAAAATGGGAAAGAACAACAAGAAGACGCACAAGCTTGCAGTGAAAGGTTGTGAAGAACCAGAATGTGTAATAGTCTCTTCCAGAATCAGCAATGTCTATGATTTTTTCATTTTGCAGTCCATAAAAAGGATCAGGCACGAGTTTGTTCTTGACCAAGGTCGCTAGAACACTGTTGCGTGGAGTGAAGTCAATTAAGAGAACCAAGACCAAGTAAGCAATGAGGAGAAATAATAATAATAATGAAATTCTGAAACGGAAAATGGTAATTGTATGATTACGTTCCGGGAACGAGAGCTTCCATCCATGGGGATATGGGAGCAGACGGAGGGTGAGTAGTGGTGAGTTGAATTCCGGTGAATTTGACTTCGGTGGACCTGGCGGCGAGCCACCCCGAATCCAGCGTGCTCTTGCGGTGTTGCTCCGCCATCGGCCAGCCTAGATCGCCGGAGAGGGTCCTTCCTTCTGTCGGTGTGTTACTGTCACTGACCGGTGACGATTACTCTTTCTTGTCCATGCGCACAAGAAACAGAGTGCTACTGTTAACAATAAATGAAAGAGAGATTTACTTTATGTCAACTTTTATTCATAGACACTTTAACAATATTAAAATACCTCCTTAGTAATCTTTATTATGTAGTTGAAACAATTAATAACAATTTTTTATTAAAGATAAAATATTGATTACACTCTTATATATAAATAATAAATATGTATTTTTAAAAATATTTCTAATAAAAAATATTATAATTAAATACTTAAATTTTATTCTAAAATGTAAAATTAATATTTTTTATCTCTTCATTTTTATTCGCTGATGACCCTTTTATATATATTTGCCCAACATTTTTTTTTTTTACGTTACGTAATAATAACACACATGAAATTTCTGTCATGCCTACGCAATGCAGCTCCTTTGTGACTCACAAGGATATTAATCAATATTTACTTCTTAAGTTATGACTTATACTTTTAAAAATATCACTTTATATAAGGATCAATCTAAAATGTGGTTTAAGGTGCGTTTTATATGAATATTTTAGAATTAATAGCTACTTTAAGGTTACAAAATAAATGAAAGAGCTTTAAAATTAAAATTGTTTGACAATTCTATAATTTTAAGTTAAAATTTCATAAATAGTGTATTTTTACTTTTTGACTCTTGAGATTAGAACTAAGAAAGAAAGAAAATTAAAAGAAATCAATTTGGGATAGCTAATTTATCAACTTGAGTTGAATCATGAATACTCCTTTCAATAGATATATATATGCCTATGTTTATAAATACTCAACATAATAAATTTTTTGTCTTTAATTATTTTGTATTTTTATGTACTTTTGTAATATTATTCGAATCATTTTTTACTTTTATGAAGTAGGTATTAAATAAAAAGATAAAAATATAATATTTTAAAAATATCAAATAATATTTAATATTTTCTTTATTTAATAAATAGAGAGATTAGTAAGTAGATAATATATGTAATAAATATATTTATTAGTAATAACTATAGTCAATATATATATATAATTAAATATTTTAAAAAATAAAATAAATTATTTAAATCAAAGTGCATTTTTTTATACCTACTAATTGGATTTGGTGTATCAAAATCTAAAAGCTAAATTTAAATTGAGATTGACTGCAATTGCTGTAACATTACAATATAATTTATTTAATAAAACAGTTTTAATTTAATATAATAAGTCATTAAAATATAAATTTAACTTCAAATTTAAGTTATGATTAACAAATTATAAATAATATTATTGAAGAAATTTTTTAAAAATAATATAAAAATAGTCACCTAATTTAACGAAAAACAAAAAAAAAGTTCAAGAATTTAAATTTATAATATAAACTATAAAGTTGGATGCTTTATCGATCTTATTTCAAGCTATTTATAATGAGTGTTTAAAATACAATGTTAAATATTTTCAATTACTTAAAAATTTTAAATTATTTTATATTTTCAATATAACTTACTTTTACTACATGTCTTTTACCTTTATTTCTTTAGCCAATCTCCTAATTTCTTTAATTAGACCCTGAATTAGTATTTATCTTTTAAAATTGTTGCATACTAGTCTGCAAGTGACGTAACATTCAATCTTTAGAAAATAACAAACAATAGATTTAATCAAATACATAGAAAAGATAATTAAGGAATTTGATTAGCCAGATTTATTCGGTTAATTTCCAAATGGAAACAAAAACAAGATTATGGCCAAATGTTAATCACTTCTTACCAAATAATGTGTGCAGAATTCACCAGAAACAATTTATATCCAGAGATATGAAAGTAGCTTGAGTTTTTTCTTATCAGGTGTATATTAAACTTTGAAATTATATAAGCCAGAAAAGAACATAACAAAGACACACCTTAATCTCAACCTCGTACAGCAGCAACCTATTCTAATCTAATCTGAATGATAATGCTTCCTCCTAGGATCCTTAACCTCAATCTTCCAATGCCCATCAGAGAAACTAGCATTTCTTTTTGCTCTCCTTCTCCACTTCACAATATTTTCATTCATTTTCTTAGTGAGGCCACAATAAGATTGCAACTGTTTCGGCATTGCATCATAAACCTGCCACCACCTTTTGTGAGCCGAGTCACTAGCAAAAATTTGGCGCTCTTGCACGTCCCAGTTACAATCATAGTCCCTATAACACATCCATGGCTTCAAACCCAAATAATGTATGACGTCCACGTCATCAGGGACCTCATGCCGCTTCTCACTGTCACTCTGATGAAAAACTTTCAGGTAATTTAGCTTCGTTGGTAAACGATGCCACCACGTAAAAATTTGGTTAAGAAAACCTTGGTCACCTCCATTATATGATCTCACCTTGTTAGTTTTCTCCATCATGGTCTCGAACATGCATTGGGATGGCTCAATTATCATCAACCCGGAGTTGAATATCGTGTATTCATTAGGTGCTGCTGATAATTGAGGGTACACGAATAAATGGTCGATGTTGTTTAGTACTAAGAGATCAGAATCTATGAAGATGACTTTATCATACATTGTGAGTTGCCATATACGTAGCTTGCTATAGTTCCATCGGTTATATGCGGTTTTTTCGGCAAAGGGACTTAAGATACGTTCAATGCGCTTGATTTTCCATCCTGCAGCTTTTAGACCCTTTATGGATTCAGGACCAATGGATTTATCGGCTAAGAGGATTAGGTCTCTTATTGTTGGAAAGGCGTGTTTCTTGGTTTGAAAGATGCTTTGAGCAAGTGCTATTGCACCACAAACATAAGCTTCTGAAGAGTGAAGGACAGTGACATAGGCTAGCTTTGGAACGCGCGTTGTGTAGTTGTGCTTTGTTGACTTCGATAGTTGTGGCATGTGTGTCCTCCATACCTCTTTACCTGCAAAGTGCAAATTACCATTGTTCATGGATGAATAAACACACACTTATCATAAGGTTTTCTACTTTTGTTTATGAATTTAGTTCATCTAAACCGAATATATGAGACGTACACAAAATAAAACAAAATAGAATCAAGAGCTTATCTACCGTCAATTTGAAATAAATTATATTTATGAAATATTTAAATTTAAATTAACAATAACTGTATACTTTTTATTATTTTTATTTTATATATTTCTTCAACTTAATAAATAGACTTATTGTTATATATAACTACATTGATCGTTGATGTTAGCTAATTAATTATAATGGATGCAATATGCAATCATGTATTGGTGCAGCGCCTATTAAGAAGGTAAAGAAAAAATTAAGTAAGATGGTTTATGAATGTGCAAAATTATATAAAGATATAAAGAAAAGGGTTGATTGTTAATTTTTAATTCTATAAAACGGAGTAAAAAAAAAGACTAAAAAACAACTTTTACAAAATTCATCAAAAGAGATAAATAATAATATTAAAAATGTAAAGTTTTGTTGTTAATTTTTCAGTTCATAACTGGTATAATCAGTTCTTTGCTCTCTCACTTTACTAAATTATTTAAACAAATGATCTAACATGTTCCTAATTCAACAAGTCAAATTGATTAATGCAGTCTCATTTTTACGACAGTAATTATAACTAATGCAACATGTCATCAAAATTTGATATACTTACAATGATTATCATATCTTAGATCTTATGACCTGATGTATTTCATAGTTTGAAAATTATTTCAACGTAATAATCAATAATATGAAATCATATATCGTAGATTTACCCGGGGGGGGGGGGGGGGGGAGAGAAAGAACAATTGAAGATTATGCAATTTAATATATTATCTCTTAGGATTCCATTGTATTTAAGAACATACCCGTTTTTTACCTATTCAAAATAGGACACACATGAGAATCAATCGAGGCTCATCTCTAAATCACATATCATAATTGTAGAGAAATTTGAAGAGACACGATGTAAGCCAACTGTTTTGCTTTTCTCTTATAAGATTATGCTTTGAAGAATCAAATATGAATTAGAAACAAGTATCACCTTAAATTTCTCTTTTTGAACGATCTTTCAAACTTTCAGTCATTCTATGAATATTAAGTATACTAGAGCATTAAAAACAGGCTAGCCCCAGAGTCACAATCAGATGGCTGATGAAGAGCATATTGAAAAAGGTATGTGTGAATATTTGGAAATTAAGATAAAAGGAATATTAATATAAGCATTCCTTAATTGCCAAGAAAATTTCTGCTATATTTAACAATTTAAAAAAAAATTCACTAACATAAAAAGCATGTATTAATTAATAATATAAAATCAATTTGAACCAATTAAAATATACCCGTTTCAGCATAACCCGGAGCAATCTGGCATGAACCAACAGGCATAAGCATTTGCTGCTTTAGGGTCCTCAAATCAGGATTGTACAGCCAAAATTCCCCTTGATGCATCAAAAGGTCATCACACCTGAAAATCTCTACCATGGGACCACAAGACCCAATAAACACAACATACACCTGCTTATGACCATTCCCCATCTTATTCACCCACCCACTCTCCACAGCCAAATTAGCCACTACCAAATTAACTTGCAACCTAAACACATCCCTAATCCCACATTCAACTTTTGCCACCACAACATTGAGATCTCCATAATTCTCCAACACCGGCATTGGCATTTCCGGGCATTTGGGTTCACCCCATTTCCTATCTTCATCAATCCATTCAGGAAAAAAGTCCTCCCATTTCAAATTCTCATTCACACGATCAAAATCTATAGACACAGCCTCTACTTGTGGATGAAGTGCATATAGTTGTTCATATACGCTACCATCCACTCTAGCATCGAAATTAACGACACCAACCTTAATCTTATTTTTGTCATTGACACCTTTAGCTATGATGTCAAACCAAGTTGGTCTTGGCTTCGGGTCCACCTGAACCATGTTGTTGATAGAAACGACCCTTTTGTGCATCAAACAAAGTAGAAAGAGAAGAAGAGGTAAGGAAACAAGCAAGATACAAATGAGAAAACGCTTTTGCCTTAAAGATGATTGAGATTGAGAAAGAGAGGACTTAGAACCCATTTTTGTTTTTCAAGTTTGGTGATTGTGGCTTGGGTTGATGACAATTGACACTAAAGCTCCCTGAGAAAGAGGCATATTATAGTCAACAAGTTTTATTGCATGATGAAACATTTGTCATTAGGACTTAGGAGTAACTGATAGACCAACCAGACATGTTTGCAAGGTCTTATTCCAATCGAGTTTTTTAATCTTATATAACAAGTGAGTAGGTTAAAAGAACATTAATTGTGCCTTCTTATATATTTAAAAATAAATTCATTTTTTTCTTTATTTTATATAATAAATATTCATTTTTTTATTTCTTTAACTTATATTTTATCATTATATATTTACATTTTTAATTTTGAAGTATATAATTTATGATTTTTTAATCATTTCTTTCTCATTGCATTTTTTTAGATTTTTATTCGTTTTAAATACCTCATTTTAAATTTAAATAATCATAATTTTTGTTTTTAATTATTCTCTTGAATCAGAAACAATCACAAATGACAATTAGAGATTAATTTTAAATTTGGAAACGTCTCGCGTCCTCACTTTGAAAAATAAAAAGCAATAAATTTTAAATATTAATATACTGTATTAAATTGAAGAGAAATGTTTTATGAAAGTTATTCCTTCTTAATTTAAATGTGATTTTAAATTCTGATTGATTGTATCAAATGAATTAAGATAAATGTGACATGTTATGATTTATTTAAGTTTTAATAAAATAACAAGTAACTTTAAAGAATTAAAAAATATTAGATTAATTTTTTATTTTTCTTAAAAGAGAATAATATGTAAATCAATTAATGTTTTATAATTATTTAAAATTTTATATGTTTTCAATACCACACCTTTCAAGGAATACGAATCTATGCTTTTTTTTTTTTTTACAAAATTCTATTTTTAAAGAAAAATATTATATCATGGTACTATTTCAAGTTACCCGTCATCCTACTCGCATAAAAGTGATATAAAAAATGAGTTAAGAGATAACAATTTGTTGAATTTAATATACATAATAATATATAATTTTTGTACACTGTTAATATCAGCAAAAATTATTAATTTTTTAATAATTAATATAAAATTATATCTATAATGTATTATAATTAATTAATAATGTAAAAATATTTATATTAATAATGCCCTAAAATCAAACTCAAATTAATTGAATTTTTTAGAAAATACTTAAAGTGTTGAAATAATACGAGGATATAAGAAATACTTAAAACACCTCATTTGGTTTTTAAGACTGTGATGGAATTAAATATGACTATCATTAAATGATTAAGTAAATACAGACATTTAAATTGGAAATGGTAATAATATCCATGTTGAATTTATAGACTCTTTTACATTCAAAACTAGTAAATGCAAAGGTGCATTGCACTAAACGCGTCATAAGTGGTAGAAATCAATGCTGTTATTCGAAAATAAATTTTCTTGTAAATTTATTTTAATGTGTGGCGAATGCATATGTTAAAAGAATAAAAGAATAATAAGTTTCTTTTTTATTAATTATAACATTTAATATTTCTAATATATTAAATTATGTAATATTTTATTATTTTTAATTTTTATTATATATAAATTTTTATTATGTGTATTTAAATATGTATTATAAAATTATTACTTGTAAACTATTTTTTAGGTTTAATTAGCTACCGTAATTAATCATTGATAATTTTTCTTTATAAAATAAAAAAAATGTTGTAGTTCTGGCAATGGATTTTTTATCTTGGTATATTAGGATTTTTTTTAATCTTTTTTAAATATTAAATTTGAAATTTTATTCTGAAAGAAGTTTGGTTTATATTATGTATTATTTCTTAATTTAACATTATTTTTTATTTTTTAAATACTTTGTATTTATTTAATATAAAAATTTATTTTTAATAATTATAATATTTATATTTTTTAAATAATTGTATAATATTTTTAAAATTATTTAATTTAATAATATATGTACAGCCTTTACATATGTAAATTGAATTCATATTAATTAAATTAATATTCGTTGGCTGCCACGTGGCTTCTTTTACTTTCATTGTTAATTCTTATTTTTATAAAATATCATTCCCATATTTGAATTTCAAATTTAATTAAATATAAATTTTAAATTTTGATTCACTTTTTTTTTCATTGATTTTTTTGAAAAGGGGGATGGTGCCCATTCCAAGTAAGAAACTTGAACTTAAAAAAAACTTAAACTTCACTCTAATAAAATGAGTGAGAAATTAAACGTAAAATCTTGATATATTAAATCAAAATAAATAATTTTTAGATAAATTAAAATTTATTTTTATAATTTTAATTAATTTTTAGTCAGCATTAATTCTTAAATTTTAATTTTTGATACACTATATTACCAAAGATGTTTCTTAATTTAAATTGTAATCTTTAAAAAAAAAATTCCTAATTTATAAATTTTATTTCTTTCATTTATTTAAATTTATTGTAACAAGTATTTTTATTAATGATACTTTTTTCAACTTTTTAATTTATATATTTACTAATTGACAAATGACGAAATCTCATATTTTATTTTTGATTTAAAAATCATTTTTCATTTGTACTCATGTAGTGGATGAAAATTTTACTGGTTAAAGTACTTTGTAAGAATAATAGTCATCAATAATCTATCTCTATATATTGACTGTGTGTTTTCATTATTTAATAGTTCATGTAATTTAGTATATTTTTTACTTAATTTAATATTAATATTAATTTGAATTTGAATTTGAATTTGAATATTTTTTTTATTTTTCATAATTTAAAAAATTATTGTTATTAATAATATTGTTTAATTTTTTAAATTTTTTATATTTTAAAAAATTATATAAATTTGTTTAAAAATATATATTTTTTTTATTTAAATAATTATTGTGCATAGAACAAAATATTGATTAATTATGTAATTAAGATAAATTGTTGAATACTAAAGATGTTGAAATTCATTCCATTGGCATGTTACAGTTTTCTACTAGCAGTTAGCGGATTTTAGTCTATCTTTTCCAACTATTAGTTAGATGAACAACTAAATAACTAAACTTTTTTTCATTCATCATCACAACTGCGAGTTTCTAAAAATAATCAAACAGCCAATTTGTTAGTGATAGACTGATAGGTGAGGAATTTTGGTAAGAATTCCTTCCATTCACCTAATTACGATAAAAAAAACAATTAAGTTAATATTTTTTATCTGTCACGCATTGAGTATGTAGGTTAATGGATATAAAAAAGCTTAAAGGCAATAAATTTTTGGATATTATATAATGAAATTTTCCATTTTAACATTCTTTTTTATTATTATCAACATTTCATTGGGATGATAAATAAAATTCTAAAGGGGTACTGTACCTGTATGGTATATACTTTATGCTACAGCTACAATATCCCTTTAGAATTTGTTGATGTTTGATTACTGAGTATTGAATTATTGTGATGTGCCCAATTGGCCCAAATTAGACTAACACATCCTTTGGGGTGTCGTATCTCTAACCGAAAGGAAAGAATAATCTTTTCTTATTATGCTGTCGGAAAGAAACAAAAGCAAAAACAGCAAAGTTCGATACCATTTTCTAGAACAAACCACATGAAATATTACAAATACTATGATTAAGACACATCGATGGTGTAGTACTTAAACAGGGGTGGCAGTAACAACATTCAGAGGCATGGCTATTAGATCAGAGGCATATAAATCATTAGAAGTGGATGCATGTGATAATTATGCCACTGAGACTACCCCCTTAGCTCTGATCAATTTGTCTTCCATTTGGGAGAGATCCATTTTGAAGAATGAGAAATTGTTGCTATCAACAACAAAGAATGATCCTATTACTATCTTTCATGGTTCCAAAACACCTAATTTGAGTGTCACACAGTACATGGAGCGCATTTTCAAGTACATTCATTGTAGCCCTTCATGCTTTGTGATTGCACAAATATACATGGATAGGTTTTTTCAGAAAAGGGGTGGGTATCTCACTTCCTTCAATGCCCATCGCCTCTTGATCACAAGCGTTATGGTAGCTGCAAAATTTGCTGATGATGAGTGAGTACTTGACAAAAACCACACAGTTAACTACAGCATTATTTACACATGACTGTTCATATTAAAGTAATTTGAGTCGATAGCATTGGTGAATGGTGATTTATTTAATTTACTTTATTTAGTGGTATAAAGTTATTTTGTATTAAAAATAATGAAACTGATTAATGGGTTGCAAATTTTGAAGGTACTATAGCAATGCCTATTATGCCAAAGTGGGAGGAGTCAGCAGAGAAGAGATGAACAAGATGGAAATTGAGTTTTTGTTTAATTTGGAATTTAGACTTTTTGTGACAGCAGAGGTGTTTTTGCAATATTGTGAGAAGCTTGATAGGACAATTGTTGGAGAATATAGGATTCGTTGCTCCATTATTCGCCATGCAAAGTGAAAAATAGCCCAATACAAATGAATTTAATTCTACGATGTTAATGTAGCATTATTTGTTGCTTTGGTCCAAATGTAACATAGTTTTCAAGTTTATTGCTCATGCTCAATGAGCTGAAGATATTCAAACCAAGTGATTGGAGTTTCAACTAAGCTTGCATTAGTAAAAAATTACAAATTGATTAACCATACGAATTGAACAGAATATTAATAATAACTCTAAATTTTTCACACTTTTTAATCTTATATTTTATTTGCTTTCACATTTTTATTTTTTCAATTTCTTTATCGTATATTTTACTCTCTCTTTTTTTTCTTTTCTTTCTCATAATCTCACACAACGCTTATCTCATATCATATACGTGGGCTAAAAAAGAACAATTGATTTTTATACGTATATGGAATTCCAAAAATGGAGTTGAATGGGCTAGGCCCATGGAATGAATTGGTACGGCCCAACGTGTTTGAGAAAAGAGGGAAGTGATGAGAAAGAAGACGAAGAAGAAGGAGGAGCGAGATCTGCGAGAAGGAAAGGAAGATCTAAGCGAAGATGATGTCGGGAAAGTACACAACGATTGATGCGGAGCAGGTTGAGGGATCTGTGCCTGTGAGTATTATTCACCATTCATTCCATTCAAACTCTGTTACCGCTTCCGAATCTCATTCTCCTTCCTTTGTTTCAGGCCGTTACAGATCCAGGACACGTCACCGTCAAGTTCCAAGGTTCATCTTTCTCTCTCTTCCCCAATTATATGGGCTACCATTCTCAATCTCCATTCAGCTATATACGTCTTGCATTTCAACAACGCTCCTTCGATCTGATTATAGAGTTTTGTTTACTTTGTAGATTCAAATCTTCAGACATTTCCTCCATCTGGACCACAGGGGAAGATTATCGCTGGTTCTGGGCCTCCTCGTGATGCCGATGGTGTGTGCTAATTACTAATTCAGATTGTTTCTTTTGTGTCTGGTTATGCCAATTACTTAACATACACCGTTATAAGCTTCCTGATGATTGGTTTTTTTATTGCTTTGTGCTAATTAAAGCACTGCTCCTCCTTTTCATCCTGCAATGTTGCTTTAATTCTAGATGTGTTTGCCCAGTCTCTTTATTTGGAACCCAGTGATGAGATTTGGTTTGGGTGGGTGGGAATGTGCTTTCACTACTTATTGATAGACAATATGTGATGAGTATTCTAGATCAGTAAGAGTCGAAGAGCGATTCTAAATCCTTCTATGACACCTTCCTACTTACTGGATGGAGAAGTATAGAATATTTTTCATGTTTCCGAGTATGATTATCAATCCTGGATAGGGGCACGTAGCAGTTCACCCCAGAAATGCAGCAATGGAATAGCACATAGTGGGATGACTACTGTTTTAAAATCTTGTTATCCATATATATAATCTAAATCTAAACTATATACATAAATACATTAGTAGTGCTAAAAAAATGCTCAAAATGCATACCATACTATAAAGTTTTTGGTATGATACAATGGCTGGCCAGAAAGTCTCTCCAGTGTGGCTGGAAAAAATGATGTAAAAGTTGCCAGAAAACAGTAAGGGACAATAGTGGGTGATCATTAGTATGATTTTCAGAGAGAAGATGTGGTCTTACTAGTCTGTTATGTTGAGCAGAGAAAGACTGCTGTCCTTCACTGGACTTGCAATTGCTGGAAAGTGCCAGAGATGATGTCACGTCACTTTTGGTGAAGATGGATAGGCAGAGAGATCTGTTAGAAGAGAGAGAGAGAGAGAGAGCGAGAGAGAGACAGAGAACCAAGCAGGCAACATGGATGAATGTGATGTGACACCTGTTAACCCAATTTGTATGATTTTGTTACAAAAAGATTATTGACACTGACAAAAAAGGATCCCCTGTAATTTTGGGGTAAACTGCAGTTACTGCATAGGATCTTGGTCCAACGAGTCAAGACCATTCCATAAAATGGCAGTAGTAGTTTTTTCTTACATTTCTTTAAATGTGAATCACACATTTGTTTCTTTTACTCCAGTGAATGACTGATGCTTATTATATGACATTGCCTTCTGTACTTCTGGCAATTTTACTGTTGGAGTATTATATTTCTTTTTTTTTTTATATCTGTTTGACATGTTTGTGTTATTGTTATGCAGATTCATTTTCAAAACCTGTGTCTGGTTCTGATGAATCCCAGCAGGGTGGTTGGCTTCAGACTTTTACAGTTGCTGCTTACAAGCCATACTTTGATATTGACACTTCAGATGTTCTTGAGAGGATTATAGACTCACTATTTCCATTTAGAGGAACTTTTAATGAAAAAACTGCTACCAACCCTGATTTGTGAGTTGACTTTGTCTTTTTCTCCTTCCATTAACTGAGCAAACCACCAATTTTTAGATCTGAGTTCTGACATTTTTGAATTATAACATGTATTGTTAATATCACTTTATGAAGGAAAGGTGTATCTAACTTCTTATGGCCAGTCATGATATTGCTAATATATTCTGATCCAAAGATATGGATAAGACATTAATGAAGAAATATAATATACTACTGCTTTATTAGTTTTGGGTTTGTGTTTACCATTTTTTAGGGGAGAGGGGGTGGATTTATTAATTTTTTCTGGGCATAATTTTCTCATTGTGAATCTGACATTTTGAAGTATATCTCTGATGCAAGTGCGTTAAACAGTGTGTGATGAATTGTATCCACGTCTAAACTCTGAATTTTTCCCCCCCAATAACAAATAAACCTGTTAAATCTTTGTTTTGCAAATGAAAAAGATGGCTTTGTGTAAGCAGTAGGCTTGTCTAATTGATCCCCCCATTAAGCAGTGAGGTGAACTTATGCCAATGGTTAGCAATAGTCGGTTATATTTATTTGTGATATAGAACACCCACTCGTAGGAGCAAGACTGTTAACTGGGCAGAGCCATTACTCAAAATGTGAGTTAAGTGTTTCACACCCAGCTGATATGGGGCTAACTCCTGCATCAACTCTGTCTGGTTGAAAAGAATGGTCCCTCCACATCAGAGGTGGACAAACTGGACTCTGATACCAGACCAGTTAATTCAGGAATGAAAGCAATTAGGAAATTTCATTCTTTTGTTCTGGTAGATGACTTAGAACCCTCTTGGTACATTCAACACAAGGAAAAATCTCAAAATTGATAACTGACTATATTTGTTGTAAAAAGTTCCAACGTAAGGGCCAATGCATAATTGATACTATGATTATTACAATAACAAAATCTAAGGGCCAATGCATAATTATAGTTTTTGTCCTGCTTTGCTTCTCCTGCATCTATTTTATTCTATGGCTAATGTTGTTTCTTTTTGACAAGCTTATACTCTATTTATTATCTGTTGGTTTTGTTTCATTTCTTATATAAGTTTGTGGAAATATCATCTGTGGACTAATTTCTTAGTTCTTCAATTCTAGTGTCCCAAAAAGATGTTATCATTTTTTAACTTTGGAGAACCAATGCTTTAATACTTTTGCCATAGAAAGGAATGAATTTTGTACATATAATTTTGAGTTCATATAAACGTATGCAGGTATGGACCATTCTGGATTTGCACTACCCTAATATTTGTAGCAGCATCTATTGGCACATTTGTGACATACATAGCACACAAGCTGAAGAGCAAGGAATGGGATTATGACATAAATCTGGTGACTTGGTCTGCTGGTTTGTTTTACGGCTACGTTACCATTGTTCCTCTTTGCCTGTATGTAATTCTCAAATACTTCTCTGCACCAGCGGGCCTTGTGCAACTATTCTGTCTGTATGGATATTCTCTGTTTGTCTTTATTCCAGCTCTGGTAAGTTATTCATCATTTTCTACCTTTTACTTTAAGGAAGTATGAAATTTGACATTTGCTTTGTATTGTATCCTCAAAAGTTTAACCCTTTGTTTGATGCAGTGTATGTCCATTGTGCCACTAGAGATATTTAGATGGGTGATTGCAGGTGTGGCGGGGTTCATGTCAGCAACATTTGTGGCACTTAACCTCCGGGCACACATCAAGTCAGCAGGGGAAAGGTGGTTCTTGATTGTTGCTGGCATTTTTCTACTGCAGCTGGCTCTAGCCGTTGTACTAAAGATCTACCTCTTCACGGTATCAGTTTAAGAGGACTCTGGACAGCTTGAACGAAATACATAGAACGAAGGTATAGCTTTTTGGCATTTTAGGTTTTCGTGGATTAAACCATTGTAGCTGAAATACAATTCACATATCAAACCATCATGTATTCATTCATTTGTGGCAATATAGGCGAATAACTTGTGATTTTTATAACTAGAAGCACTTGTTTTGACATTGCAAATGCAAGTTATAGCGCGTGCTTTTACGATTTTGTATTACGGTTGTAAATTGAAGCTTCTATCATAAATAATAGTTATTGGTGCTGAGTATAGAATGGGTGATTGTACTGGTCCAAGTTCAGACTCTCCATGGTTCTTTGCTGACGTTGAAAATCTCGTTATAAAATCTTGGTTTACAAAATGTATGGGTAATCAAAGCCAAACAGATTATTTAATGGGTGATTAAAAATGCTATCATTACGGAGCATAAAAAATTCTACTCATTCAATCAACATGCCCCTCCCCTTTATTTTTGTGCAAATACTGGAATTCCCAAGATATTCACGTATTTTATGACTATAACATAGCTGCTCTAATCTGGAATTCTGGATTCAAGTGGTTGCTTGAGTTCTGATTGTTCATCCCTTTAATAATGACCATACATGGATAAGCCTGATCCTCGGTGTCACATCATTTGTTGGCATTGAATTGGTCCTCAGTTTTTAACTCAATGCGAAACTAGTAATTTTGTTGGCATTATAGTTTTAGTTTTCTTCTGTTAATCTACGTATCCAGTGATTATTCCATAGAATTCTAACAGACAGGGTTTGTTGGTTTTTAAGTTGAGAAATTAATTGTCTCAATTTTCAATCAAAATTCACATTTTGATAAAATTGTGCGGATCATATGAATTTTTGCACGAATCTCAATTTTAATTAATGAGTTAAAACTCATTTTATTTAACTTTATACTAAATGAGCGTGAATTTTGTTTTAACTTTGAAAAATATTTTTCTAAACGTATTTGACCCTTATGTAATGTCAAGTCACATCAAATTTTTATATTTGCACTAAATATATAAAATCTAACTTTTTGAATAATCCACCGACATAACAGTGCAAAAGATATAACATGAAACTAGATTAATTTCGAACTATTTCTTTTCATGATAAATAAATAAGAATATCTTCATTGGTTAAATTTTTAAAAGTTACTTAAATTATATTTTATTAATTTTTATGTCTTATTTACTTTTTAACTCTAAGTTTCTACTCCTGCAACTCAGATCTTTTGGCTTTTTATTTTAAAAGATTATACCAAGACTAATTTTTTTTCTTTTTAAAAGCAACAGTTCATCAATCTCCAATAGTAAATTAAAATAAACGACCCCTACTTATGTAAAAAATTAACTTAAGTAATTACTATTGGAGATGTCCTAATTAATTTATGTCCTAATTAATTTATCAAGAATAATTAAAAGTAGTAAACCCTAAACATTCACTCATTACACAAATAAATGAATATAAAGAAATTAGCAATTAATATATTTGAAAATAAATTCTTATTTTTAATATTTAAAAAAATGTATTTCTTATAAATAAGACAAAAAGAGTATATAATTATATATTTAAAATTGAGTATATAATTATGCTTTACACATTGTCAACCTTAGCACTGCTTGAACAGGATTTGGGTCCGAAAAAGACAACGTGCAGAAATTAGGCAGAATCCACCGCTGCATTAGTCCAAAATAATCAATACGAAAGTAGATTAAATTTAACTACATAATTATGCTTAACTCATTATCAACTTTAGCAATGCTTGGACATGATTTGGCTCTGAAAATAGTAAAATACAGTGAATCAGAGATTAGGCAGAAACTACGGAACGGAAGTGCTCCGTGTGAATGCCAACCTCACGAAGACTTTATTGGTTTGCTTCAATAATTTTAAGTGGCAATAATCATATCTGTCATCAGCATATCAAATTAACACACGATAATTATGCCTCAAGACCTTGACCCCAATAGCACTATGGTTTTAGCAATTGATAGTAAAAGTCAACACAATATCATACAAGTCTTTTCATCTTGCTTAGTGTTTACGCCAAACTTTGGTAATCATCTATCACTTAATTTATTTTCAGCCGGTGCCAACTAAAGTTAAGAGGCTATAAACAGTACTTTGCCCTTTAGAACTTTGATGTCTCATAGCCATAGGAACCGCCCAAAACCCACAGGTTTTGAAGTGATAAATTAAGGACTTTTTTTTATAAACTGTTAATGATATTTATCAATAATGTATATTTAATATTATCATATTTTATTGAGATAAAATTTTAATTTTAATTAATAAATATCACCAACAGTGCATGAGGAAATGTACCTTTTGTCTATAAATTAATTGAAATGAAGCTCATGTTCACAAATTACAAGTCACTTGATCAGCTTAAAAAAATGACAAATTAATATCTGCCACAACTTCGAGTGCATAGATTGAAGCAAGCCGAATCCCAACACTGGGATCAAAGAAAAAGGCTACAGAATGTAAAAGCTGTCGCAAACTAGTCCAAAGAAAGAAATAAACCCTATTAAAATACATTACACGAAACATTAAAAGCCCAACAACACGAGCCAAAAGATACATTTTATTTTACAGTTTACTGAAATTTCTTGCTCCTTCAACAAGCAAATAACTTAGTTTTGCGAGACATTTGTGCTGTGAAAATATGAAGATACCGTAGGAAAAAGAAACAAGAAGTCACACTAGCCTTAGAAAAAAAAATTGACCGAACTTGAAGACATTAAGCAAAAGATTTTGGACTTTAAAGGTGGAAAAATAACAAAATAAAATAAACTATACGAAGAGTCAAGTCCTGATCCTGAAATTGGGGTTCATCTCTTTGATCCTTGTAAACAGTTGTTTTCTTTAATTGACTCGAAGAATATTTATGGCCATAAATATTTCACAATATATAAAGGAATGGTTGGTTGGTATCCAATAGACAATAGTGTCCATATTTTACCATCAATGCACAAACTAGAACTTCAGATTCCTGAAACGTCCTTATATTATGTCGGGTCTGGTTTGATTACATTAACACTGACCATGTACGGCACATGGAAAAGATGGTCAAACATTAACTGTGCATTGATCGAAATTGAAATTAAGTGCTTGATTAGATTTATGTTTGAATGTACATGAGTTTACATTTAATTATTTTAATGTTATTAGTTATAGCTTTTACGTACGTTTGCAGGTTTTTCAAAGTAAATACAAAGACACACTAAATAATATTACTAATAAACTGAAACACGAGCTTGACCATTTGATCCCTACAGTTCCCTGGACCCTTTTTCTTTACGATGAATAATGCTATGTCTTGCTCACGAAGGTGGAGAAACAACTATTCCTATTTCAAACATTTCTCATAGGTCATAACTCATAACTTTCTTGGGTCTGTGACATTCTCATAAGTGTTTCCAAACCTTAAACCCTTCCCCTTCTCTTCACGTGCCACACGCAAACTCTTGATCTATCTTTTCATTGCTTTTCTTGGTTTATTTCCAACCAAAGAAGCCAGAAGAGGTTCAGTAATGATCTTTGACAAATTTTAGTGAAGTGATGTTAATGTCAAGGTCTCATGTGGGGAATCTCTTACTGATACTACTATTAAGTGTTTCCGTTTTGAATCATCAAGTATTGGGTGCTCGATATGTAAAAGTAGAAGAGGAACATGCACTCAACGTGTCTTCAGTGTGGAGGAAAAGCTTTAGCAATGAAACAAATGGAAGCACTTATGCTACAGTCAATAGAGAAGTACCCTCCTCTCCTGATCCTTTGCACAACAGGTAGGTGATTCTTCTAGGTCTTTACAAGAGACACTATAGCTGCTTTGAAACATAAGAACTGTTATTTTTTTTATTTATATATTATTTCAAGTGTTGAGGCATACATAGAATATGTTTGTCATTAATAGTTTTTTCAATCATCAATCACTCTTAGTTCTAAAGAACACTGTATCCTTCAGAAGCAAAGATTTAGAGAAGGTTCCTCATGTTATCTGGTCAAGAGGTTGACCATTGGGTTATATTTACATACTACGTATGTTTAAAGCAAGAGTCTTATAATTTTAACTAGGACTACGATTAAAGAATCAGTAAATACAATTTTTTTAATTAGAAATCTGGTTTAGAATGCATTAATAGCTAAATGAGAAAATTTTATTCAAGATTTTAGGTTGATAATATATTAATAATCACAGTGGGGGTGACTTAAAATAATATGCAGATTTGCTATACAAAAGTTAATCATGATGACTTGCGTTTTCTTTGCAAAAATTTCTTTGCAATCATAAATTTTTGCAAACTATGTGGATTAGGAATTAATGGTTAACCATTAATTAGGCCATGAATTACGCTAGAATAAAACTTGTTTGCAAATTGCAGTAGAAGATTCCACATCCCAGCTCTAATAATAGTGAATGTTTCTTTTGGTCAACTATAATAGTGAAGAATGCTAGTCATACATTTATACTAAGGGAGGGGAAAATGGACTAAATTTTCATCAGAACCCACTTGAAAAGGAAATGAAATGCCATAGGCCCCCAACTTGAGTAGAAACGCTAAACGCAATCAAGTTTCAATGAGAATGAGAATGACTGGCCCAAATAAATTGACTTAAAGAACCACTAACGAAGTTGCAGCCCACTAATAACTCTCATTCCTCTACTTCCAAACTTGGTTGAATATTCTAGTGCCAATTTTCCAAGCCTTATTCCTCTTTTGAAAAAAAGATTGTAATTGAATTCAACATGTTTCAATTCCCTGCAGAAACATAATACTATATAACATACACAGTGCCATTATTAATCACTAAAATTAAAAATTGAATTGATATAATATATTGTATGATATTATTTTTATCTATCTAACCTTCTATTATTTTTTATTCGCACTTTAAAAAATACACTCTTCTTATAGCTGTTCCCTTTGGGGATATCAAAACATTTCTCTATAACAAGTCACGCACAGTAACGATTAAATTATTCAAGCAGATGGTCAGGGGAGAAATAAAAAAGATAGATAAATAACAGCACATAAACTAATTCCTAATCAAAGTTCACACCACATTTACACACGAGGAGGAATGAAATTAAAGTGTCCACAATGAAACTTAAAAGAAAGATAAAAATGCTCAGTCTTGGTAATTGATGAGCACAAGCAGCAAAGCCAAGAGCAAAACCTCCACGGAAGCAACATTAGGAAGCAGAGAAGTTGCATGAGAGAAACTTCCAGTGGTTGTGTTGGTGGTGAGAACAAGAACCATCCAATCATCCTCAGAACCAAGCCCAATTCCTGTGTACTTGGAATTGTTGAGAAACTGTGCATACTGATCAGAATGAGTGTAATTAGAAAGCACAATAGTGGGTTCCAATTTTGCTACACAAACGGGGAGAATGACCCCATCACTAGTAGTGCTAATGTTAATGTCACACTTATCTATGTGTTTCTTCAAGTTGCGGATTTTAAGGTTGCCACCAATACCAGGAACAGGGTAGAATTGATTCACATTTTCACAGGGCATGTCCTCTATTTCATCTGCAACCTCATCAGCCAAACAAGTTGCCTTGGTAACTCGGTTCAGTGGTGCCAGGTTCCGTGTCTGTCTGTAACTGTTGATTCCCTTAAATACACTGTCCTCCTTATCTAATGAAACCAATTAATTAGCATGTATATATCAGATCACTAATTAATAATTAACCAAAACCAACCACCTGTTAATGCCATTGGATTACATAATATGAGATCCGTGGAAGAATTTCATTAAACTAAGTTCACATAACCTCATGGGGTTACCATTTTCTTCAACACAAAATAAAAAACATAACATTTTGGAATTAGAATAATGGTCATTCTTCATGGGTGCTTAAATTTGTAGAACACAACGGGGGAAACAAATTGGGGTAAATTTAATTAAGACCAAAGCGAGACCAGTTGAAATCAATTTGGAAAACCTTGCACGTTATTACATTAAAAAATTATAATATTTATCAAATGAAGAGAAGTTACGATTAACTATAAGCCCAACTAATTAAACTCAATAAAAAATATATCTTTCTTTCTCTAACTTCATCAGATATTGTTAAAGAGGATACAAATCCAGTTGAAAAAGTTGATATATATATATATATATTGCACGAAATATAGTTAAATTTTTCATGCACAACTAAGATGCTTCGAGCAACTGAAACAATGCTCCTTAGGGGGGGAAATTAAAAGAAGAGATACAGAATGTGTTAAAACATGGAATTAGAAAAATGAGACTGCATGCAAGTGTGAGAGAAGGGAAGGGAAAGTACCATTACAGTGCACCGGAATAGAAACGAATAGAAAAGCAAAGAGGAGTGCAAGAAAGATGAGACCAAGTTTGAAGGCGATCATGGTGTGCTTTGAGTCCAAAAGGAAACACCTATCGATGAATTGAAGTTGAGAATAAACTCTAAACTCTACTATGAAGAGATGATGGTGCCTGAAGAACAAACAGGTATCAAGTACTTGATCTTCCACGTGGCTGACATGCAAGGTAACAACTAAGGCCATGATCATCTAAGTTAGTTCTTCATCATAATAATATTAACCAAATGCTGGTGTAACGGGCAAATTCCAAACCACCTTTACAATTAGGGTGCTGTTTTGTTTACCTATGCTTTTATTTTTATTCTCAACGAAATTGAAAACATAAACATTTTGAAAATAAGCTGAAATCTGAAAACATGTGTCCTCTTCCTCTCCAGGCTTTTAAAAGGTTTTGGGGTAATGGAATGGTACCTTTAGTTAATGGTGTTGAACATTTTGGTCTTTTATCCATACATTCTCAACCCATTAGCATCAATTTCAGTTATTTGTTCATTTCTAACTCCAACTTTCACACTAGGAAATAAACTCTTTGTTCTTTTTTTCTTACTTAGATCATGTGCTCAACTAGGGTCGTGTCTAAATAAGACAAGTCTTACACAAAATTAATTTTTACTATAACTTCTTAATTTTTTTCTGGAATTGTAAATTATTGATTATTAATTGAGTAATTTTAGTAGTGAAGTTTTAATAAATAATATGATTAATCTATTTGATTTATCTTCAACATAGTAAATTTTAAATATTTTATTTTTCAAAAATTCAAATGTGACAATAATTAAAGGTATTCTTAATAACTTTGTAAATAATGCCTATATTGAGAAAATAATTTAATCTTTTGATATATGTTAATAATTTTAATAGAGTATTGGTTTTTATTAAAAGAATTTTAACACTTTTATGTTTAGAAATAAATTAAGACCATCAATATATGTTCATAACAAGAACTTAAAATATTTTTAAGATTAATATTTATTCTTCTTCATCCACATATACAAAATTTCAAAATTTTAAATTCAAATTAAAATTTTAACATGATTTTTAAAAAAACTCAAATTATCTATAATACGAAAAATAAATTGATTTAATATCCATTAAATTAAACAAGACAAAAAATGTATAATTAATCTCACATTATAAGGTGACAGAAATGACAAACATTTGCGCAACGATATTTCTACATGTTTGTGCTAGACTTTGTTAAAATCAGGCTTTAAAATTATACGCTTATATTATTTAATATTTTTTATAAATTTTAAATTTTAAATGAAACTTGTTATAAAATTTAAGTCTATAAAATTTTAAATAATTCATCATTTTATTTTATTTTAATATATAATATATTATTAAAATATGACTAAATACTAACTGTTTTGATAGTATATTCACAAAAATATAAAAACTATAAGTTTAACTATACATGAAGTGATGATAAAAAATTAGTTGACAATAAAGTCATTTATTAAAAAATTTGTGCGTCACTTTTTTAATTTTAATAATTTAAATAAGATCTAACAATTAATATTTATTATTTTATTTATTATAAATAATTAAATATTTTGACTTAAATACTTTCTCACAAATATATCACATCATGATTAACAAATCATATTATACACAATTAAATAATTTTTTTAAATTTAAATTAATATTTCATTAAAGATTAACAATTTATAAAAATAAGGGCATATTGATTAAACATTACGTAATTTAATTAATTACTCTTGCAATAAATTTTTTATCAGGTGATATTTTTTAACATAAATTCGGTAATAAAACTAATTGAAACGAGTTAAAATATTATTTTAATAGTAATATACAAAAAAAATTAATAAAATAAGCTAGCCATTTTTATAATTTTTAATAAATTTTCTGATTTTTTTCCAAATTAACTGATTTTATTAAAATATAGATGAATAAATAAAATTAGTTAAATTAATTTGATAAATATTTTTACATCATAAAAATTCAAAATTAAATTATAATTATTTATTAAAATAATTTTTATAAGAAAACTTAATATCAAAAATGATTTTAAACCCGAATAATCGTTATGTCGAGCATGAATGCATACAACTAAAATACGGTGTGACATTAATTAGAACGTGTTTCAGTTTGTGACTCTGTCAATAAGGAAATAACATTTTTAAATATTTTTAATATTTTGAAAATTTCTTTTAAAACTGAAATATTAATAATAATAATAATAATAATAATAATAATAATAATAATAATAATAATAATAAAATTATCAAATAACGAATATTTGTAATATTTTTATAAAATAAAAGTATTTATTTTATACCATAAAAAAGGGTAATAAATAATAAGTAGTTTTTTATTTTTATATAATTTTTAAAGAATAATATATATTAAAAAAAATTGGATAATTTTTATACAAAAATTTAGAGATGAAACGAGTAAAAATTATAAAAATTTCAAGATACTAAAAATATTTTTTTAAAAACTTATTAAAAATTATCATAAGTAATTTTTTAAAATATTAAAAATCACTATTAAAAATTTTTTAAATTATTAATATTTTTATAATTTTTTCTAAAAAATTCATATCTTAGTATTTATACTTAAAAGTATGTTATTGATGAAAATATATGGTTTTGAAAATTTGCAGTGGGTGGAAGGAAATGATCACGTGGGTCACGTGCAGAGGAGAAGTTTTCCAAATTTGAAACGTAACTGAAGAAAGGATAGTGCGACAGGTGTCCCACAAAAAGGATAAGGAAAAGCATAGCCAACTATTTTTACCCAAAACAAAACATTACTTTACTTAAAGGTTTCGTCCATCGCCTTTGTCCTTTTCGACACGCGACTTAACACCGCGAGTCACCGTCACTCGTTCCCCGCTTATTCATTTTTTTAAAAAACTAATTATTAAAATATTTTTCCAATTTAATTTTTGTAATCTTTTTATTTCATCGTCGCCACTTGTTTTAATTTTCTAATTTCGTTGCATACAAAATTTATTTAATTTTTAGTGGATAAACTGACGATGAGATAAAAAAAACGATTTCTAAAAAGAAAAATTATTTTAGTTTTATTTTATTTTAATAACTTACTTTTTTAAAATATATTAAAAAAAGCAATAACCCCCCTTCCCCCTCTCGTTAATTTCAAGTAACACTATCCAGTTTCTCGAGTCACCCTCATAAATTATTAAATTATAATATTTTAAAAATTTTCCTAAATTAAAGTTTTAGTCAATTTTGATTAATAATAATAATTTTTTATTAAAAATAATAAAAGTTTAATAAATGTTCTCCTTAAATATTTAAATTAAAATTTAAAAAATGAAGTCAATGTTTTAAAATAAAAATTAAAATATATTGTCTAATTATTTTTAAATTTCAAAAAATAATAAATAAAATATATTTTATTTTTAATAATAAATATCATATTATATAGATAAAAAATTTAAAATAATTTTATTGTGGTACTTTAATAAATAGAGAAATTAGAGATATTTTTATATGTAATAGATTAATGTCTTTTAGTTTTAAAGGTTGTTATTTTAATTTTTAAATTTGAGTATAAGTATATTAAAATGATACATTTTTATTAAAAATTTCTTTATTATGTTAAATTATAAAAGAATGACGACAATTTTTAATAAAATGAATTATTATTATGAATTTGATTCATTCAATAAAATAAAATAATTAGATTTTAAATTTTAAGTTCAAATTAAATTTGAACTGCTCAATATAAAATAAACTAGATAAGCCAAATAATTTGTTTTGTCGACCCTATTTTTATGATCTTGCATCATTTTCCACCGGCCATTATTAAAACATTGACGATAAATTTTGAGCAACCACACACAAATTGCCATGAACTTGCCATCACCATTCACCACACAAATAAAAGCAAATAATTCACACCAATTAAAACAACTATTCTTGCCCCTTTTTTAATAAAAATAACCATATTTAAAAATAAGAAATCAAAAATATTTTAAAGACATTAATTTTTATATTTTTTATTCTTTTATTTATTATAAAATTTATAACAATACACTCACTTATTACTTATGCAAATAAATATTTGCACAAGTTTTTTATTGGCCATTAATTATTATAAATATTTAAAGATAAATTATAAATTTATAATATATAATTAATTTTTATTAATTTTAATATATTAGTTACAACATAGAAAAATGAAATAATTTGTGATAATTAAAATCTCATTTTGAATTACAGAAATAATAAAAAAATGATTCATAGAATAAATATTTAATTACATGGCATGACTTTATTAAAACACAAGTTATTAATCTATTAGATTATATACAAAAGGTATACAAACTCTTTAATTTTATAAGAAGGTACATACTTTTTAAAAATTCTAAAATAAATAAAAAATAAATATTTAATGTCAACAAAAATCACGTAATATAATAATAAAAAAAAAACTCTTAGAGTCGTTATCTAAAATAATTATTAAAAATATTTGTATTTAAAAAGGAACGTGTTGAGTTCATATTGCCATCAACACATGCAGCCATCAAGAGGGTGTCCCGCCACTATTACTCGCACATGCACACTTTGTTCAATCATCTCTTTATAAAGCTTCTCATATCTTCGCTTTTCATCCAAACCTAAACCACATTTTCAGTTCCAAATTTTTGGTAATTCACAAATTAAAGGCTTTCTTGTTCACGAAAATGGCTTCTGGTGATTACGAGTTTCCCCCTCAGACACAGCCAACGCAGCCTGGCAAAGAATATCTCATGCATCCACCACCGCAATTCAACGACCCCCAATACAAACCATCAAATAAACTTCAGGTACCATTATCCAACAACAATTAATGTTGTGTTAATAAATTATCGAGTTTACTGAATAAGTGAATTTGATCGTGTTGGGTGAACTTGCAGGGAAAGGTAGCTGTAGTGACTGGGGGTGACTCGGGAATAGGAAGGGCAGTGTGCAACTTGTTTGCATTGGAGGGTGCCACAGTGGTTTTCACGTACGTGAAAGGGGATGAGGATAAGGACGCGAGTGACACGCTTGAAATTATAAGGAAGGCAAAAACTGAGGATGCTAAGGATCCAATGGCTATACCGACAGATTTGGGTTATGATGAGAATTGCAAGAGAGTGGTGGAAGAAGTGGTTAAAGCTTATGGCTGCATTGACATTCTTGTGAACAATGCAGCTGAGCAACACGAGAATAAACTCGAAGATATTGATGAGCCTCTACTCGAGAGAGTCTTCCGAACTAACATCTTCTCCTATTTCTTCATGACCAGGTAAAATACACTATTTTAGTTTTTATTTTATTTGTCATGTGTTCTTGAGAATTTGTTTCAGAGTTCATTTTTGTGAAGAGAAGAAAAAAATTTATATAATATTTATCTTTATTTAAATATTTTATGTTAATGCTTTTTCCCAAAAGTTATTTCAGGAAACTCTCATGTTATTGTACCAATTTGTTTAAACTTAAAAATTCGTAATTTCAAAAATATATAAAATCGTTTATTTTTTAGAGATTTATAAAAAATTAAAGTAGCTAGAAGTCGTATATTATTTGTTTATAATTAAAAAAATAGTTATAATTTTAATTTTTTTAAAATATTCAAAACAATTTTTCAAAATAATTAGAAAAATATTTTTTTAATTTAATTTTTTTCAAAAACCTAAATAAATATAGTAACAATTTATTTAAAAGAATTTATGAACAACTTATAAAAAAAATTATAATTTGCATAATTTATTTTTAGCTTCACATAATAAACTTTATCATTAAAATTACAACTTAAACACTCCCTAAAAGTTCTTTAAATTAAAAGAGAACTTAAACAAATGGGGTTATTATTTCTTCAAAAGAAACAAAATTAAGCACACACTATATTGAATTACACTTTAAGTAAAATAACATGCTGAAATTCTCTCAATAATTTATTTTGGTTGTGATGTTGAATGAAAACTTTCTATAAGTCAATGCACAGGCTTAGATATGTATAACTAAGAATAAGGTACGTATGCATGTAGGCATGCACTGAAGCACATGAAGGGAGGAAGTAGCATTATAAACACGACATCAGTGAATGCATACAAAGGATACGCAACATTGGTGGACTATTCGTCAACAAAGGGTGCCATTGTAGGGTTTACGAGGGCACTGGCACTTCAGCTGGTAGACAGGGGAATAAGAGTGAATGGGGTTGCACCTGGACCCATTTGGACTCCATTAATACCATCCTCTCTCTCTGCCAAAGACACTGCTCAACTCGGTACAGAAGCTGGAATCGCAATGAAGAGAGCTGGCCAACCTGTTGAGGTGGCTCCCTCTTATTTGTTTCTTGCCACCAACCAATACTCCTCTTACTTCACTGGCCAAGTCCTTCACCCCAATGGTGAGTCATCAAATGCTATCACCGTCCGTCTTTCAAATACAATATGATTCGGTTTTCTGACTTTTTTTATTTTGCTTTTCAGGTGGAATGATTGTGAATGCTTGATGAAGGGTAAATGATACTCATTGCTCGAAATTGATTTATGTAATGTTTGTGGTTCGTGTCTACGTAAAACTGTTTCGCCAATGGCAAACCTACCCTTGTTTGTGGATGAATGTGTGGCTTAGCTGTTTCTGTGTACTTCTGCTTTTCAATGTGCAAAACTAATAAAATAGTTCTTGAATGTAAGACGTATTTAAAGACTCGTGTTACCTTAGCCTCTTAGTTAATTAATGATTTAATGATCTTTTAACATATGTTCAAAGTAAATGTTAAAAAATTTAAAATAATATTTTTATTAAAAATTATGATATTTAATATTATTGGTTTGTTAAATTTTGTGAAATTTTATTATTTTTAATAAAAATTTACTATATATAAACTTTTATGATATATTCATGAACACACATTTAAAAAAAAATTGTTAACCTGAGTTTTTAATATTAAAAATTCTATTAGAAATGAAAACGTTCACTGCATTAGAATTATAAAAGAACAATAAATTTTTTTATTTTAATAAAATTTTATTACTATTGGTTCCTTAAATTTAAATATAAAGGCTAAAGTTAGTATTTAAAAAAAAAAACCTATTAATGTTATTTATCGAAAAAAAACGCCGTATCAAACTAGTTGGTGTAAAATCCTAGAAAATCAATAATTTTTTTATATTTAAAGATAAAGATGAGGATTAAGGATACAAAGCCCCTAAAACAATTAGGTGATACATGTCATGAAGCAACTATCTTGTTAGCTTGTCCAATTAAAAAATTTGTTATAGACTTAGTCTGAATAATTTCCAGGTGTTTATGGAAAAATAAATAATTTCTTTATAAATTAAAATTAACTTACCAGAAATTAAATGAGAGTTTTTTTAAAATTAAAAGAATGTAAAATAATTTTAAAATTTTAAAAATAAATAAGATTTTTGAAAAGGTAAAAAATATAAATTAATTTTAAGTTACAAAAAAATAGTTATTTAAAAACTTATCCTAACCGAATCATAACGTTATTCCATGCAATATTTCTAAACTTTGGGGTGTAACGAGTCCAACACTAATTTAGCGAGCTACAGAGTACCTACAAATGGGTAATAAGTTTCGCAGCTGACCGCTAAAAAAACAGAGTACCTGAATCACGCTGTGGCAAGCAAAAATACGTTTCCTTACCATTTCTAAAACGTGTTTTAATGTAGAAACTTACCCCAAATTTTTTAATCCAAAGTTCACTTAATTTACCCTAATTTTTTATCGGATAGAAGCAAATTTCAGTAAATAAAACATGTAATCTTCGATTCACCACTCCTCGATCCCGTTGACAACCATGATGTTATTCAAATATGGGAATTTATAACTTCCAATTTCCGTTCAGGATTGAATTAGAAAAAGTCTAAATTGATTTTAAAAATTTTTTAAAAAAAAGTTACAGATTGATGCACAAGATGTTAAAAAGAGAAGCAGATAATTTGATGATGTTTATTTGAGGATCTGATCCTTTGATTATTTGAGGATCACTCCTTTGATCATTAAAAATAAAAAATAGAAAATCAAGACGACGCTCCAAAGCTAATTTCGACACCTCCCCCGCCAATTCCAGCAATGAAACACTGGAACCCGCTTGACTCCAGTTCAGCAACCACTTTGTCAACAACGGTGCTTGATAGCACTGATTAAAGCATGTCAAGGAAGGGATAAAAGAAGCTGAGATTAAATAGCATATTCAAGATACTTAGAAGGTAAAAAATCATGATGGGCAAGGAGTAAGGAAACAACTTTGGTTTACATTTCATTATAAAGACACGAAATCATCCACCACATGAAAATTTTGTTTAATTACCTATAGAGTGTACCTAGAGAAAGAAAATTGTGACGTTAGAAGTAGAGCAACATTCCAAGGAGCATAAATGAGTCAAAAAGATAAAGTGGATGAAGGTGCAGTGCCCTCTTAAAAATAAGTCTTCACTGTCACTAGCAAGATATCTTAATCAAATAAAGGAAGGACCCTAGAATCACCCGCAAGTTTTCTAACCATGCTTGTATTCCTAAGTGTCTGAATTAGTTTAAATAAATTTTTCAACAAACACTTACAAAATAAAAAAGTAAAACATATCAAGAAGTTTCCTCATTTAACTTTTCAACAAGCACTTATACACTCTCGTTCACTAAAGAATAAACTTCCAAGCAAATACTTATACACCACAACTTCTTTTGGAACTTCCTCATTTAACTTCTGCACAAGCCCCTCACCTAACTTCTCATCAAGCATCTGATTCTAGTTTATGAGCTCCCTCATACTTATCTCAATTGAAAAACTCCCATGCTAGAAGTTAATCCAAAATCGGCCTAAATAGCAGTTTTATAAATGCCTTATGTATCTACTTACTACGACATGCATATCACATAAACATGAGAACATCCAGGATAATCCTTTTGGCAGAAAGCCCTCCCCCCTCATTTTTAACTCTCCTATATTTGGAGAATTTCAAGGAGAGGAAAAAGGCTTGAAGTTTGTAAAATGTGCTTATAAAATTATCACTAGTTTGAATACCTCAACTTAGTGGTTTCATTCTAATATTGAAATAGTATAATAGTAAATTACTTTATTTTCCCCCACCTCTGGCAAACCAAATACAGGGTGCTTCCCCTCCCCTTCATTAAAATATCACCCCTCCTTAGAAGCAAAGTAACATAAGCTATCAACTAAACATAGGCAAGAAAATTGAATAAAAAGAAAACCAGAGATGTTATGAAAACATTAGAAACACATAGAAAAGGACAATAAGTGAAGAGGATACATGTCGGAAGCAATGTCAGAACACAGCCCCCACCACCAGCTCCTGTTAATTTGGAAGCTAACTTATACTTCAATGTTGTTCGAAGAACAGTTTCTATTGTGGCATGACTGACCCCCATACACTGGAGCAGACCTTGATTCATTTCCATTAGCTCTTCAATCTTCTCTTCTTTCTCAGTTACAGAGAGATCATCTGGTGAGGGTGACTTGAGAATGGTAGTCAGTTCCTTGCTAATAGAATCAACAGCACTAAACACAAAAGCCATTGCATCTGGATGCCTTAGCATCCTCTCTGAAACACCCGCCACCAATGCCTTTGTGTTCCTCCCTACTTTGGTGTTAGTAATGAGCATTTTGAGTGACACACTTGACTTCATATGTGTCAAGTTACCCGACTTGAAGCTGATAACATTACCTGATAATGGTAACTATTGAGTGAGTTGCAGATGCGAAGGTCATAACTTACATAACGCAGAACATGATAATTGAACGTTCCGAACAAGTCCCAACACAATTTGATCAAGATATATCTCCCACCTATACTGTGTATTTTTCAATTCTCTTGAAGAACCCAGTATAGCTGAAGATGATTTCAAATTATTCCTCTAGTGCTAAATATATTATAACTAACTCTAGGATAGACCATTAACAGAGAATAACTGCTTGTTCCCACAGTTTTTATAACCACAAAAAGTGTTTCTTAATCGATGAGATAAAAACCCACCAACTGTATCCAGCAATACAAAAGATTCAAATTGCAATCCTCAGCATTAGTAACAAGAAAAATGCAGAAATACATGTCCCAATAATATATCAACAACAAAAAAAAAAGAAGCAAAAAACAGAAAATGGAATTTTCTAGCAAAGGCCCGAACATACCATATGCGCTTACTGTGTTATCAATTCCAGAGGGCTTTCCATGAATGATCTTTTCACCTTCAAATGCCAATGCATTTACCAACTCAAGTTCCTTCTTCCCAAAGGAGAGCCATCCTTGGTGATTCACATCCAAAGAAACAGAATCAGTAACAGCCAGCAAGGCAGCCGCCAGTGCCACACAGAATGCCGCCGATGAACCCAAGCCCGAACCCAGCGGAAGTTCAGAAGTCACAGTCACAGTAGCAGGCTTAATTCTACACAACACACAAAAACAGAATCAAAACTACACACACAATAAATTAACCAAACTACAACAACAAAGTCTTATCACTCACTCTTCTTGATGGTCAACTACATGAATCACAGGACACTACAATGAAATAAATTAACTACTAAAACAGAAAAGTGAAGAAAATGAACAGAGACCCTTGAATAGAAGAGTATAGCCAGAGAAAAGCAGAAACACCAGAAGCAAGTCCAAATTTGGCTTCAGGTATGTCAAGTTCTTCAACGAGAGCTGCAATAGACTTGGCATTCTCCACAGAGCACGAGGAAGGCGTGAAAGATAACGGAGCAGCAGATTCAGGAAAAGCCGCTTTGATTCTACTGATTGGCCACGAGAATTCCAACGCCGCGTCCTTCAGCACCAATTTCAACGATTCTTCGCTGTCTACAACACAAACGACAATGAGAATATGAACGTTGTAACGAAATAATAATGAATTGTGAAAGAAGAATGGAAAGAAAGTACCAGAAGGAGTTGAGAAGCGGAGAGACACATATGTGTACAAGTCAATGGAAGAGGCTACTGCGGTGGATCCGTGAACGACAGCGTGTTCGCCGGTCAATATAATCTTCCCCGGGGCTCTCGCTTTAACCTCCATTCTTCTTCTTCTTCCTCTCGATCTCTCTCTCTCTCTCTCTCTCTCACTCTCACTCTCTCTCTCTCACTCTCACTCTCTTACAATTCCATTTTCAATTTCTCTTTTTCTCTTCTTCTCTGCCATGTATGTGTCCCCTTCTATTTCACTTCAGCTCCATGCGGAATGCGTGTCCTTTTTTATTTATTACCTAGACCCTACACCCCTTTTTATTTTTATTTTTATTTCCGGTAATTTTTTGTCATTTTTTCACAAGTGTTTTTTTTAAATATATATATATATATAAATGATTTTTAAAATAAATTATAAAATAGTATCCAGTGTACGGACCTATTTTTTAATTTAAAATTTTTTTGTTATATGAATAAGATTGGAGATAAGGAATGTATGTTTGTATTTTTGTATTAACATTGGAATTTATCTTTTTTAGAGTAAAAAGGCTAAAGCATAAGTAATTTTATTTGGATAAATTTTTTTATAGTCACTTATATGCGATGAAAATAAAATAAATAAATAAAGGTTTTTGTAGTTAATTTGATTTATACAATACAAAAAGTTATCTTAATTGAACATACAAATATTTTTATAAGTTAAAGCATATAAATTAATTTTATTTTATAATCAAATTATCTTATTTTCCATGTTAGTTGAGAAATTTCTTCAAACTATCTCATAATCAAAGATTATGGATTATGGGTTTAAATTATAATAAAATATATATACATATATATATTAAATGACTTAATTAAGTATTTGATTCTTTAAAAATTATTCAATTTAGAATTAACTTTTATAAAATATTTTATTAAAATATAATTTCTATTTTTTTATAAATTATTTTTAATCTTTTTAATTCACGTAACACAAAATTTAACACTTAAAAATCTTTCCATAAACTATGTCAATTGAAGAGCTAAAAATAATAATTTGTAAAAAAATGATATTTTTAAATACTAAGTTTAAATTTTGCTAGTTTCAAATATTTAACTAAACCAATATGAGGTGAGAAAATTTATGGATTTCTATGTAAGCAACAAGCTGTCAAAAGCCACTCATGAAAAACACTAATTAAAATTAACAACTCCTTGAAGTTGATCATATGAAAGCAATGCAAACACCTGCGATGTGCTTCACCATCATCTATCTTTCTTATATTCATATAAATTCACAATCTAGATTCTAAAGCAATGAATATTTGGCAATGAGGAATGCAGAACTGAAAACTCAAATCCTTCTACCACTTTGCCACCACAATAGCGAAGTCCAATTTCTTGATCATATTTTAGATCCCTTTTCCTTATAATGTGTCTAAAAGGCTCAATTGAATAAGCAAACTCTTCCCTTGCCCTCTCCAAATCATAACAAGGAGGCTCCTTCACATCTAACTTATAAGAAGAATAAGAACATTCACCCTTCTTTGGCTTTTCACCCAAAACAGGCATAGGATCAAACCAAAATGACTCTTTCTTGGACAACTTTGCATCATAAATTTCACAAGTATCAACATCATAAATCATTATGTTTACCGGAATCCATGACTCCAAAGCTTTGCTGCTACTTTCGTTCAAGAGTCCTAGAATGTGTTCTTCTAACTCCTTAGAAGGTGAGATTTTGAGGCTATCCCAGCGCATAATATCTGTTGTGAGCTTGATTCTAAATGGCCATGGATCGCTTGTTTTTGGTGTACTCTTGTAGCTGCATGCTTCCTTTCCCTTGTTGCCATTGCTACACTCTTTCACATTGGCCATGCCAACTTAATTTCAATGATTTCCCTTGCAAGAAAGTGACTCAGTAACAGCAATGAAACAAAATGATATGAGAAACATGCTAATCTAACCTCTTTCTTTGTAGCGTGCATTAATTACATTTTGGCAATGACTCCTTGTTTGGACATATATTATGCATGGATTTCCTGAATAACACCTTATTAGTCATTCACGTTTAAGTTCTTACCTTGTTGGATTTTGTTCTCATCCTTGGACAGTGCCAGTTATGGCATCAAGTGGAATTTTGGTTTTTACTCTCATCAAAACGTGTGTTTTCTGTTATAGTAGTCCTACAAGGAATGATTATTAGTAGTATGCTTCGTTCTATAAATCCAAACGATCGCTTATCTGTCTATAGGACCTGACAAATTACAGAAATGTAAATATAATGATGTCTTGAAACCATATATGCTCGAGACACGTAATTGTTCCCTACATATTCATATTCATCTTTCAAGTGCTATCTTTATATAGTAAAAACACAAATTGGTCAGTTTATAATATCATTGTTTGCAAATATTCTATTTCAATGTGTGTATGTGCTGGTTAATCTTAATCACCTTTCCTTTCTTATAATAATATTGAATTTTAATAATATCACTTTTGGAACTGTTTTTTCAAATAATGGTAAGTCATTCAAATATTCATCAAATGAGATACTCATCAATATGCATCTCTGGCAGCGGTTTCATGTTGAGCTGTTTCCAGATTGTAACTTTATTACTTATTTCCATATTCATTCCCATGGCTTCTATCAAGAAATTGAAACAATTTATTCACATGAAGTTTTCGGAAATAATTGAATAATAGAATTAACCTGGTAGAATAATAGAATTATATCTCTCATGTAACTAATATTGGTTTATTTTACAGGGCACCACCACACCCCCTAATAATAATATAAGGGCTTAGGTGGGATTATTATTAACCAAATAAAAATTGACGATGCTACACCAAAACATCATTCTCTCTCTGTTAGCAAAATGCAAAAATATGAATGAATTGAAAAAATTGCATGGGCTAATAATCACAACCCCAACAATTAAAAGCATAATTCCCTTTAGCAAGCTTATTGACTTCTGTGTGGATTCAGAATTTGGGGACATCAACTATGCATACTTAGTATTTCGCCAAATTGATGTCCCCAGCGTTTACATTTGGAACTCCATGATGCGAGGTTATGCTAACGGTCACAATCCAAGAATGTCTATGCTTCTGTACAGACAAATGATACAAAATGGGTATTCCCCAGATCATTTTACTTTCCCATTTGTACTCAAAGCAAGTTGTGTGGTTTCTGATCATGATTGTGGAAAATGTATTCACAGCTGCATAGTTAAATCTGGGTTTGAAGCTGATGCCTATGCTGCTACTGGGTTGCTCCATATGTATGTGTCATGTGCAGATATGAAGTCAGGGTTGAAGGTGTTTGATAATATTCCCAAGTGGAATGTGGTAGCTTGGACTTGTTTGATTGCTGGGTATGTGAATAATAATCAACCATGTGCAGCTTTGAAAGTGTTTGAAGATATGGATAATTGGGGTGTAGAGCCCAATGAAATCACCATGGTGAATGCTTTGGTTGCCTGTGCTCGTGGTAGAGACATTGATACCGGACGACGGGTCCACCAACGTGTTCGTAAGGCTGGTTATGATCCCTTTATGTCCACATGTAACTGCAACATCATTCTGGCAACTGCAATTCTTGAAATGTATGCTAAATGTGGTAGGTTGAAGACTGCAAGAGACCTGTTCGACAAAATGCCTCGCAGAAACATTGTTGCTTGGAACACCATGATTAATGCCTACAACCAGTATGAGAGGCATCAGGAGGCGCTAGATCTCTTTTTTGATATGTGGGATGCTGGCTATTATCCAGATAAGGCTACCTTTCTGAGTGTCTTGAGTGTTTGTGCTCATCAGTGTGCTCTGGCATTGGGACAAACTGTTCATGCTTATCTATTGAAAACCAACTTTGCAACAGACATTGTCCTTGCAACTGCTCTTCTTGACATGTATGCCAAGACCGGTGAGATAGGAAGTGCACAGAAGATTTTTAGTAGTTCGCAAAAGAAAGATGTGGTAATGTGGACTAGCATGATCAACGGTTTGGCTATGCATGGTCATGGAAATGAAGCATTGAGTACGTTTCAAAAAATGCAAGAGGATAGTTCTCTAGTCCCTGATCATATTACGTACATCGGAGTTTTATTCGCATGTAGTCATGTTGGACTGGTTGAAGAGGCTCAAAAACATTTTAAACTAATGACAAATATGTACGGTATAACGCCGGGAAGAGAGCATTATGGTTGCATGGTTGATCTTTTGAGTAGGGCAGGTCATTTCAGAGAGGCAGAAAGATTAATGGAGACAATGAAGGTACAACCAAATATTGCCATATGGGGTGCTCTTTTAAATGGCTGCCAGATTCACGAAAACTTGGGTGCTGCCAATCAAGTGAAAGTACGATTAACAGAGCTAGAACCTGGTCAAAGTGGAGTTCATGTTCTTCTATCTAATATATATGCTAAGGCTGAAAGGTGGGAAGAGGTAAATTTGACTAGAAAATCTATGAAGCATAAAAGGATTACAAAGACAATAGGTCATAGTTCAGTTGAAATGAAGCTGTCAACCTAACGATCATGGTGAGATCTATTGGTTGTCTTAAATGATAAAAGTAATGATCCGTGGAGTAAGCACAACTGGGAAGAAAAGAGTCTCCCCCATCAATTTCAGGTAATGTTGGCTCTGATGGGATTCATGAAGGATTGGTCATGAAAAGGAGACTAACATGAAGGCAAAGTTCTGCCTGATTAGAATCCTTCCTTTTCTTCCACCCGTGAAGTTTACACTATAAATTGACCCAAATTCATGCAAAATTCAGAATTAAGAGTGGTAAAATTCTGTATAGTATCTCTCTTATTTTATTTATTGTTACTAATAATAGAATGGTTTACACGCGCTCTAACCTTCCCCTTATACCCATGTGGAACGGGCCATGTGCATGACTATTGATCAAGATTAACCTTGGGCTGACGGAAACAGCTACTTCAACTATTCCATATTTGGTGCTGACCCAGACCCAATCTTAGTTTGTCTATTTTCATCTACCCACTTTAATTCGACACCATGTACATCACATACTTGTAATTATCACTATCTACTCAGCAGATTAACCGAAATCCTTACATGATTTTCCATTTTCACTCTCAACGGTCCATCCAGATAGATCACGAGTGATCTTCCAATGGCAAGTTGTTAGCTTCCGGAAAAACATTTTGGATAAGCATGATTTCTAAAGCCGAGTAGTGTAAATGTTAAAGTTATTGGAATGCAATAAAACATTTACTACAATTATTACTTAAAAAACCAGCACGTGGGTTTAGGGGAAAAAACTATACCTCAACAAAATTCGATTTATCTCTCCATGTACTTCCCAGACAAAACTTGAGATTGATTTTAATAACCACAAAAAACTTCAATTTTAATTAAAAAAAATAAAAACTGCACTTAAATTTTCTCTTTACCAAAAGATCGTTTTCTAGCAACTAAGTAGCATTTCCTTCCCTCCCCCTTTACTTTGATTGTGTAGAAAACGGTAGAATTATTGATATGGTGCATGTCATAAAATCTCAAATGGGCCCTCGCATAAGTTGCACGCAAATTACATGACAACTCACAATTTTCCCGCAAAGGGAAACACAGATAAGCAGGTATTATAAGGAAGCCCGTGATGTGAATGAAAAGATGGCACATATATTAAGTGCATGACAAAGTTAAAAGTAAAAATCCAGCTATGCACCTGTAAGTAAATATTATCACCTGACAACCTATAAATTAAACCATGAAAAATAACAATTTACCCAACTAAATCAAAGATAAGGTTAAGTTTTCCCTAGCACATTATCTACATATGTTTATAGTTTGCATTGCATGTAAACTATCAGCCTACACTTTCTGATTGCTATGGACCTTCCCAACCATTCAGTTTGACACTATCAACTGATTCCAGTGCCCGGTAATCTGCAAGCCAAGTAGCCGATATTAAACACACTTTGATCGATAACCATATCAGGTAAAAAATATAAAGATCATTTTATGCTGATCAAGTAAATAAATAAATAGAGAAAGAAAAGATTTACATTGAAACTGAGACAAGTTAATTTATAACTGCAGTACGAAAGGCTATTTGTATGCTTTTAACTATCAAAAGTCTATAACAGAATAACATTTAAAATCAATAGAAAAAGAAGAAAAGAGAATCTGAACACATGCAGAATCAAATTTCACTATAACAGGTAAAATAAACATTCAATATAAAATTTAACGCCAACCCTGTACAGCTAATTAAAATGAGAGTGCCTAAAGTTCACCTTAATTTCTATGACACAGCGGCTAATGTTCTGGAGATGATGGACGTTGCTCTGGTGGCTGTGGCCACATTTGCGGTGCCATGTAAGGATGAGACTGCTGAGCATACATATTTGGGTCCATCACAGGCTTGCCCATTATGACACCAGCAGTTCCAACTTGGGGCGCATGCTGAGGTGGCATATAGCAGTAAGGAAGTGCATCAGCAGGCCCTGCAACAGGCATTGTTCCTCTTGGGATTGATGCAAGAACCTCATCTTTCAGGTCCTCACGAGGCACAATGTCAACCAAGAAATCAAAGATATCAGTCCTTGTGATTGCTGCAGCGATATCATTCTTTTGAAGTGTTCTCCTTTTGTTCTCTTCAGTGTGATTCCAAGAGCGCAGGGTTAACTCTAAAATGAACATTTCACATGCCCTTGCAAATATGACAGGTGCCTCAGCTGATATCATTCTAACATCCTCATCAGCCTTCATAATCTTCTTGATCCTTGCCAGAGGAAGACTGTGGTTTTTGAAATCAGTAACCTTCTCAATTTCTTGATATTGACTGGACCAAAATTGTTGAAGCTGTTGCTGAAGCTGGTGCTGTTGTTGTTGATGAATATGCTGATAAGCAAGTTGATGCTGTCCCAGCTGAGCTCCAGCAGGTTGACCAGCAGATGGAATGGTCCCAACTGACGTCACCACTGACCCTGGGGCTCCACTTATTTGGCTTGGCTGATATGGATTAGAGCCATATGCTAACTGAGCTCCACTTCCAACAACTCCCATTGATGGGTTCTGGCCATGCCCTTGATGATCCATTCTGTTTCAGGTGAAATCAAACACATGAAGGGTTACACTTCACATCCAACCAAAACAAATCATGCAAACATTCAAGCAAATTTGTCGATATATTATTAAGTATACCACAGGTGGAATATTCAATGCAAAACATGGAAGTTACTAGGAAAATGGACCTCAAATGCAGAACTCTTAATCGCGTGTCGTGATGGAAAACGACACGGATTTCATGCAGGAAAGAAACAGGTCTCTCCTTTTCATGAATAAGGCATAAATGCAGTTAATTAAATTTACTTCCTTCCTACAATTGTATCTAAAACAACTGTTTTAACGAGATTTTGATTTTGGCGCCTAGAAACGCTTGTGTGAAAGCAACACGTGACACAATCAGCTGTTTACAAAGCAAAACAAATATTGAATATGATCAACAAAGCTTCAACACCCCCCCCCCCAAGAGGACCAAAATGCTTTCAATTCAAGAAGCTTCATTCCAAAAATCACAGGACAAACACCCAAAATTCAACCAAAGAACCTTATGGTTTACATCAGGAAATCTGTTAAGAAATTTAAGGCTCTAAATAACATCCATCAACAGAATTTTCAGGAATAAGTATCCCTTCAAAGAAGACAAATGGTGATTTTAACCATGTGTCTGATGGAATCATCAAAAAAGGATAAGCTTTTATTTTTTTTAACAATTAAGATCAAAGAGAATTATTCGTTTCCAAGATATGTCAGTTTCACACAAGCCAAAATTCGCCTCAACAAAAATTAACCAAAGGAACCACCAAAAATAAAAAATAAAAAAAAAGAGACACATAGAGACAGATAGAGAAGAGCAACAACTACTAATAAAATTTGGGGTGGCCAATAAAATTTATCCCAGAAAAAAAAAGTATGAAGACCAGGTTAGAGCAAACCTAAACAAATGCAGATGCATGAACAAAATCAAACAAATATAGGCACAGGTAGAGCAAGAGTTGTTACTTGTTACCTTCCCAAAGAGATGATGCTGTGTGGTCCGCAAACACAGAGAACCAGAACCTGAAAAGGGATCAACCAGAAAAAAAGAGAAACAAAAAAATGATCAGAAATTACGTTTGATTTAAAGATCTATGGCATGAGAATTGTGGTGGGTCGAACACAAAACACTGTTTTTTCAAGTAAGGAAAATCATAGAGCTTAGAGCAGACAAAAATTTAGGGTTTCAGAAGGAAAATACGAAAAGAAAAGAAAGCAGAGCTGTCGTGACGATTGACGATGTTTTTCTTTAGAACGAACCTCAGACAGCGAAGTGCGAAAAAAAGCTGTGTGATCGATTCTGACTAACACTGTCGGACCTAACTCTTATATTTTTTTAATTTTTTTCCAATTTCTTCTCACGCTGACCAATTTATCCCTGTCATGTTTATTTTCTCTGCATTTCTTTTTTAAACTCTTTTTTCTTTATACATTTTTTTTTTAGTGCATCTCTATAATATCTTTTTATTTTTCTCTTAATTTTAAAAAATCATTTTCTTAATATTTTAATCAAGTAAAATATATATGAATTACTATTAAGAATATTAACTTCTAGAAAATTTATATATTTTATTAAATCTAACAATAATCATGTAATAATATTTTTTTCATTTTATAGTACACATCGAATGCACGTACAATGCACACAGAATTTATAAATTAATAAATTTAAACAGTTTTATTTCAAAAAAAATTATATCAATGTTAAAAGAAAAAAAAATACACTGATTTTGAACCCTAATTCACAATTAATGTTAGAACTAGCAAAGTAAAACATATGTTTAACTCCTTTTTTACTCAAGTATACCAAATGTAACCTAAATTATATTAAGAGTTTTCAAAAAATTAGTTTTTTTTAATGATATTTATAAAATGTATAAAAAAATAGTAATAAGTATAAAACTTTAATATTTTTTAAAAAATTGAGTCAATGTCTTTAAATTTTTATTTTATTAAAAAACTTTAACATATTGACTCATTAAATAGGGCTGCAGATATAATGAATTAAAAATTTAAAAAGGAGGAAAATAAGCATAAATTCAGGGATTTGGTGACCGCTTGGATGGAAAAAAACATAATAAAGACTATGTTTAGATGTCATATTTGAAAGAGAGAAAAAATATATATATTAATGAGATCTAACTCTTATTTAGAAAATACTTGATTAAGAGATAAAGGTTTAAGAACTTTTTTCTAAATCCTTTATAATCATAATTTTTTAAGTCTCTCAATTAAGTTTTTCCTCTTTTACTCTCTTGTGTATTCTTTTATAATTAAAATTTTATTATTTTTTTAAATATATTAATTTTTAAAGTAAAATTTTTTAAAAAATTATAAAAATAAACTATTAATTTTAAAGTATTTACTTTTAGAAAAATAAAATTTTTAAATTTTATAAAAAATTAAAAATATAAATAAAAATAATAATAATATTATTTATATAATTAAATCTCGTCATTATCTCATTTTAATATTAAACATTTAAATAATAAAATAGTTTAAATTTTATTTCTCTTTCCTTTCTCTCGTATTTTTCTTTCTTTTAATTATTTTTTTTATCTCATCCTTCAAACATTCAAACAAAATTAAAAAGGTTCTTATTCAATTTAAAGTTTTTTTTTATTTCCATTCTTCAAAACCGTTTTTGGTTTCTCCAGTTTTACTTCACTCTAATTAATTCTATCATCAATGTGAAGTCCACACATTCAAAGTTTCATAACCGTAGATGTGATAAAGTTATATATAATGATATTATAATAATTATTTTTTATATCTTTTTTATATACTTAATTTTTTTTCTTACATTCATTTCTCTCGTGAAATTTTGTTAAGTGGATTAGTTTCTTACTTATATAATTATCTAATTTTTGTTATTTAAAATAAAATGCATATAAAATTAAAATATTTTAATCTAATTTTAATTATAAATTTTTGTATCTAGTTTAAATATTCATTAAAATACTAAAAATAATGTATCTAGTATTTATTTTTTTGCTACTTATATAATGTATCTAGTTTCTTACTTGTATAATTATCTATTTTTTGTTATTTAAAATGAAATGCATGTAAAATTTAAAACTTTTTGTTAGCTTTTAGTATTAAAGTGATCAGATATTTTAATTCTTAAATTTTATATTAATAAAAAAAATTTATTAAAACTTACTTATTTGAATTTTTTTACAATCAAGTTTACATTAAAAATAATTGAAGGATATATTATTTGATAAAGTTAGAGATTTACAGGGAAGAAAATATTTTTTAAATGTAATTGAATTTTCAATAACTTTTTGCTCATAAAATTTCAATAACTTTAATTTAAGATTTTGAATTAAGTTACATTAACACAAACTAACTAATTTATAGAGGTGAGGAACTGAATTGTTCATTATCAAAGTTAGAAAAAAAAAATATTTTTTTATGGGCCTTAAGCTAAAAGAAGTCTGTAGTGAATTGAAATAACCTATATAAATCAATAAAAAAAAGTCTGTTAATTAAAAATAATGATAAAAAGTTTAAATGGATCAGAATAAAAGTGTCAATTATAAATTCTCTCTCTACTTTGTTAAGAAAAAGTGTCAATTAAAAGGTTAAATTATTTATATTTTAAATATAATAAATGATGTTATTTTTATTTAATAAGTAAGTATATGCATTTAAAATATTTATTATATATTAAATAGGTAAATTGATAAGAAAAATTCTAGAAGTAGAAGAAGGTATAATTATTTAATATCAATGCTCTAACAAGTGTCATGATATATTAGCTTTTAGGATTTTGGCAATAAGTATTTCAAGAATATTAATTAAGAAAATAATAAATTTTATTATATTAAAAATCATGGTGAAATTACATATTAAATATATTATTTAATATTTATTTATTTTCTTTATATTCAACTACTATTTTAATTCTAATTATACAATATCTATGTATAAAAAGAAAAATAAAAATTTAAAATTTATTTATATTAAATATTAAATTTAAACACTCACATCACTCAATAACTTTTTAAATAATTAAAAAAATATCAATTTAACTATTTAATCATTTTTTATTATTTTTATGATTATATATATATATATATATATATATCAATTTTTATGTAATTTAAACATTTACAGTTATACTATTTAAAATTTAACATTTAGAGATATTTTAAAATTATATTATATATTAAAATAAAATATCATGACATATTAATTTTATTTTTATATCAAAATCTATAAAATTTATTTAATTGAATATTATAAAAATATTCAAACTAACAATTAAATTAACTAATTTTATATTTTATATAAAGTTATTATAAAATGTAAATATTGAATATTAACGTGGTATTTTTTTACAACTAAATATGTATTTTAAGTTAAATCTTACATTTCTTTTAAATTACACTTATCATCCTTCAAAGACAAATATATTTGAGTTAAATATAACTACTATTTATATTTTCATATAATATAACACATTTTTATTAATGTGTGTGTAATATAAATATTTATCTCTTGATTTATACAATGATATATTTACATGTAAAGTTTCATCTCTTACAATTTTAAAATCTATCTTATAATTTAGATATTAACATGTTTTAATATAAATTTTTTATAACATGTAAATAAATGTTTATTTTATAATTTAAACATGCTCCCTAAAAAATTCCTCACATGACATATATATTCATATGTAATTTAAATATTAATATAAATTTATGTAACTTTTTATTTATGTATCACGTAAATATTTTTACAAGTACTCTTAACATGTGTTAAAATCATAAGTTAGAAGCATGTTTGATTAACTATTTATTCAAATACTTATTTAATATTTTTTTTAAAATAATTATTTATGTCAATAATTAAAATAAATTAAAAATAATTTATGAAATCCATAAATTATTCCAAACAAAATCTTATATATACATGTGAATAATCTATATAATTTTGTAAAAAATTAACTTAGACCTAATTTAAATGAATTTTTTAATAAGTACTTATGGAGATAAAAATTAAAATGAAAATAAATTAATTTTTTTATAAATTAAAATTAGTTTATATTTTTTTTATAAAATACTTTAATTAACTTCTTCAAAACATGTGGTGCATAAAATGATTTAAATTTATGAAAAAAAATAATATTTGTACTACTTTTTATTTTCTTCTCCTATAAATACTTGTGTATTTTAAACTGAACCTTAGTATATTATAAATTTAAAATATCATATAAAATGATGCTAAACTAAATAATAAAGGAACAATGGTGATTTTATTGTTTTAAACTATATTTATAATTCAAAGTAAAGAAAAATATATTCAAATAGCAATGTGATAATAGAGCAAAGCTTAATATTATAAAATATCAAACTTCCAAGTAGTGAAAAAAAAAAGTGTTTTTGAACTAAATCACGAGCCTTGAATGTAATTCACCTTTAATTTTTGTTGTTTGTGAACATGAATGAGATGAATGGTAATTTTTTTATATGAAATTGGTGAGTGGGTTCATTCTAAAGGGAATTTATTGCCCCTTCAATGAAACACAACCATTGAATAAGTGAATGAAGATATGATTATAAGTAATGCTTTTCAACTCCCAAAGGCCAAAAGACCAAAACATAGGAAGGCTTTTCCAGACAGCAAACAAGTAAGATACGAAGTTAGTGGCTCAAATCTCTTCCCTCCCACCCCATAGACTTTCCTTCCACTTTTTAACTCTATTTAGTGCGAACATTTCTATGCCCATCATCAACCTTTATCGGTAACCAATTATTCGAACCTCACTAGCAATGGCTAGGGTACCAAGTTGCCCACATTCATCTAAGTAGCCGCTTTGGTGGACAGATTTTGGAGTTCTTTTTTATCAAATAAATAAATAAGTAATAAAAATACAGAAAATACTTTCCAAACACTAATTTTAACAAAAACTTGGATGAAAGGTTTCGAGTTATGTCTTACAAGGAAAGATTAAATTCATTTGTTTAAAAAATTATAATTTATAGAGAGGTCAAGACAAAGTCTAAATTAAAAGTAGTTGTCAAATAAACTTTATGTCACTTGACCTCACCCTAAGTTTAAAACGACCTTTAAAACAGTGGCTTTGTAGAAGTATTGACTAGCATATAGCACCTAAAGTTCAAAAATAGTATAATCGATATTGGTTTAAGTTATATAGAGAATTATATCATTTAATAATTTTAAAATTAATTATTGAATTAAAATTTATTATTATATAAATTATATTTATAAATTTTTAAATTAACAAAAAAATTATTTAATACTTGTTTTTGTTAAAGATACACTGATATTTTAAATGCTTATCTTTCTTGTGATATGATGACGTTCTTGCAAGTACTGCTGACTTGTCTCTATCTTACGTTGGGATGTACTTATAAAAGTCACTCTAATAATAAAGTTAAGTATCGATTTAGATAATAAATATTACTAAATATTTAAAAGTTAATTCTTTATTTATATCTTACTTTCTTTTTAGGTATTATTATGAGCTAATAAGTTTTATAAGTCAACTTTAATTTTAGCTTTTCAATTAAGTAAATAATAATTTAACTATATATTTTAATTAATTTAATTATATTTTAATTAATATTTAATATTACCAGAAGAGTATTCATCTTATTGATACTAAAGAAATATTTAAATTTTTTCTTTTATCATTGAAATTAAGTAGTATTTTATCTAATACAATCTTTTATGTACATTAAAATAAATATAATATATATTTTACAATTTTATGAAAATAAAGTTAATTTAATTATATTTTTATAATTAATTAATTATAATTATAATTTGTATATAATTATAATATAATGATTAAATTAACAAAATTTGATATAAAATTATTAAGAGTATGAGAATGTACTTGGTAGTCTTTTACTTTTTTAAAAACCTTTTTCAAGTTTTGCGCAGACAGTATAGCTGCGCTGGGACACTCGTTCGTCGGGTTGCGCGGAAGATTAGGAAGCCTTTTTCGTGTTTTGGGTCCAAATCATATATATATATATATATATATATATATATATATATATATATATATGAATTTAACTTCCCTATGTTTCTGGTCAATGGCTTAACTTGCTTAAAATGTTAGGAGACGTGTAAAGTTAGCCTGAAAAACTGGGCCAAACTTATAGTCACACGTAGAGGGCTTCAATGTTGGTGTAATTTTCTATGGGATGTCCCAAATCGTCTACCCGTTTAGCAGCTGATTGAAGTGGGAGTGAGAGTGAGAGTGAGAGATGACGCATGTCCAAATGAGAGTTGGGATAGTAACGATACCAGAATCTTGACCAAAATAAAGGAGAATCTTTATGTTATCCTGTCACGGTTCATCACACCACGTGGTTGGATAAAGAGAAAAGCATTTTTCTTGGTGGAAATTTGTCATTTGGCTTTCGAAAATGTTACGATGTTGAACAGTGATTCAGGTGAAAGAAGAGAGAAAAGGAAGAAAAAAGATAAAGTAAAAAATGTGATAAATGATATCATAAAAAAGGAAGAGTAAGAGAGAAAGATAAAAAAAAAAAGAAATAAAAAATATATGTAAGAAAAATAAATGTGAATATATATTTTTTCTTTGACATATTAGTGATGGGTAAAGAAACAAATGTACAACAGGTGATAAATAATGAGAGAAAATGATTTGTTTATACCTCAAAATGTAGAATGGGTGACACAATAGAGCGATAAAAAAAAGTAGAGAAAAAAAAAAACGAAGTTATAGATGCTGTGATAGAAAGAAATAGAAAGAAAAGGACAACAAAATGAATTGTAGAAATATAATAGTTATTTCTTATTTAATGGTTTATCATCATGTGTTATGTAATATAGCTATATTAAGAAAACAACATTTGATTTTAGTCTTTAAAAAATATTATTTATTAATTTAGTCCTTAGACATAAGTTTTATTTACACTACAAAACTTTAAATTCGTATTCTTTTAACCTGTTATTTCTACCCACCTTTGAGCGTACGTTTTATGAAAATTATTAGATGAAGTTTAACATGTTTCTTGACATACTCTTTAAATACATATCATGTTATTAAATAACCCTAAAGCTTAAACTTGATGTAAGATGTATTAAATAAAAAAATATTTGCAATGTAAGAAGTAAACGACATAAAGCCATATAATAAAAATACGATTAATTTTATTTAATAACAAAAAATATATTACTTTTCTATTTTCTTAATCCTATCTTAAAATACCTCTTTTTTATATTCATTACCACTTCATTCATTTTCTTCCATCCCAAAGTTGTAAAAAGTTAACAGCACAGTATTATGTCGCACCTACAATCTTATTTTAGTATGATTATCTCAATTTAATCTCTCACTTTCTCAGCACCTGTTTTCTTTTTGTTAACTTAAGTATTGAAGCGTCTTTGCACATATAATCGCCATCATTGTAACCAACAAAGAGCGAAAGGCATATAAAAGGATTATGATTTAGGACGTCAACCCTGCATCAAGATTCAAGTAATAATATTAGCAGTCTTTGGACAAAAATAAATTTTTCCACATCTCAACGTGGTTAACAGCCGAAGCACAATTATTGGGCAACAAGAAAATCAGGATTGGAATCAACAACCCGAAAGAAGCAAGAGCATGAAGTGGAGCATAACAAAGGAACGTGATTTAGGATCCTTAGCCCTGAATTAATCAACCAAAATAAGTATATTACCTTTTTCATCCGACAACAAATCATATGCTACCATAAGTTGTTGCCATATTCTTCTATCTGATTTCCAATAGGTCATTTTATCACAATCTTCGGCAGAAAATTAAGCAATGATTGTTTCTGTTTGCTAAGTTAAATGGTTCTTGACTTCTTATGTCATGTCATGCAACGAAAACGCCTCACCGAGGATCTTCTACCCACAGGAGGGCCAATTCTTAGAGCATCAAAGGTTTTATAGGAGAAGCTTACCCATAATTCTTATTAGAATAAATAGAGAAAGCAATCCTTAAAGTAAGTAAGATTAGATATATTAATCCTTAAATGATAAAAATTATGTCTAGTTGAATTGAAGAAAATCATATCTAAAATATCTAAATACACTCTTTTTTTCCAATTAAATTAATCTTAAAGTTCACTGACTCCGGAAATGATTTTGCCCACAAGATTCACATGTACAAATTTCATACATATTTTTCCTTGAAACACTAATATGACGGTGTAAGTGGATCTTTGAGGAACATACTACCACCTTTGATTTAAATTGGGGTAAGTTTAATAAAATTAATTCTAAATCATTGAACATAGTTAAAATATGCACCCAAATTAATCTCAATTATAAATTATACATTAAAACATATACCTTGTTGAGAAAATTTGATTGTTGCTCTATTTCATAAGACTGTTCCAAAGTTTAGGGATCATACTAGTAAAAGTATTTTTAAATAGCTAAATGAAAAAAAGATAGGACTAAAATAAGATTTTGCTTTGTACAAAAAAAATTGCTCTATCTAAAACTACTCAGCTTCTTATTTAATAGAGGGAGAAACATGTATGCGGTGCCAAAACACTTTTTTTATCATTGATTTTACAGGTGTTTAAAGTTCATTCACTGTAAATAAGAATCAATTCTACCTTATGTTCGAAACTAAAATTAATAAATTACGGGAGTAAAAGAATTCTGAAAAAGAAATTAGTCAGCATAGCCGGTAATAGGTAGGGTTTGGAACGATTCTGGACTGTTTTTGGATCGTAAAACAATACAATAAATTCATAGTTTTTATTTTCTGATGTACCAAAAGAAATCATGTGATCAGGACCCAACTAAAAATTTCCGTCTACCTAAACCTAACGGAGAAACGGAAAAGGAAAAACTCATGATGATTTACACGCTATGTCATCAATTTACTAGATGAATTTTTCCTTCAATATTACCATGTAAGTGGATTTAACTAACTTATGTTTGGGTATGGTTATGAATATAAATCACAAATCTACCTAAGGAACAATCACCCTGAAAACATGGCTATTACTAAACTCGCCGCCATAAAAGCAACGTAGACGCCTACCAGACAGAATCCCCAAAACTTAGGCACTCGGAATCTGCACCAAGTGATCACCAAGAGAGACCCCATAAGGCTTAAAAGCAGGAATACAAATGCGATAACGATACCAACATGGAAATTAAGCTCATAGGCTTTGGGATATATATTGGCCGTCTGTATGACCAAAGCACTTCCAAGACCAACAAGCATGTTAAACATTGGTCCCGCAAAGCATCCGGCCATTGCCATCGCTGGATGACCAGCTTTAGCGACCGCAACATCAGCAACAAGATCCCCCACGGAATTTCCCCATGCCAGCACCGTAAGACCTAGGAGTGCTGGCGACAATTTGAGAAGCGCACCTAGAGCTTCAAGGCAGTTCACCAGTTCTCCAGCTGTAGTGGATATCCAAAACACACTCATCACAAATGCCATGATGACCACAGGCATATGCTCTGTTTTTGGGGGCTCTTTTTCCATTACAAAATGAAGAAACGCAAGAGGAAAGCTTGTCATGAATACTACTGACCACAGGGGGAAGTGAGTGTTGGGAAGGAGGAACACTATAGGATAATTAAATGGCATGAATGAGTCGCAAGCATACAAGAGGGCTAGTGGACAAAGTGCAATATTGGCTGATGCATAGAATCTGCTCCACTGCGATGGTGCTGGTTGAGGGATTGTCAATCTTAAGAGTGTAGAGACAGGAAGTTCCCATGCAGTAGAAATCTGTGAGCACAGAGCAAGGGACAAGTCAGGACAACATCAAGTAGTATAATTCAATAACATTGTAAAGAACTGGAAACCTATCCAGGCAATGAAATGCACGGAATTGCCCATGTTATTTTTTTATATAGGAACAATTAAGTACATTGAACTGAATCATTTTTTAAGAGAGTTATATGAACTATTATTTAAAAAAATTAAAAGAATGACTAACCTTGGTAGTATTGATTACATCAATTGTCAATCTAATTAGTTTAAAATGTTTTTAACACATCAAATAAAAAAAATCTGAAACCATTTGGAAGCTTCCACGCTTTCGAATCTTGAGATAACCTGCTGGTCTTGACTCAGTTTACCAACAAAGGGAACAATCAATTGGCTAACTTCCAGTGGATCGTTAAAAGGAAAAGGGATGACCAGGTTAATCCCATCGATGTCTAACAACAAAGGGATCAATCTGGTTAACCGCGCCCTATTAAGACCACTTTCATACTATGCCTATTTATTAAATTATCGTCATCATCTTTCTTGTTGTCATATCAACTACAGACTACTTAATTACCAAGAAAAAATGATGTCATCTAGTCCTTAGACATACATTAGAAAAACTAATTATCAATGTAGTCCTTATACCTGCTGTTTTCTCAATTTTATAATTTTAAAAAAAATCGCACATAAACTTCCATTTTACAAATTCAAATTCTCTTCATACTTCCCTGTCTAGAACTTCAGAAAGATATCATATCACCAAAACTTATCATATGAAAACACGAGAAGTGATAAACAATACACTAAAACCGACTATTTTGAAGATGAAAATAAGTCACAGCATCTCACAGGTTATAAAACACAAGTTAGTTCCAACTATAACCGAGTAAAGATGAAAACTATAATGCAAAGGAAATTAAAAAGTTCTGCTCCAATCCAGTATTCTTTGGAATCTTAATAATCTTCAGAAGGATCTACGCATCCATCAAGTAATTGCATGCCATGCTAGGAATGAACTAAATCAATATTTGTATGTACGCAAATTACAAATTGTCACAACATAACATACCAATCGAACGGCTCCAAGCAATCCAGAATCGCGTTTCGCTTCGTCGAGAGATCCGGAAACTTTTACGTCGCAATCGACGGCGAGCGATTCCTTCTGTCCCTCAAGATCCGCGGAGAGCTTTTCCCTGCGATCTGCCATCCCTAAGTCCATGTAGAACACAAGACCTACGAAGAACAGATAGAATCCAACGAATCCAACGGCTTGCCAAAGAAAAATCTCGGCACTGAGATACACGTAGAAGAGGAAAAATGCGGCAGTCAGGTAGAACAGCACATCCCTAACGAATGGCGCGGGATCGACGGAGAAAGGTGCGGCGTAGATCGCAACAAAGCCGACGACGAGCGCGGAGACGAAGGTTCCGGCGGAGAGGATGGCGCCGAAGCCGGTGCGGTATTGGCCGGCGCGTAGAGCGGCGAGGGAAGAGAAGACGTCGGGGGAGCCGTTGCCGAGGGCGAGGAGAGTGACGGCGGCCATGCTGGGAGAGAGGTTGAGGTGAGAGGCGAGTTTGGTGGTGACGATGGAGAAGTGATGCTGAGCGGTGGTGATGAGGATGTAGAAGTGGAGGAGAAGGAATAATGAGAGGAAGGGGATGGAGAGGGTTGAGTTTTGGGGGAAGAGACAGTGATAGTTGAGGAGTCCATTGGATTGGGATTTGTTGGAGCACAATGGTGATGATGTTGTTGTTGTTAAGAGGAGTGACCTACGTAAAGGAATGGGAGAGGAGGGTGGAATTAAGAAGAAGAAGAGCAAGATGAGAAGAAGCGTGATGATGACTGTTAGTGAAGAGGTTTTCAAAGAGGATGGAATGAAGGCCATGCCAGTACCAATGCCATTCCTCTGCGACCTTTCTGTCAATCATCGCCCTTGCCTCTCTCTCTCTCTCCCCTCGTGGGCCCTACCCCATTTCCGCGTTCCTTGCTTTTAAAATTGCCTCCACGGTCACGCTGTTATTAGTTAATTTATTTTTTAGAACAATATTCGCTTTATAATTGCATTTGCTTTTATACTTGTGGTAATTCAATGTTTTATAAGCAATAGAACATAACTCTTAAGTTTTTAGGTTTCTTAGATAGTTTATGGATGACGATTATGTTAATGAGTTTACTGCTACTAAACTAAAACTAAAGCTATAAATGATTTCAATTTACGACGAAGAATTTGAGCCAATAATTAATCTCAATTTTAATATTTTTTTGTTTAACTTTTAAACGTGATCATCTTTTTTTCCTGGAGTACAATTAGTTATCTATCTGAAATGTAGTAACAAAATACTATGCCATTGATTTTGTAGTAGTCACTCCATACCAGTTAAACCAATTTTCCTGAAGAACCGGATGAATTCGGGAACAACTGGACAATTGACGTTTTAGGTTTCAGTTGAGTACCCCTTTGTACCCGATTGAAGCATTGTTGGGTAGACGAACATATGAATTTTGTTCAATGTTTAAGATAATAGATTAAAAATACAAATGAAACTATGGAGAGCAAAATCCTGTTTTATTCGTGTGTCGAACACTACCTTTATCGTTGCTACTTGTCCCCGGGTAAAGCTGTTATTTCGTGTTCTTTGTTTCTGATACTAGAGACGTCGCTTTTAATTACCAGAAAAAACCGAGCAACAATTTCAAATTTTCCGGCCGAAAAGTGCCCAAGTAATTTCAACAGCTAAAGGGTTCATTATGGCATGTGTTCTTTTTAGGGAAAAAAAGGTTCAGACCAATCAAGAGACAATTGAAGACCACAAGTAAACTTCAGATGTTCAAGTATTCAATCACTATTGATTTCACTTTCCAAAACACCAATTTCCTTCCCGTGTCTAAATTCACCTTCTATATCCGTTACCGAAAAGACTAAAGTTACAGCAAAAACATAAATATGACAAGAAGGTATCATCTGTATTCCTCTGGCAATCGGTAACCTGGCATGACTATTTTATCTGCAAACATTTTGCCAGTCTTTGGCATAACATGCCAATGCATCGTCAGGTTATATTCTTTACCACGCAAATTGCTTCCCTGGACAGGAAAATTATAAAAAATTAAGGCCTAAAGAAATCTAAAGCAAATCATATCACTCCTAACATCCTTGAAGAGTTGTATACCTGGTCAATGAAGCGGTACTTATTTGATGTATGAATCCAAAACTTCGCATGCTCTTTAGAGGGAATTATACCATCCCACAGGGATATCTGTAAAATGACACCTCAAGAACCTCAGCAACATACATGAAACTACACATACCAAAGATGGCAGAGATACAGCATAATATACAATGGTGCACCTATCTGAGTTGCATGAATACGGTAAACAAACTCCAAAGCCACAGCCTCTCACCGATGAAAATTCAAGATCCACTAACCCACTTTTACTATGGGTTCCTTTTATTCTATCCTTTTAAAAAGGAGTCCGCAAACTTACAATTTAAATGTTTATATTTCAAGTTTGAATGCAAACGAACTAATTGATTCATACCTGATTCAAGGTATTCTTAGGAGTTTCATACTCAGCAGCTAGAAAAACAAAAACCTGCAATCATAAGAAATGACACAAACTAAGTCCCCAAACAATCCTGAAATTCTAGCTTCCAAACTGTTTAGAACAATAGATCACATATACGAATCTCACGGGCGTGTAATATATACAGTTCCAACATTTCCCTAAAAATACAATTTTGTACGCAATAAAAATGCAAAGGGCAAGAATAGAAATATATATTTCATGAAATGAAACAAATAACATATAACAATAGGTAAGGCACCTTAAACATTAAGACAAAAATTAAGATGGAAGAAACAGGAGAGCAAACAAGCAACTTTAAAATCCCGAAAGCTCTCTTTGAGAGCTGGTAAAAAATGGAATATTTCTCCAAAATAAATTCAACCTAACACACAAAATTGACAATATGACAAGACATGCTAAGATAATTAATTTTCATTCTTCCTCATCCAGTCCTGACAGTTTACTTCCTACCAAGAGCATCCTGACTTTTCAGAGGCAAAGGTTGACAAGAAACAAAAGGATTACAATGGAAAATCCAAATTAAAGTCAAGAACCTGTTTTGTGTTCCACGTGAAAAGAGACTGCAAATCTGCTGATATATTCAGGGTCATGCTAACCTGCAAGAATAGAAAGGCTTCCCCTCAGATTAAATAATGAATAAAGATGATATTTGAATATCAGAGGAAGAGATCACAGGTCACAACAAGCTGGATTGTGACAATATGGTATTCATAACATAATTTCATATGCAGTTTGAAATTCAGGGCACGAGAAGAGAAATATATGCACAAAACATGTATACAGTATATGATATGGTAAAGGCTATATCTTTTTCTAAGCAAATAGCACGACAAAAATATTTATAAGTTTTGCAATCCCAATTCCCAGGCCAGTTTCAAAGTGCTTTCTACAATAATTTCAGGTCTGGTTTCAAGCACACATGAATATCACTTTTATGGAAAAATATGGACATCTCATCAAGTACATGAAGCAATTACATTGGAAAATCTACTAAATCAAGAGAAATTTGGTGACTACATAACTAGTTCTTCATCAAATACACATTTATTTTGACAGACATAGGTTAAAAAATTAAATCATGAACTAAATCATAAGATCTCAATTTTGTTTTTAGATACCAGGCATCAGTAAAGTTACCAAATATTCATACTCTTGAATTAAGTATCCTATGGTTTAGAAAATTTATTTGACCCAATCACTCATCACGATCACATATGTTAATCATTTCACCATCCCAAGTTTGTATGTATGTTTGATCAATCCATAAAATTTATGAGCAAGAAGACTACAGCACATACATGAAAATACTATACTATCCTTAAAACAAACAAAACTAATTTATTCAACTTGTGTGAGGTTCTGCTCTTGTCATTGTTTCATATGTAATTCTTTCTATGCATAATGCTGAAAGACAGTAACTAAAAATGTTTTTTTGATCAGCATTATTATAAAATTTTCTCCAATTATAACTATATTGAAGACATTCCACAAATCTCCTCTGTCCTCCACCATATCCAGAGTATCATACCTTAAATGCCTTAAACAATCCCACAAGAATCTGTAAAAAATCATTGTTCACATGCACAGTAGACAGTCTTCGAAGTTAGAGCAGGTAAATCGCAACCTCAAGGGTGTAAATAAGTTGAACTATTCCCAAACTATTCAAGCTCGACCGGTTAAATGCAATCAAGCTTGTTTGTTTCACTATAAACAAGCTTAGGCTTCACTTTAAGCTCAATTTATATGAATGAGCCAAACTGAAGCTATGTGAATAGCTCTACAACTTATTATATTGTAATTCTATACAGAGAACTGTAATCACCTATCTTTCACTTTTATGGATTCTATTACTCTGTTTCATTTCATATTTTTATTTCACTTTCTTTCATGAAAATATCAGCTAAATTAGCAAATTTAAAAACACTTTTAAGAGATACGCAGGCTTTGCATTTTCAAACAAACCTCGTCTAAATAAATGAGATAAGCTTGATATTATCAATATTTTAGCAAGTCAAGTCCAAGCTACAAGTGCTTGACTTTACTCATTTACATCCCAAAGCATCTTCAATTAGTGGAATTCATTACTCCTCTTTCATATAGTTTTCGTTTGCCTATTCAAACCTTTCCTGTGTGACACAACAATCTAGTGACAAAAGTAACCACAGTACTTTCTAGCAAGTTTCAAACAAACATCGTGGAATGGCAACTATGCATATTTAAGTATTGAAAGCTGGATTAATCAGATCTTTCCTACATATAAAACTTGGACCAACAGCAACAACTTAAGTCGCTCAATACATGAGACGATAATAAAAAAACCTAAAATTGAGACACAAGTAAAAATCGGCAAGAATTATAGCATTCGAAAACGATCCTAAATGTTTGAAAGCAAAAGTGAAGCGTTCAGTAGGTTTGACTAAGGGAAAGAAAGGAGAAATACCTCGTCATTGCCGTTAGGTTGTTTCTGAAACCAGTTAATATTCAACACCTAAATTCGGAAACACAGAGGAGAGAGTGTATAAAAATGGATGCAAAATTGATGGAATTACAGATCTGTGAGAGAGAAGAAGGACCTGAACTTGCGCGAAGGGAGAGGGAGAGTTGAAGTTGTCGGAGAGAGAGGCCATGGCGCACATAAGGGCGAGAATGGTTACGGCAAAGGTTAACAAAGCGTTTGCTCTGTACCCGAAAGAGTGCATTTTGATTTTTGAGGGTTTCTTTCTTTCTTCTACGACCGCGTTCTCTGTGTTTGATTAAAAGAATGCAAGAGAAAGTGGAAGACTACACCCTCTCTGTTACTATTAAGCACACACGATACGTTGGCGCTTTTCTGCTCTCTCATTGGATGCAACACGCATTCTGTGGTCTATGCCTATGTCTGAATTCCCATCATTTTTTTAATCTAAAATAAATCAATACCATACTTTTATTATTTTTTAAAAATGTAACTAGTAATGCATTTCAATTCTTGAGAATTTTTGTAAATTATGTATCTTAGTTTTTATTTATATATTTTAACTGTAATTTCGGTTAAAAATATTAAAATATTGTCATTTTAGAAAGTTAAAAATCAATCAAACATTTTTAAATTATTGAATATTAAAATACATTACTCATATAAATTGAAAAGGTTATCTGAAGATTTTTCATTTTATTGTTTATACGGTTTTATTTTTAATCTTTATTTTTTTCTTGTCATTGATTACAATACATAAGCAATACTTTTAAAATGAAGGATCGGATAATTTAAAATGTACATATATTATTATTGTTAATTTTTTGTTTTATTTATCGATTCGTTTGATTTTTATTTTTTTTTACCATGTTAAGATATATACACATCAGTGTCAAAATTTGTTTTGTTGTTTCTTAAGCAGCATCACATAGATGTGGTGAAAAGGATTGCACCGTAACTTATGAATCATATTTTGCAGTTGATATGTTGTGAATATAAAATAAAACATAAAGTTGAAAAAATAGTTTAATAAAATAAAACTACTACATGCCTCCAAAACTTATTTTCACCAAATTGTCTTGCTCAAAATATGTCCCCTCGTAGGCTTTGTTTTAGGCCTTAACTTTAGAATGGTGAAATTTCTACTCGAGAATTTCTTGAATAATAACTCTTATGTTTACACTTTCAGATTAATAATTGATGAAGTGTAACATTGCATTAATTAATAATGTAAAAATATCGAAGTATGTGATCCGACTCAGATCAAAATTAAATTGAATGAAAAAAAAAATAATGTAAAAATGAATAGTAGAATTATTTTATTTATACGTATATTTTTTTTCACATAGAAATTAGAAATCATTCGACTCCGCGTCTAATTGAATGCACAAAGTTTGTTTTACATTCTCAATTTTTTACATTATAGAAAAGAAAAGTGGAAATATTTTATTTATTATGAAAATGAAAATAATAAAAATAAACTATTAAATTTATTTTAATTGTAAATATTAAAAAACATATATGTGACATTTTTAAGTGTTGAAATGACTATTAATTAATATTATATATTAAATATTAATCATTTATTTATGATTATATAGTTTAAATTTAAAGTGAAAATACATAAAATATATAAATAGAAAATCAAATTGTTTCTCTCGTTATATCAAATAACTGATGTGAGATTATTGTATAATTCATAAATTTACTATTAAAAATACATGAAATTTATCTCACTCTTAAAAAATTAAAAACGAATAATGTTTAACAGTAAAAAAAAATTAGTACAAAAGTAACAAAAATTAATTTCAATCACGATTACATGATTTCTATTAAATAAATATCACTTTAAAATTTTAGTTATTTAATATTCAACCAATAAAATTTCAAAAGATTAATTTATATTATTTTCATACTAAATAAGACCACTCTTTAAAATTGACAGACTCATTTTATAAAAAAATTCTAATTAAGTTTTTAATTAATATAAAATATCTTAACACACAATTTTCTATACTCACACTCTCGACTTAAACTATAGAGTGTAAGATTTAGAAAACCGATAATTTATAGGTGTTTAAATATTAAGATTAAACAAATGATGATAAAATAAAAACAAATTAATGTAATTCACTTTAAAAACTAATTAAAAGAGAAATTAAGGTTGTCGAACTGGCATATTCCGATGAAATACCGTGACGATGACAGTGTAAGACAAATAAGAAAAAGATAGGAAGCAAAGCAGGGGAGTAACAGCAACATTAATTTGTAATTGAACAACGCAAGAGTAGCGTTCTTATTTCTTTTAAGTTAAACTTTTTATTCCTTATGACTTACTTTATTAACATAACAAGCAGATGCTTAATAAATAAGCATAAACTCGTTCTCACGGATCAATGATGTTGAAGAGATCAGCACACTTAACTCCATACGAGGGTAGTGAAGTGCTAAACCCGAGCCTTGACCTTGCAGAGTCAAACACTACGATGTTTTCTTCTAACTGGCGCGCCCCTATGGTAATTGGAGCTTTAGGATGCATACCTCCATTTACCATTGCCAAACATGTCACCCCAGGTAGTGGTTGCACCATCAAGTTCTCACCAGAGATTCTCCAAACCACATTAGGCTTGTCCATCACAAGTTCAACGTTTGGATATGGACCAATCTTTTTAGAGTCAAAACATAACGCAAATGATGCAACAGCCTTAACCTGTGCTTGGCTTGGAACCTGCTTAGTAAACACTTGAGAAAACGCCTCAAAAATGGAATGGTGCAGAATCATGTAAGGAGTTGCGGTGCTAACTATGGTTCCTCCAATGCCACTTGCGCTACTAGTTGATGATATCGTTGATGGGTTCACTGGGACCACAGTGTGCTGGTTAATCCTTATGGAAGTGATTTTCACGTTGTACTCTCCTAGTGGGTTGACGGTCAATGGGGTGTAAGCCAAATCACGGAAAATATTTTGGCCACGAAATTGACCCAAGTTATTTGGTGCATCACCGAATATTATAGCACCCTTTGAGGTTGGGTAGCGAGAGAGGCACAAGGTGAACTGACGTTGAAATCCAAAGTGGGAAGCAAGTTGATTTGGCAGGGAAATGGGTGCATGGCCTAGCCCAGCCACACCTTGAACTTTGTTGGGTAGACCCTTTTGGAGAAGGAAGGAGGGTGCACAAGAAAAGAGGAATTGAGGGACTGTGACCAATGGACCCACTTGGGACCCGCGAGTGGCATGGATTGCTAGCACATCTTGGCCAACCTCCCCCAAACCGGTTTGTTCGGTTACAGGGTTGATGGATGTGAGCCCACACGTGTTTTTATGGCACCCGGGCCTTGAGGATGCGGAGTTGCAACTCAGGCATTGGTGGCTATTGGCTCTTGAACATAGGGTGGAGTGGCAAAAGGGTGCTTGGTATGTTTTGGATGAGTAGTGTTGATCACAGTTAACCCACAAGTGATTTCCATTTAGGTCCACAAGGACTGGAACTTGCATTAAAGGAGTCCTTTTGTGGACGTTGGCCCAATGGAGCCCAGTAGAGGCATCTTGATGAACGGGTAAAACAAGTAGATTTGGTTTGAAAGGAGGAGAGGTTCGTGGTTGAGATAAGGACTGTGTCTCTGATAAGAAGAAAAGGAAATAGCAAGAAAGAAAGATAGCTAGATAATGGAGTATAGAAGACATTTGTGCAATATAAGAAAGTTTTCTTCCTAAGGTGTATTGAATGGTTTAAGTTAGTAGTGAAGTACAACATATATATATCAAGAGAAGAACCATTTGGCTTTAAATGCCAAAGGGAGAGCAGGGAGATTCTCTTTTCTTTTGGCCGTGTTGAGACAGAGCCAGTTCATTAGTCTGGATATGTCTGAGGCTTGTGAATTTGCAAGATCAAGAATGGGATAAACTTAACATTGGTATGAAAACAAATTGAAGGGTTGGTGAGTGTGAAGGGCTAAAGGGGTACTTGGCAGCTGAGAATTAAGCTTAGTTGCATGGCATGCAATTTTATTCCGTTTGTTATTTTGTAAAGGAGCCGTGTGGATTGGATTTTTGCCTTGCTACATTAATTTCCCAACATACTGTTTGGTGAGCTTTTGATACATTTCTGCACTAGCAGGTTCTTATTAACACGGGAAATTCAAATCATGGCCTTTCATATTTCATTTTGTCCCTGATTACTCAACCTATATATGTGATGAGGACTGCTAATACATTGTTGGATATTGGTTATTAAAACTATACAAATATGAAAAGAAAAATTATCAATTTTGAAATGAGAAAGAATGAGATCACATATTATTTATAATTTTAAAAAAATCAAATTAATAATTAAAAGTATATTAGTTAAATATAAATATAAAGAATACATTGCTAACATTTTATTGTTCAACTCTGCATAAGGACCTTCTAGAGACCATATCCTATATTACATCTATAGTAATAAGTATAAACTTTAGTATCTAAAAATGAAAAAAAAAAATTAAGCATAATATTTATGATTGATTTTTATTTCATTAATAATATTTTTTAAAAGCATGATAAAATTACAAACATATCACTGTAATTGTTAATAGACAAAAATATTTTTATCATAAATAATTTCTCATTAATAAAAAAATTTGTTAATTTTGACAAAGACTAAATTTAAACATTCACAGAAATAAAAAATTATTAAAAAAATAATTATTATATTAAAGTTATAAAAATATAATAAATACTTTTTTGTTAATAAAATTTTATGATTATTATCTTCGCCTTAAGTGTTAACATTAACAAAACTCTTAATAAAAATATTGGTTATAAATTTAAGTTTCTTATAAATCATCACTAATATTGAATTTAACATTATACTTATGAAATAATATAATCATTCACTAAGATAATTTATATTTATAAATCTTGATTAAGGATAATACCTGTATACTATATAATTTTTTTATTTTAAATTACACTAAATTATTAAGTTAATTTTTAATGACTTTTAATGATTATTTTGACGATTATTTATCTTCGCAATAAGTATATATTTTTTATAATATAAAATTGTAAGATAACTAAGATGGAAGGCTTCTTGTAACAGTGATAGAAACTCACGATAGATGTAATGTAACTCTGAAATTTTGTAGTAAAATAAATATAAATGTGCAAACTCAAGCCTGTGATTCACTTGCTGAAATGTCTCTATCGAAGCCAGTGGTGAGTAAACGGTTCTGTGATGTACTTCTGGCACGAAATTCCTCACGGACCACACCTGAGGACTCGGTTATGCAGACTCATACACAACCAACCGACAACGTTACATGATTCATTGCATACATTCAAATAAATCAACATCTTTCAATTCTTTTTTTAAAAGGAAATCTTATCAAATTCAATCAATTATTTCAACATTTTAAATTAGTTCTCTCTTCTTCTTTTTCGTGTAACACTTCACTCATTACCTATTTTTATATGTATCTTAACCCTCGCGTGTGCATGCTCAGTTTCGAGATAGTTTAGAGATATAATTGTCTATGCCCAAGTTTAAAAAAAATTAAAAATAAAAATTATATTCTATTTTCACTTAAAAAAAATTAGCTCTTACAATTTGTAATTAAAAAAAATAAAAAAATAAAAAAAATTAATTTTTTACATCTCATTTATTATAAACGTAGTTGATTTTTTTAAATTCAAAACTTCATTTAATTCTAAAATTTTACTCTTCTTAACATTAAAGTTTATGAAGAATTTTAGTTTTTCTAAAAATAATTAAACTGTTATTGAGTTTGTCAAATTTAAATATTGTTATCTAAATATTTTAATTACTTATATAATTTTTTTTACAATTTCAGTAAGTATATCATTAATTGAAAAAAAAAATTTAGAGTTAAAGTTAATTAAAATTATGATGTTAATATTATTATTGATAATTTTGTATCTCAATATACTTATAAAACTTATTTTTTAATGATTTTTTGTGTCCTAAAAAAGTCAAGAATGGCATGTGCGTGTGATGCACAGTGCATATTTCAAGAACTAATCATTAGTTAAAACTAAGAAAACTTATCTAAAGACTAAAATATATCATTTATCCTAAAAGATAATTTAGGCCTTTATTCATATATTTATCTTTAAATTTAATGAGATAAATTGTGTATTAAAAAATGAGATGGATTATTCTTAGGTGAAGAACAGATGGCCTATGGCGCAAAGGTTCAACAAAACAATGGCCCAATAGAAGGCCCAAATCATTGAATTCAGCTGAGCCGAAAAGACAAAACGAGGACCACATGACTTGCTTGCTTTTCTCAGGAGATGAACCTTTGAATCCATGATTCTAATTTATAAACACCCAATAACGTTATACCCATTTAATATTAAGTATCTTTCTTTATTTTTCACTTCTAAGTTCTAATTTCATATCACCTATTGTGTTTATTGCTTTTCTTTCTTCTCTCTCCATCTTTATCGAACACTTTTGTCTTTTTTTGCTATTTTCGAACACTTTGTTTAGTTTGAGAAAGAGGGAGAGAAAATAATACTTGTTTAATATGAAAAGGTCAAAAAATAATTAAATAGATAATTATGTCCCTATCAATAATAATAAATATTAAACAGAGGTAAAGATACTTTAAGAAGAATGTAAAAATAATAATTTTTATTCTATCGAAAACAATGTCAGGTTTTTGCTCCTTTTTGTCGTCCCTATTGCAAGGAAAAGAACTAGAGAAATCATGGTGGTTGTGTTTAGGCTTTGTCTTGGCACCGCCAAAGAGAAATACCTTATTCTCTTTATTTTCTTTGTTAGCTTCTCCTTTTAAAAAACAAACAAAACCTGAGTATAGACTCAAGAAGGTGTTTATGTTATGAAACGTTTTCTTGAATCAATCGCACCGACTATTATGTCAGTGCAAAAGTAATAGCTTTTCGTGATCCATTAAACTGTTATTTCTGATTGATTGAAGTTATAGAGAACACCGACCGTCGGAATTGTCCCATCGATCGTTGAATGAATGTGTATCCCTTTTTGCTCTGATTTCAACGTTGTTTCATCGTACAGCAAAAAAACAAAAGGACAAAAGCTTTCTTCATTCTGATGGATCCATTGTATTGATGATTTGTTGGAATTTGTTCATCATTTTGATACAATGTAGCTTGCTTTCCTCCCACCCAACAAAAGTCTCCGAGTCAAATGTAACTCATAAACCATACCTTAAACTAATAAAAGATTAATTATACTAATTAACAATGCAGTGTTCTTTGCAGCAAGTGTTCAATATACCAACTTTTGTTATTTAAAGTCCTAAATATTAATATTTTATGTATTATTACATACATTTTTTTCTTTTTTATGTATAAAGTTCTAAAATTACACTCCAAAATACAAAAATACCTTTTAAGCTTCGCTTTTCAAATGAATGGAAAAAAAAAAAAAAAAAAACACTTCCTTTGACATTCTATCTCGTTAAAGCTCCACTTTTGGGTCAGTAGCAAAGCTACACTTTATGGAATCTAGAGCTTTTGATTTTGGAAAATAGAATTTCAGCAAGGGCACGTGAGTGATTGTCGGTGCTTGCCACTGGCGGTTCCATGCCCGTGAATAGTGCTGGTAAAATTACAAGTTGTCTAATTTTTTCATTTCAAAAACTGCAATAAACTAAATTAATAATCAAGAAAGCATCAAAATCAACAAACGTTGTATTACTCAATATATATTATATTTATATATTAACATAATCCTAAACATTTCAAGTTTTCATTTTTCTAGTCCTACACAAAATTTCATGAAATTCCAAAAGACTAAAACACACGAGAAAAAACAAAGTTGTTGCATGTAATTCACATGATAATGCAACTCTCAACGTTCTCATCACTGAAAGTATGCGTGATAGGATCGGCCATGGGGTGAGACGGCATAGGAGGTGGTGGCATGTAGTTCATAGATGGATGTGGCCTGCCATACATGATGGGTGACACTGTTGGGTACATGCCATTCATATTTGCTTGCTGATGCTGTTGTTGTGGGTTCATCGTCATACCCATGTATTGTTGCTGCTGAAGGTTATACGGGGAAGGCTGCATTTGCATTCCTTGATAATACCCACCACCACCGTTCGTCGCCGGAAGTCCTTGCACTGCCGGAATATTCCCTATCTGATTATTACCCATTGGGCCCACATTGGTATTACTGCCCTTATTACCGGTTTTGCCATTTTTAAGAGGAGGAGGGCTATCATCAAGATCATGAAAACCAACATCAATTTTACTCATAATATTATTACTATGGTCCTCCAATTTCCCTCCAATTTTTTTCCCCTCCTTGCCTTTACTATTGATATTGATCTTGTTCTTCTCAGATGATTCTTCTCCCTTCTTGCCCTTTTTTCCAAAGCCTAGAAACCAACCTAGTAATCCACCATCACTTTTAGCATTTTTTGGCTTAGGCTTGTTCCCCTTGTTGTTTATACCCTTTTGGTCCCCACTACATTTCCTTCCTCCTTTATTCCCAATTTCAGCTTCAATGTAATTTCCACCTTTGCCCTTGATTAGCATTGCCTGATCAATGACATCACCTTTCTTGGCACTTCCATTATTCCTACCCCCACCACCATTGTCCATATGTTTATTCCTGGCAGGCCCATTTATTATCATGCCAGTAGGCCCAGCAGGCCCACGCCCATCCCCCATCATTGGCATCATCTTGTTATGCATAGGCATAGCATGGCCATATCTTTCCTCTTCATGCTCATCAAAATTGACATCATATTCATCAAAACCATCATCAATGGCATCAAATTCCACCTCCGGTAAGCTGAACTGGACAGATTTATGTTCTTTGGCGGGTACCTTAAAATCCTGAGCTCCTTTAATATTTTGTAAGTGTGCTAGTTGACCTTGACCACCTCCCCCACTATTTTTCTTACCCTTCTTGCCCTGAGACTTGTTGTCCTTTTCCCCTGTGCCATCACCAACTTGCAAGTCCAAAAATTGGTGATTGAAGGGATAGTTTTGATTGTTCATGATACCTTTCTGGCCACCCCAAATCTCGGCATGCTTCCCTGCCCTCTTCAGCTTTTTCACTAGTTTGGCTGGATCCACATCGCCTACCACTACCACTTTCCCTTTATCTGCATCTACACTCACAGAATAAACCCCTGGAGGATAAAAAAAAAATACATCATTATTGACAACAAATGTTAACAGTTCATGAAGAATATATACCAACAAAGTAAGTTGCAGACTTGAAATAACATTTTATTATTTCAAGCCACTGAACACGTCTAATTAAGGAATGTTCCAAAACAAAAAAGTGGGGGCATGATAATTGACATGGTAAAGTTGAGAAATGATGCACGCATGTTAACATAAAAAAAAATTTTGAAAAAAAAAAAAGGTGGGTATGCTAAGAATGTACCATCGATTTTGTGCAGCAGTTTCTTTACTTTTTGCTCACAGCCATCGCAGTGAATATTAACCTTGAGAATACAACTCTACAAGGAAATCCAGGCCAGCATAAAACAGTTAGCTTACTCATAAACAAAACTACTCCCATTTCAGGAATCAAAACACACACAAACGGGAGACAACATATTCAATTAAGTAATGAACGGAGAAGCATGTACCTGAATTCTCAGCAAGTCTTGTTTACTCATGCTTGATTATTGGTTGACAGAACAAAGATAAAGATAGAGGTAGAATAGTAGTAACTAGTTTTGAGTGTGAAAGTTATATAAGAGTAGAGAAATAGCGAACATTGTTTTAAGATTTTCTTAACCCTTAAGAGAAGAAAGGCGGTTACTAAGATGCACTATTCATAACACTTATCTCTCAAGCGTTGAGTTGCTGAATTTCCGTACTGTGAAGAAAATGCACTAACGCGTATACACGTTTATAGAGAAGGCGGTTGCGGGGGCTGCAACCTGGGCTTGAAAGAGGGTAGTAAATAGTAATAAACAACTAAGAATAGATTCATATGAGTTGGCGGTTGCTAAAGCTGCAACCTGCAAACAATGAATAATTATTAGTTTAATGGGAAAAATAGCTTCTCCTAAGTTGGCTTTATATGTTTTTGCATTATTATATTAATAAAAACAACTTTTTAAGTTGGGTTTGGGTGGGGTTTTAACTTTTTCAGATTATGTCATTTGTATTTTTGGGTTTTGCATGTCCCCTTATTGCCCCCCCAGAAAACGTTAAAGTGACGAAGGCCATAATTGAAGACTCGGTTCCATGTTCAAGAAACTTAAAGAGTTACTTTGACTGAAACCAACACTTATTAATAATTTTGTCGTCATATATATGTCATTCATTATGCATATTTAACTTTATTTTCTGCTTGCTCTGTCTCATGTTAAATATTATTTGAACAGTCTTTTATGTGTTAATTATTATTTTAACATATTAAAAAAATATTAAATTTTTATAATAATATTTTTTTTAATTGGAGATAACTTTTATTAACTAATCACCATAATTTTTTATACTTATTTTAAAAGTAGTTCACGTCAACTATTATTTGAAAAACTTCAATTATTATGATGAGCGGCAAAGTAGCAGTTATAATAACATGTAAATATTTTGAAAGAGACAAGAGGATTGAATGAATTTCTTTGAACAAATAAGATTAAACAATTAATATAACATTTTTTATTTTAAAGTTTGAGTTAAAAGTGTTTTAAAACTTAATTTAAAATTTATTCAGTTCCATTTTAATCAAACCTAATTTTTTTTTTAAATATACTTTTAAAAACCAAAAACTTGTGTCTACTTCAAATATATCTTAAGATTTTACAAGATCCAAGTTTAACTTACGTTTAAAATTCAAATGTAACTTATTTACCACATATAATATTTATTTTAAGTTATTTTTTCAACTTTAAAAAAAGTTTTGTTTTTGTAGAATGCATGGTTGGCTTTATGGCTCGTATCACTACTAATCACATTCATGTTGTCCTCTTTATATTTTTACCTTTCTTATCATTACTCAGTTGTCATAAAAAATTTTGCTGGGATACGGATTGCCTGCAGTTCTCGCCAGAACTGTAGGCTGTAGTTTTATATTTGCTTAAACTAAAACAAATTTGCTTGAGCCAATTTCACTTAAGCAAATTTAAAAAATACCTTGCAAGATGCTTCCTTCTCTCTGTTATTTCAGTTTTCTCTATTCTCCTCTCCTTTCAATCCAGCCACCCTCTTCTTCTCTCTCTCTCACTCAGTCCCTTTCTTTCTTTCCCTTTTCCTATCTCTTCTTCCTTCGACCCATCCAGTCTCCTTCTTCTTCTTTCTTCATCTAGCTCTCCTCCCCTTTACCCCAACTTATCTTCCTCCCCTTCTCTCTTCATCTAACCCTTTTTTTTTCTCTTTATTAGTCTTTTTCTGCTTTTCTTTTCCCTTGTGTTCTTACTCCCATCTCTGATCTCCCTCTCAGTCTCCCTTTTTCTTTTTTTATTTTTTTGCTAATATTTCTAAATTTGCTTAAGTGAATTTTTTTGGCTTAAGCAAATCTGTTTTAACTTAAGCCAAAATCACTTTTTACCAAATTTTGCTTAAGCGAATCCAAAACTGCAGCCTGCAGTTTCTGCCAGAACTAAAGGCAATCCAGATTCTTCTTGCTGTGGATTATAATTTTGTATCACCGTAAATGTGAGTTTAATGAATTTAAGATGTGGTAGATAAATTTAGCGATATTAATACTTATATAGACTTATAAAATATTAACTATCATAAATGTGTATAAAAATTTGTAAATCTACTCACATTCTTAGTGGACAAATCAAATACATTTATTTATTTATTGTATAATTTTAAATCCTCTTATTTCATATACCTATAAGTCATCTTAATTATTAAATAAAACTTATTAAGTTTATAAGATAATAAATGTTTATACTTTTTATTTAATACACATTTTATAAAATATTAAGGAGATTATAGAAAAACTGTAGAAATATATGATAAAACTCTCTCATTATTTTCTCCACATTCTAATCATTTATAGTTTTGTTATTCCTTTATATCTTTATCCTTCGTATCATTTGAATTTCTCAATAAATTTAATCATATTTCATTATAAATGCATTTTTAAATACTTTATATATTCCTTTATATATAAAAGGGAGAGCCCCGTCCCCTGCCTAGTAGGCTTTGGGCCTTATTTCGTACAAGAGAAGTCATTGGATTCCTTCGTAGGCCCAATGATTTAATTATGGGCTTGTTCGATGCATTCATACTAAGTATCTCTGTTGATATGATTGATAAAAAAAAAAAATACTTGAATCAAAAACATGACTGAGCACCTTGACCAAAAACAATAACAAACAATTTGACAAAAAAGGATAATAAAATAATAAACCATTACTATTAATCGTTCACCGTCACACCAATTCAAATTTAAAAAGAACTAACGAACTGCATAAAATACAAAATGATATGACAGAAAAAAGCCCATGACAAGTTTGTATGCATAAATATACAGGAAATTTCAGAATAAAATTAAATTTAGTTATATTTACAAGAACCATTTTTTATCTTTTTTATTTAATATATTTTTATTACTAATGATTTTTCTTATTACATGATATTATTTAATTAAAATATTATATGAGACAGATAACTAATTTTTAAAAACAAAGGCATTTGTAATAATAAAAAAATATGTTAAAAACAAAAAGTTAATAACATTTTCACCGGTTTAACAGTGAGAACATTCTTACGCACTATGCATCGCATTAAGAATACTGCTGTTTAACTGCATTTGGATTTCCATTAAAACCCATCAAATCATAATTTGAAAAAAAAAAATATTTATCGTAACTTTGATAATCTAAACAATAATTTAAAAAATTATAATTAAAAAAAGAAAAACCTTTACATATTTGAAAGGTATAGGGTGTGAAGTTAGAACTCTTCTCCCTCACATCACAAGGCTTTCTTAGGAACTCCGGAAGCTTAGGCCTCAAAGGAAGCTGGTCATCGCCAACTACACGGATATTTTAATTTTTTATTTTATTTTTTAATTCTTATTTACGTGTGAGATATATTTTCTATTTAATGAAGACTACACACAATAAATTTAAGCATATGATATTTATTTGAAATTAAAAACTAACTACCGTCAACAAAAGCCGCCAGAAAAATAATAATGGCGTATTGTCGAAGCGAAAGCGATGAGGTGATAAAAAGGGAAAATAAAAAAAGAAAAGTTGAATAGGCATCAAAATCAAAGAATATACTCACAATGTTATGTCTGCACAAAAAACAAGCACCGCTGGAAAGAATGTGGCTTGGTTTTTAGAGCACAAAGCAAAGGGAATTCGATTCTTGCAGGAAAAAGGATGCATATTCACTAACATAAACACCAATCCTTTTTGAAATGAGAAATGAATAAAGTTGTATTATCCGAATCGATCTTAGTCATGCCCCTTTATTCTATATAACTCAATTATTTCGTCAAGTTCCATCCTTTTTCATAGTTTAGAGCTTCGAAACCCACCTATTCTTTAGGGTGAGACTTTAATTGTAACGCAAGTTTATCGTGTATCAATATAATATTCTCTATCTGATTATTTTATTCTAAGATCTTATCTCAGCCAACAAAAGATATTTTTTTTGTAATGAGTTGAAAGGGCATCTTCACCCTCTAAATTTTCAGACAATCTCCATTCTATTTTGATCGCTAAAAGTTTTAAGTAAACTATATGCATGTTCAAAGGGGACTGGAGTTTCAAGTCAAACTATAACTATACCTGGATCCATTAGGTTTTACCTGGTCTAAGAAGTGTTGGTTTAATGCCATTACATAATAGTGTTAATAAATTTGAAAGGTGAATAAAATTCACAAATCATGTAAAAGTCAAAATGAGTGCTTCTATTATCTAGAGTAGGTTAAATTTGATTTTGTACGGATTTATTTTTCCTCACCATTTTGAATGAAACTTTAATTGGATAAATATTAGCCTAATATCTAGGTGAAAAGACAAATGAGAAACAAGAACATGGCAAAATTGAACTATTCCACCAGGGGTCTAAGTGATGCATGTATTTATTTATTTAAAAACAATGGTTAACATGCAGAAAAAGATCATGCTGACTTCTGAAAATCACTGTTACAAGATCTGATTCAGCGTCTCTCTCATTTTCTTTTTGTTTGTTTTTACAAGCCCCTCGTCAATACTCTTCGCTTTCTTTCTTTTTTCTGCACTCTCCATTTTGTTGAATTATGAACTTAACCAAAATAGCTTAAGCTTCAGTGATTTTCAAGACATTCTAAAACCGGCCTACAAATAAATGCGTTAACTTATTATACACAATTTACAAATTTTCAAGCAGAAAAAACAAAAATCGTGCCGTGCCCTGAAAGAAAAAGGTAAATAAATAAATAAATACAATGAAATGTTGAGCATGGCCGAACGACCGTTAAACCGGTGGCCGAGCCGAGTCAACGGCCGACGGCGGCAGTATAGGCGCCGTAGAGCTAGAGGACGTCCCTTCGCCATCGTTGTTATTCACCCTCTGAGACCTAATTGACAATGCTCTCGCAAAGAAAGGCGCCGCCACCGTGAAAATCCACCGGTCCGATTTAGCGCTCCGGTCGAACCGCCTCGAATTCTTCCCTCTACTACTTCCCTCTCCTCCGGTTCGGTAACCATGCCGCGAACTACTTTCTCTAGGCAACACAATCAAACTACTCGCCCGTTGCAATTGCCGGTTTATTATTTGCTTTCTCACTTCCAACGGCAATCTCAGAGTGAACCGGTCAGTGTTCTCGCCCGGTTGGACCAACGAGTGACCGGTCGAGTGCGACCTCGGAAACCGGCGTGGCCGGTTCGACCGAGAACCTCGCGTCCGGTTTCTGTTTAGCGTTTTCTCCACGGGAACCACTTCAGGCTCGGGTAAGACCCGGTCAGAGTCAGCGTTTTGCTGCTCCGCAACGGTTTCAATAGCGTCGTTTTGGGCCTCAACGTCTCGCGTTTCGGGATCGGGGACGGGAACGGGAACGGAGTCGCCAGGAACGAGGTTAGCTCGGCAAACGGGGCACGTGGTGTGGGACCCTAACCACTCGTCGATGCAAGTCGGGTGGAAAACGTGGTCGCACTTGGGAATTAAACGCAGCGTTTCGGTTTCCTCGAACTCGCACAAGCAAACCGCGCATTCCAACGCTTCTTTTCCAGTCTTGTGAACCTCGACCTCTGAGTACTCGAGGATTGGGAATGTTTCGATGACCGCTGGGTCAAGCCCACGCGCGGCCCTCCTGGAGCGTGCGGCGGTGATGGGCCCAACCCCGTTGGAGGGGGAGTCGGCGCAATGGCGTATGTAGATGGAGAAGAAGCCCATGAGGAAAAGAGCGGCGACTAGTATGACGATGATTATGGCTATGGATGGGTTGAACTGGTTGAGGTTTGTGTCGGAGAAGTCATTGGGCTGGGCTTGGGCTTGGGCTGCGGCGATAGGTATTCCAGGTAAGATGAGGAGGAAGAACAGCGTTGCGTGAGTGTGTTTTTTCATTGTGTTGCGTAATTTGATGAACGGAGAAAAAGAGGAGTGAGTGTGGAGAAGCCGAAGAGAGAGACAGAGAGGGGTTTTAAATGAAAGAGATGAAAAACAGTGTGTGTGTGTGAATGTGAATGTGATGGAGAATGGTGGAGTGGTGTAAGAGAATGGTCATAGACGGTGTGCAAAAGTGCCACCACTCATTGCTATTTGCTAGCCTCGGAAGCTTCCGCTGAAAGAGGATAACTATTTTCTTCTTTTATTTTATTTGATGAATGTCACGTTTAGCTACCACACGCGCCGCTGTTAAGTTCTACTTACCCGCCATTGCCCAGGGACAACAATTTTGAACAAATTTAAGTGTATAAATTGATTGTTACTATCATTTTTTAATTATGGTTAAAGTTTTATTTTAACAATCTGCGTTAAAAAAAAATTATTATGTAGAAGTTTATTTTAAAGATCTTAATGCATCTTAATTATTAATGATAAATTGTAATTAGCTATTTTAGGACATTGGTTTAAATTTTCAAAAATTAATTACAATTCTATGTTAACTCGGTATCTCAAATGTGAACCTATACTTATTAGTTTACGTTGATATCTAGAAATAATAATAACTTTTTTCTGTGTGTATGTACATGCTTGTATATTACTAATTTATTATATCAACGACACGTTACGGCAAGATCAGTGTTTTGCGGTCAAGGGTGATGGCCGGAAAGTGGTAGTAGCAGCAACTAGCTAGCCATCGCATGGGCAAAAAGCAGGTGTAATAGGACACCGTTTAACTCCAATACTGTTTTACGATAAAAAAAAACAACTCTAATGTTCTGATTTTTTAAATTAAATAATAATTATGATTCACTTTAATAATTTACGTAATAAAAATTTGATATTAATTATTAAAAAACTTAAATTTAATATAAAACAGTATAAAAAGACCTTTATTACTTATTCGTAAATTTCGTCGGGTAGAATATTAGTGCATTAACTATCACAACACTTTTCAATACTCGCTAATCAACGTTGGATTGTCTGATATTAACATCATGTGAAATGTTTAATGAATTAAAAATCCTCTCTCTAGTCTTCCTAAAAACACCTCCTTCTAGAAGCACGTGTTTTCTTGCCTGTTTGCAATTATCATAACTGGTAAATATGGTTTTAGCATTCAACGTAAAAACCTAATTTTATGAAATATATATCTGGCGAGTAAATTTTAATTTGCACTATCTATGTTCCAAATATGTGTTTATCGTGTATTATTTGTTCTTTGACCGTTGTTTTTGTGCTAACTAATCGTATTGTTTCGTGTTTGTTTATAATTAATCATTTCATTAAACTATACTCTTAAAAATAATTATTTTATTTATTATTAATAATTAATTAGTACTAACAATTTAAGTTCAACAAGTGTGATTGATAAATAACTTTTACAGTGAATAAATTACTTTTGATAGGGTGTTGAATAAATATTTTTAAAAGTTATAATATTTTAATTTAAAAAAAAGATTTCATTTATAGATTTTTCAAATATTCTTGTGCTGACATATTCACACGTAATTGTGTTTACAATGCAAACATTACAAAATTTTCAATTAGCTTTAACATTCAACTTCGTACTTAATTATTTCACAGCTTAGCGTAAACAGATGACGCGAGTTTTACTATTCAAGGAAACCATGTTATATTAAAGATAAACTACAGAAACAATATTATAAACATTTTCATATTATTTTTTAATTAAAATCAGTATTTTATTTTAATAATTCATGCAATAAATATTAATATTAAATATCAGCACATGTCACTGAAATGAATTTTTAATTATAAAATAACATTAAAAATATTATTTATAATATTATCTTAAATTAAGAAGTGGGATAAGTGCTTATTTGCCGATTCCATGACAGAAAGGACGTTGAGCAACGTTTACACTTGGGAGTCTTCGCCACAGCACAAAGAATAAAAAACTCCAATAGACGTCACATAATAAAAAATCAAAAAAACGTGTCGCAAAGTTGGACCAAGTCTTCTATAAATCTAACTATGTAATCGAGCATCAATTTATGGAGGTGAAAGTTTGTATTGTAGTTAAGGGTTAACGCCTCTACCTTACTTGCGTGTATTTAACATATTTGTATTTATTTTGAAATATTTTTTATTAGTTAAGATTTGTATTGAATGCTTTTTTTTTCCTTCTTCTTTTATATCTCTAATTTTATTAAAAAAATTATATACTAATTATATAAATATAATTTCTCAAATCTCAATCTCTCTCAATTGCGGTTGTCTGCTGTCCAAACCAATTAGCATGAACCTAAATTAATCTATTTTTTTACTTAATCAAAAGCAGGTCGTTGACTCTTGAGATTGGACAAGAGAAATTATCACAAATTTGTATTTTATATTGAAGATTTGATAGTATATTTTATCATAAAGTTACTTTAGAATTAAACTCTTACATAATTGGTTTTAATCATAAATATTCAATTGAGTCCATAGGCAAAGGATACAGGATATTTGATCACATCATTTTCTTTAATTTTATATTTTTTACAAATTTAATTTTCATTTTAATATTTATAAAGTTTTTAGTAAGGAAATAAATATTATTTTATAAAATTAAAGATTAAAACAAAAATGAAATAAAATAAAATATTAGAGTGATATAAATTTACAACTTAAGTGATTAATGTGCTGCCAAAACACTTGAGAAAAATTGAAAGTTACGTGTAACGTGCTGGCAAAGCCCCGATCTTGATTGCATTTTCTTTTCTGATCTGTTTTTCCAGTCTCCATTTTTGGCATCTTGCAATGTAAAATCCTAAAGGCACCATTTTCAATTTCAGGATTATTGTACATCAAATCTTATCGTTGACACTTTTTTGCTGTTTGTTTTAAGTCTTATTTGCTTGCTCAGAGTGTTAATTTATTAAATTCGAAACATGATTGACTCAAATTTAATGTATTAAATTATTCAATTTTATTTTAAAAATCCAGTTTTTTATAGAAAAATATTTATTGAATTATTTTAATTACCTTTGTTGAATATTTTTAACCATAAATATTAAGGTAAATGCTTTTTATAATCAATGAAAGAAAAGGCCTGAATAAAATTAAATACAACCATGTAATAATAGATCATTACAAATTCTAAAACGATTGTTTTAGTGAAGAAGGTGAGACAACAGAGCGAGTATTTTTTAGTAAGAGACAGAAAGACGTAATAAAATGAATATTTTTAAAAAAATATTTAGTCACTATTCATAAGTTATTATTTTGATGTAAACTATTCACAAGTTATTACTAGTCATTAAATACTTACACAATTTTAATAATTATTAAAATACTTTCAACATGCAAAATATATTTTGAGAAACTTAAAACGTGGACTTTACTCACTTTAACAAAATAATAAAAAGAAATTTAAATCATAAAGATGAATTTTTTATATTAAAAAAAAGTTCTTAATAAAATATTGTCCGATTCAAACATAGAAATACAATGTCATTTAATTTAAACTGATTTAGATGCAACATCAAAGTAGTAAAGCAATCATTGCATAAATAGAAATTTATACATATTCTATAAAAAGGGAAAAATCCATTTATTCTAGTAAATCTTGAACATTTACTCTAGTTAACATTTATAAATATACAAATCCATTTTAAACTTTCTATTTAAATAAATAAGCCGAACTTTAAGTTTCATACAAAAACTCAAATCGTTTACTCTTCTCATGCAAAACGGCTAAATCGTAAAGCATTAGAAATTTCAAATTAATCATACCCAGGTTGAAATACTAAGTGCTAACCTTTTATCGTTGACGTATATCCATTATCCAATTGTCTTTTGATTTTTTAATCCAATCAACCCTTTCAATTGTGTCCCAATTCAAACCTTTTGGTCCAATAATGAATGATATATAGTGGAAGCAAGTCCACGTTTCCCTGTCATTTTTTCACCCTTTCCTTCCAGAAGCAGCCACATATATAAGGGGACACGTTAGTCATAATTTAACACACTCAGGTTCCAGTTTAAAGAGTTTCATTTCATTGATCTAAATGAAAATGCATAAATATAAGAGGAGAGAACAAGCCCACTAGTTGTAGGTTTTTGGGCTTGAGGCTTCCACTTCCCTTACGGGTTTATGGGCTTTTATGGGCCAGACCAATTGTCCCTTAAAACTTCCAATCTTACCTTAAGTAAAATGAAACCTGCATTAAAAATTGAATTGACCTGTTAAGTGTTAGTTGGGATATAGAAAGAAACAAGAAGAGAGGACATAAATTTTTAATCTGAAGTAATCATTTGAGTGGATCCTTGGCTGTCTTTTGTGACATGCTGTGCTTGTTACTAGCATATCACGAGACCTAAATAATCTCACGGATAGGTAATATATAATCACTGTGTATTTTGAATGAAATTGATTTTTTTCACTGACCTCAGATTAGGGTGACCCTAAATTATCCACAAGCCTAAAAGATAAAGAAAACAAAGAAAATGTTTTCAATGTCAACATTATTATGGGTCCCAAAAAACAAGCACGCAAGATAAATGAATGGACATGAATATCGAAAAGGCTTCCTCTAGGGCTCTTTTTATTTAGCCCCTATGTAATTTGGATTTTTGTTTAGGTTCAAAGCAATAATTATTATCATGATCATCATAATCGTGACGATAAAATACTAATAAATAGTAATTACTGAATCCTATCCGTTTTACACCTTTTCTTTGAAATCTCACCATTAAAAGAATCCCAAACAAAACTACCTACTTGCTCTTAGGACCTATAAGCGGGAAAGAGACATCCTTTAAAGGTTTATAATTAGCACAAAGTACGTATAATGCATTAACCACTACGCAAATCTAATTTTCAGATTTCTCAACTCATCTTTGGTAATAATAATAGTATAATTTGGTTAATTAAGGGAAATGATTTCTTAGGTTTCCGAAGTTCTTATCTTTTTCTCTAAGTTTCGAATCCTACATGTTTTTTTTATTATTCAATATAGAATTTTGAATATGAATGAAACCTACAAGCTTTTCATTTCTTCAATGTTTTCATAAAAACTTTTATTATAAAATGCAGATTCAAATTTATATTATAAAAAGTGGATCATTGTTAA